TTCATAGATGTTCGGATGAAACTGAAACCAAGTCCGTGGCCGGTAGGGTCTCCTTCACCGTGTAGTTGAAGCATAGCTTTCTGGGCACATGCGTCTATGAATGCCTTGGTCGTCTTCCACGGCGCCATTTTATCGGCGAGCGTCTCTTCTTGCTTCTCGGCAATCTTTTTGGCTCCCTTGACGATTTTGCTTCCTTCGCCATCGTCATCCTCTTCGTCATCGACATCAAGCCCTTGTGCCTCATCATCAATGGTGGCATTGCGAGGATCGTAGCCGGCATCCTCAAGCTCCTTGATGCCGAGCTGCATAGCATCAAGAAGGCAGACTTCTTCAGGCTTAATCATTGCACGGATGGTGTTCTCATCGGGAAGTATCTCTCCAGGCTTGAGGCGCCACATTCCCTTCTCTTTGCTATCTCTGTCATATTGAAGAAACTCCTTCAACTTCTGTCGATTTTGAGTGTCTGTAGACTCCGCAATATGCTTAGTAATGTCGGATAGCTGACAGTTGTCCGATCGACTGTGCCTAATCATTCTGAACGCCAGCATCTTCATTCGGCTCTTTGACGCATTTGTTACCCGTCTGCTGTGGGGTCCAGGGACATCGACAGATGGGAATGTCTGGCCGACAACATGCATATGATCAATTTTATGTATGTACCATTTGGCGCCACCAATGCCCGTAGTACTGCGAACAATGAGGAAATCAGTGTTTCGAGGAGTATGTTTAAAAACTGGCGCTCTGTACATCTCATTGTGCAGCGTCGGTACCACCTCACCGGGGTCGACAGTGCCAAAAAGTGAGAATGGTGACCGATCTTCCGGCAGAAGCGTGCGATATTCGCCCAACTCCAGCTTTGCGAGCTGATCCTCCTCATTGCTGTTTTCCTTTCGCCTATAATAATTAATAAGCCGGCTACCCATGGCGAAGCCATTCAACACCCTTGGCCTTGGCTCGCAGTATTCGAACAGCACGGCCGCAGAATTATCGCACAGACTCAGATCCTTCGATTTGAGGAAAATCTCATGTGCTTTACCCTTCATCTGCTTTCGCTTAAAATGCAGGGGCTTCTCGAACCTGACAGTATGCCCCACGCTTTTCTTGTAACGGAAACGGGGACGATGATATTCATCCGTCGTCCCACCCAGTTTGACTTTATAATAAGGCCATGAAAGCTTGAGAGCGGGCATACCATGTTCAACAGAAATATTTCCAAGCGTGGCTCGAACTTTGCTTTGGTGGTTTTCTTTCAAAAGTTCATATGCTTCATCATTGGAGAGATTGAAACGCTGAGAGACATCCCTGCCCATATTCCCATTCGCCATGCGCTTCATCTTGGCCTCTTGCCGTGGTCTTTTGTTAGGGTTGTATGACTCAGTCTCTAGTAGAAGATATGGATCGCTGGTATCTAAATGGACGCGCTTTGCGCCTCGTCGAGTCGCATCTTCAAAATTATCAAATGAAGGTGCGGTGTAGCGGGGAATGTCTGGCAAGCCGAGCTTGATTGCCTTGCGCTTCTTCTGACGTGGTTGGGGATCATCTGCGATATCCATCAAAAACTCAGCGTCCCATTCGTCATCCTGCTCGGCTTCCTCAATGTGGCGTTTTTGGGATAAGGTTGCCTGCTCCGCAGCCAACTGTTGGGCCGCAAAACTTTTTTCAACACTGTCAATATGGACATTCCAATCTTCGCACGCTAATTCGATGTCACGTAACGTGAAGCCCATGACAGTTTCTGTGTCAGAATCAGGGTCGATGTCAAATTGCGCAGTGTCTTCTTCATGGCCATCGGTCGTGAGGTTGCAATGGACAAGACCATTAATCGCCATCTCATGCAACTTCGCCTTTGTCGCTGAACTTGCTGGCCCAGGAATACGAAATAGCTTTTCATCATCAGGCGCCAAGTCGAGGCTCAGTTTGCTTGTTACAAGATATTTCGGTTTCTTTAATGGTTTTTTCTCCTTCCACGTCGCTTTCTTCGCTGGTAAAAGCTCACTCCAAGTAAGAATATGGCCCTTTTTGTATGCCGGCCATGTTGCCTTGAGTAAATCCCCGATCGATTCGGCAGGAGCAGGAATGTCGGGATCCTGGTTAGCTGCGCCATTGAGATGGGGGTCGGGGTCGAAGTTGATAGCTCCGAAGCTGATGCCTGAGCTGATGGCCTGCGAATCATCGGCTGCCTCAGCATCACGGACATGGGGAGCGGGCGAAGTTGGGCCATCAATGAGGTCGATGGGAGAAGAAGGACCTTCTCCAAAGAGATCGTCTGCGTCGTTGCTTGTATTTCCATCGTCTGTCAGCCCAGGTACCTCAAGCGAAGCACCTGCGCTGGGTTCTTCCTCATCAGGAAGGTCGTCGTCGCTGATATCCTCAAAATCTTCTGCGTCGTCTGCTTTATTGGTTTGATCAAAGGGAGTATCGTCAAGCTTCAGTCCACCACTGGTACCATTTTGGCCCTGTTCCAGGAGTCGCGCAATCTCACGTTCGTCAGCGGCATCTTGGGCTTTCCAATCATTCTCGTCAAACGACGAAAACTCGATATCGTCGGGCATGATCGCGACGCGCCACCTCCCCTCAAAGCGTCCTCTGAGAGGTTTATGGGGCTTGAAGGTTCTAAATCATGCTTCTCATAGACTTAAATGTTGGTCGAACAGCTTCTGCGATCGAGCGATCCAGTCGGGTAGGGGTGCGGGCAAGATATTCTTCTAGAAGCTGAAAGTGAGCATCTGTTGAGCTGACTTGGAGGTTGCTTGGAGGTGGCTTGGAGGTGGCTCTCGGCAGAAGATGCGGAAAGAGCTTAGTCATCATATGCATGGGTCCGTGCGCACGTGTTTCAGCCTAAAAGCAGAGTGCCGCGATGTAAACGGTTGAGACACAATATGACGATACTGACAATAAATAGTACTCGCGTTGCATAAAAAAAATTGTTTTCAATATAATGTCTGCCTCCTCTATTCAGTCCATGACCTCATTCTTCCTTCAGATGGCTGTTGTTCTCTTTCACAATAGAGAGTAAGGATGGATTCTTCTAATCTAGGTGGCTGTGGATCCCACCGACACCGAAAGTTGGATTCTCAATACTACTACTACTGCTTCTGAAAGAGTGAAGAGTGAATAACAAAATCTCTAGCCTTATTAGCAAATTTCCCGTATCACTGCTGAATTCACATAGCCATAGACTCTAGTATCAAGAAGTAAACCAAAAAGTCCAGCCTAGATAACTCACTTATACTCACGTGCTTTGCTAAACAAATCGCAAACAAGTGACTATATCAAGTACATAGAAACCATGTACTTGGAGCTTAGAGTTCTTGTCATCAGTTTTGAATAAGCATCTAATTTGAAATCACTTGCGTAACTATCCGGGAGAAATGCCTATAAATGCACAGCGCGGAAAGCTCTCCTGCTTCCATCTAATGATACAAGGCCAAGTGGCGATCGATTTTGTTGGGAGGCAGGTCGCGACCTCCCAAACTCTAAATACACTATGTATAATAGTTACATCCTACGTCCTACAGAACTTAAAAAATTCAAGCCTTAGCACTTCGTATAATTTGACCCCTTTGTTCTACGACAAACGTATCAAACAGAGGAGATTGGCTCATCTCAATCATTGAACGTGAAGCGATATAGATTTGATCATGTACTGACTGTCTGGTGCTACGGGTTTGCCGTCATACCCTTGCCGCCCCATTGGAGAATTGAAAAACTGATAACATTTCAGAATAAAAGGCAAAGAGGGAAAGCCTAGAATGTGTAATATCTTTTAAATATTCTACCAAACAGCGGCAATAAACAGGTGGCAAGAGGGGAAAGGTGGATGAATTTGTCCCTCGCATCCTGTGTAATGATGTTGCCGTTTCAGGAGTTACTATCTTCAGATTGCGCGGACTATTTTGCAGACTATGCCCTCGACATCATCTATATCTTTAGACTCATTCCATACTCGTTGTGTCGTCTCTACGCGGGTGGGAATTAAGTACTATTCTGGAAATCGCCCCGCAGGCTGAAGTGTTATTAGGCTTGAAGCTAATGCACGCACGTGGGTGGACCTCGTTGATCTTCAAATACAGATAAAGCCTTTCTCTCGTTTAGGAATATTTCCTTGGATCTTGCTAGACTCTCTTTGTTTTTCTGAGATGCGGTAAAGCGTCATCTACACCGCCTCCAATTCTACAAGCGCTTACTATCTACTACCTACGGAGTTGAAGTATGTAGTCAAGTGGTAGATAGAAAAACCAAGACTGCAAAATAAATACGTGCGTACAAATTTGTAACGTGAGCACCTGTGACGATGATTAACTCCTGGTATCGTATGCGCATAATATTCGCGTGTATGTTCAAAATTCTGGCATTCCTTGTCTTTTTGTCATCTCTTTGGTAGTTATTTCAAATTGTTAGTGCATGCAGTAAGAGACTAAAGAAGCGAGCGTATTCCATACGCCCAGCCTCTGTATCACTATGACATGGTCTATGTTGCTTCAGCACTGCGCACTGACACGGACCTCTGCCAAGGACTTTAGCCATGTTCAAAAGCCTCAATCGGCGTCACTAAGCACTGGCGTTGTACATTATATTGGAATAATATTGCAATATTACAGAGCCTGCAAGGCTGTCGGCAAGGCTGCTGGCAAGGCGGGTAAGGCTCAAGCCCAGACGCAGGGCACAGAACGGCATGTAACCTGGCGTTCGGAGTAAAATTTGGCGCGCTCCAGCCCAGCCAAACAGAGCTAAAGTCGCGACTCATTCACTGCCTTTTCTAGTACGGAGCTGCATGGCTCTCCCCGAAGCCTGGTGGCTGGGTCTGCTAGACGACGTAATGGTCCATGACCGTTTTGGCGTGTGCCGGCGTTTGGAGACCCGGTAGCTCCAAAACCTGGCCTGGGCTTTCCTTTGTGATGCCAAGACGCTTAATTCGGCCCATCAGTAATAGCGCAGCGTGCCTCCCTTATATAGCCTGAGTGTTGGACAAATCCCTAGGTGCTGTTTCGTCCTGTCTTAGTTTTCTCGACCTTGCATGCTACATATCCTGGTAGCTTTGTTTAGCATCTCCATCAGCATTGGCATCGCTTTGCACCATGAGATTCAACCTCGCTCTCTTGCTTGCCACTCTCCTAGCCACTGTCATCGCTAGCACCATTGGGGGCCCTCGACATGTGGTCAGAATAGAGGGCACGTCTCAATCCGACGAGCATGATCTGTTCAAGCGCAAGGGCGGCGGTGGCGGTGGTGGAAGAGGAGGTGGTGGAGGCAGCGGTGGAAAAGGCGGAAGCAGTGGAGGAAGTGGCAGCAGTGGAAGCGGTGGCAGCAGTGGCAGCAGTGGAAGCGGTGGAAGCGGTGGAAGCGGTGGTACCAAAGGTGGCTCTGGGAGCGGCAAAGGTGGCTCTGGAAGCTCTGGCAGTTCGTATGTTTCCCCCTAGGATGGTCGCTCTGGGCACTCTGGCTCTTCTGAGGCCTCCGGATCCTCCCTGCCATATTATTCACACAAGCGACCTAACCATCATAACAGCGGAAATCGATCTCCCAGCTCCAACGTCGGTGGTACATCTGCTGGAGGAAGCGGACCCAGGCCACAATACGGCGGTGGCCAGTTCTACGGCGGCGGCGCGAGAACTCCTTACCGCGCCGGTTCTCGAAGCCCCGTAGGAGGCATCGTCCCCATCGCGCTCCTCGGAGGCGCCGCTGCTCTCGCCTTCTGGCCTGGAATCTGGCTGTACGGTGCCTACCTGTATCCTTATCACCAGCCATACCGCTTCCACAACGAGTCCAGCAACCGGAATGAAACCCTGAACGTCATTTGTGGATGTGGCACATACGATGTTTGCGGCTGCGACGACAACAACAATACCGAGTACTTCACCAGTCTTGTCGGAAATGGAAGCTACGATGCCCTCAACAAGAGTGTCGTCAATGTTGCCATGGTCAATGGCACGAACAGCCTTCTTATCAACGGTTCTCTGCCAAATGGCACAACAGCCGACGACCCCAATGCCAGCTCTTCAAGTGCAGCCAGCATGAGAACTATGGTCCAAATGATTGGTTTCTGGCCCGCTGTCGCTGCTGTACTTGTTACTGTCTTCTTGGCATAAGAATACGAAGCCTTCACTAATCAGTACTTTTACTTCTTGCTTTACTTTGCTTTATTAATGTTTACTTTAATGATCTTGGAATTTTTCCTTCTCAACATTCATGTCTAACAGTTTTTACGAATACCGAACGCCACGCTTGATGTGCTACAAAAACGGATGGTGACGATATGGGCTTGGCGCTTCTTTGGGTTTTCAATTCTTACGGTAGATGCTTATTTGGAATCATAGCTTGTGTTGGGTGTTGGGTTGAGGATTTGGAATACGTGCCCAAGTTTTAGGGGCGGCTTTAGAGCGGCTTTAGAGCTAATACCAAACATTGAATGCAATAACTAGAGTTTGTATTGCAAGGTGGCAGTGCTCTTTGATCTATGCCATGCAGGTGATGAAATCCCTCCGTCAACTCCGGGGTGGCTGGCTGCTGAGAGAGGCGATGCTTGCGAGGTGGTGCTCAATAATCATGAAAAAGTGCGGACTTTGACGGATGAATATGTGGCGATTGTTATCGTCATACACTTGGTACGACACCAAATTTCCTTCCTGGTTGGTGGATTACCACGTAGTCTTGCCAATAAGGTTAATGCAGGTTGAGTTGGATGCATGCAGAGTGCATATCACAGTACCATTGGAGCATTGTTGTAGGATCTAGCACGCAGCGGGTTGTGAAGTTTAGGCTATACAAGGCGTACTCGAAGGCTTTCTTCCATGCTCCATCGATAACAACTCCAATCAATATGCGAGGCTGAGATGCCGCGCTAATGCTAAAAATTATACCTACTACTTTGCATAAATTGACCATGAATCGGAATCTTAGAAATTCTCTTACTGTTATAGCCATGGAGATGCGAAAAGGCGGAAGAAAAGAGAGACAAAGAAAGGCATAGGCATTTTGAAACTTTGCAGGGCGGCGAGGAAATAAGAAACGCTTAAGTAAAGCATCGGCTTGGCGCGTGACTTTGCGCGCTGCTGGGCTGGGCTGGGCTGGCGTGCCGATTGATCATGCTTTTTACTAAATCACCTCACATGGGCGCAGTTGATAACGTGCTTGAATTTTGACTGAGGGTACTACGTGTTTGACTTGTTTCTTCGCGACAAGGATAAATCAACATAATTTTCAAATGATTTTGTCTTGAATCTACCTACGCAATGCCCGGTGATATAGACAACTCGCTGTTAGAGCGTCTACAAGCGCTGCGGGGTTCAAGCTCCGGCTCATCTAGTCAAGCAGCTCCGATAAAGTACGAGACGATATCTCAACCGCCAGGCGTATTCTCGGCAAACGAAGAACAAGGCGTATGCTAAATGTTTGCAGGTTCAGCGTAGATGTGATTGAAAGGTCAAAGCCAGCAACTAGAGAAGACACACTAGCCGCTCGGTTAAAGTCCCTCCGGGCCCAGGACGGAGGCTCAGCCTCATCATCAGGACAGAGTTCTCTCGAAACGGAGAAGACAGATGCCAGGGCAGTGCCCCCATCGTCGTCAGAATCGAGGTCCGCCAAGGCTGGAAACCCGGCATCTCAAGAGAAGCCAGCTAAACTAGAAGATGACGCCGATGCAGACTTTATGTTCTCGACGGATGACCAGACGTTGGAGGAGCTACTGGGCGATGTCAGCCCTGATGAGAATCCTGTGACGGAGCCAAGCGATGAGCAAGTCAGGGCGCTGTTAGAAGAACTGTCACTATCTGTACCGAAAGATGATGCAGATGAAGAAGAGCGTGAGAAGGAGGCTGATGATTCAGACAATTCTGATGGCGAGCGTATGCAAACGAAAGCAAACGATGTTATTGCTAGGCTCAAGGATGAAATAGAGCTTGAAGCCACTCTCGGAAATGCAGACGATGAAACCGATTCTACAATACAGCACCAGAAAGAAGACCAGCAAGAGGGGGAAGAGAGCAACCCCGCCAACATTGACTTCATCATTCCTTCACTCCCCTCCAACCTGGACGATCTTCCAGCTTCTTCTCCTCAACGGGTTGGCGCTACAGCCGGTATGGACGATATAACAGCTCGTATGGCGGCTCTCCGAGCTCCCAACACTGATGACTCCTTTTCTCTTCCCTCTGTTCCCAGTTCTAAGCCCTCTGCAGGTGATAAGCCTGTCAAGCGACTTACTAGCAAGACGGATTACACAGATGACGATATCGATAGCTGGTGCACCGTCTGTCTCAATGACGCCACGCTACGCTGCTTAGGTTGTGACGACGATCCTTACTGTACGCGTTGCTGGAGGGAGATGCATATTGGGCCGGCAGCTGCGTTTGATGACGGAAGCCATAAAGCTGTTCAGTTCACAAGAGCGAGGAAAAAGGACCAGCAAAGGGTAGCGCTAGGAGCTTGATATTCCACTAACGAAAGAAAGACTAAAAGAAGAAGAAGAAGAAGAAAAAGAAGAAGAAAAAAAATCAGAAAAGATATTAAGATAGGCCGGCACGTCTGCAAAGAAACTTTCTGGCTAAGCGTCTCTTAACTAGCGATTTGTGCACGCCTTCCCCAGGATAAAAACAAACCAATAATGGAGCATTCGCCGATGTTGACTCCGAAGTTCCCATGTCCAAGCCGTGCTATGCCATAACCCGAAATCAATTTCCATTTCCCGTCAAAGTCAATCTGATAACCCAATTTCCCAACCCTATTTCAAAGCTATAAATACGAAAATACGCTGTAAACTTGTTGTCATGTTTAGTTGCCCTGTGGCCGTGAACCTCGAATTAGTACAGGCCCATTCCTTGAGCTTCTATCGGCCTGCCCGGGCTGTCCTCTGACGTCTTGCCAGGTCGCGCCGAATCGGCGGCTGGTTGACGCAAGAAGGCTTTCCTCTTCATCGGCCTCGGCAAACTCATCAATCTCAGCCAGATTAACTCTGGGGCTGCGCACCAGCGCCGTGACGAAGACGATGAGGAAAATACCCATAAACACATACTGTGCCCAGAAATCGATGATACCAAAAAGTGGCCAAGTGATGGTAATACGATTTAAAAAGGTAGACATCATAGATGGTGTGCATACATCTTTAGCATGCTTGTAATCCAGAGCGTCAGAGCAAGGACGGATTAATTCTGGATGGTTCTTGCAATCAGGCTGAGCCCCAGGGTATGCGGGCTCGTTCGTGCAAAACGTTTGGGTTCCGTAAAATGAATACTGAGGAGCCACAAACATAGCGATGGCAAAATTGATGGCCAAGGTGATAAGTGAGAGCATGACCGTCGCAATGAGAAGGGCCTGCGGGGCTGTTCTGCCTCTGCGGATCTGGAAAATTCGGATCCAGAGGAACCGTATACCGACGGCAGCAATGCCGGAGATGGAACTGCTAAAGAGAATGAGAACCAGTGAGGCCATCAATATGTAATCGACGGGGAATGCCTTAGCGGCCTTCAAGAAGATCCAATTCATTGGCTGGAAAAGGTGAACTTGACCAAGGATGTAGCCACAACGCTGCTTACAGACCGAATTCTTGGCCTTGTCGATGCCTGTGATGAACATGGATACCCAAATCACAATTGCTAGGATCAAGAGTAGAATTCCACCAAGCATCTTGACTGGCCTGACGAGTGCGCACAGTTTGAGCCAAATTTGATAGACTCGACTCTTGCCTTCGCCCAATGCCTCAGCAGCAAGGCGTTCGCGCCGAACCAAAGTCTGTTCCTCTCTGACGAGAGCATCGAGTTCCCTTCTATCCTTACGAGGCATGCCGCCTTCGCGGCCGGCATTGCGTAGCTCAAGTTGGCGCTGGCGCTCTCGGTTTTGCTCGAGCTGTGAAGCAGTTGTAGCTGAAAGTTGAGGAGCCGAAATTGGGGGTGCTGATTTGATAAAAGAGACGGGCATAAGAGCAAGTCCAGCACTGGTATAGATAACATAGAGGAAGGTCCCGAGCGTTACCAAAAGACCAAGAGCAAAAGTGAGCGCCTTCTCGCCATGATTTTGGGATAATAGCGATTTATAGTAGTCGAGATCCCAGTGACCCTTACCACCACCGGCCGCAGGGACGAAGAATCCTAAAAGGAAGAGGACGACAGTGAGAGCAACAAAGAATAGAGTATACTTGGTGGCAGCCCAAAAGCGGCCCTTCCACGTGCGGCCCTCCTCTTCGAAAGCAACCTCATCGTATTCCTCATACCAAAAATATGCAAAGGGAATCACTAAGAGGCAGAGAAGAGCATCAAAGCTGTAAAGCGAATAATACACGATCTTGAGAGTCAAGAGAATATCTGCGACTCGCTTTGGCGTGGCCCAGTCTTTCTTGGCGCCTAGGCCTGAGGACCCTGTAGACGAAACTAGGGCGATGTCGACAGGAAGAAGCAAGACGGTCGCGAGAAGTGATGTGAGGCTGACGATAGCAACGATGCTGACCATCGCTGAGCGGTCGATGGGCGTTTGCCACGTAAATGTCGTGATAATCGCAGCGCCAAGGCATAGCAAGACGGCGACTGCGTAGGCCAGCCATATTAGACTGGCTTGGACGTGGCCTGCGTCGGCCATGGTAGACAATTTGTGGATTCAATCCCTTTTCGTGCTATTTGTGATGATTTCTTAATGGCGATCGAATTCGGCTTGATGCATCTGTCCTCCGGGTTGTTGTAAAGGTTCGGTGTTGTTTCTTTTGGAACGCGTGGCGGACGTTGTCCTTGTCTGGATTGTGACGCAATGGCAGCATCACAAGCTGTCTCAGCGTTGCATTCCCTGTTCTAGAGCTCCTTCAGGCACCAGATGTGCCTGAGCTAGAGCTGGAAGGCCCCCCCACAACAGCAGCTGAAGTGGCAGCCTAAGGGCCGCTAGGTATTAGCTACCTTGCGCTGCTGCTGTATTACGGCCTGCTTTCGAGTATGTGATACAGCCGTTGCCAGCACATGTCTGTTTGCTAGCAGCCCGGCACGGCAGCGCGTTGATCCGCTATGGAGGGCCGCTAGCCCACTGCCGGCCTGAAGCAGCTCCCCGGACAGAACATACCCACCTCAACGGAAATTGTTTTGCGACAAGCCTCGTCTTGATTGATAGCAGCAAACACTCAATCGTGCTCGTCAGACGGCGGAGGAAATGCTCTTGCAGCAATGCAAGTTTACACAGAGCTCACGGCTCCCACAGCCGTTACGCAATGCCTGAGCTTACCTCTAACGTCTGCCACCGCGAACAATCTGGTAGTCGCAAAGGGCTCTCTGCTACAGATCTTCACGGTCAAGTCTATCTCGGCCGAGCTTGACCCCGAATTCCAGCCCAGCCAACCGATTGACACGGATACGCGGTTTGACCGCCAAGTAAATGATGACGATGGCCTCGAATCTTCCTTTCTGGGCGGCGAATCGATGTTTATGCGAACCGATCGGACGAACAATACCAAGCTGGTGCTCATCGCAGAGATTCCACTCGCGGGAACCGTCATTGGGCTGGCAAGGGTGAGGACGAAAAACACCGCATCGGGGGGTGAGGCTCTGTTACTGGCGTACAAGGCGGCCAAGATGTGTCTGGCTGAATGGGATCCTAAGAAGAACGAGCTGGAGACCATCTCCATCCACTATTATGAGAAGGAAGAGCTGCAGGGATCTCCGTGGGAGGAAGTCTTTGGGGAGTATGTTAACTACCTTGAGGCAGATCCTGGTAGTAGATGTGCCGCATTCAAATTCGGCACTCGAAACTTGGCCATTCTGCCATTTACTCGCTCTGAAGAGGACCTGGAGATGGAGGACTGGGACGAGGACCTAGACGGGCCTCGGCCAGTTAAAGAACATGCAACAGCTGCCAACGGAGATGGCAACAATGTAGAAGCAGCCTATACTCCGTCATTCGTCTTGCGTCTGCCCCTCCTAGACCCGAGCCTGCTTCACCCTGTACACCTCACTTTTCTGCATGAGTATCGCGAGCCTACTTTCGGTGTCCTTTCTTCCAGTCAAGCGCCTGCTTCTTCACTAGGCTCAAAAGACCATCTATCGTACAAAGTGTTTACTCTAGACCTGCAACAGAGAGCATCGACAACCATTTTATCAGTGACTGGCCTTCCGCACGATCTTTACAAAGTCATCGCATTGCCTGCTCCCGTTGGCGGTGCGTTGCTGGTTGGTCAGAATGAGCTGATCCATGTTGACCAATCTGGAAAACCAAATGGCGTGGCTGTTAATCCTATGGCCAAGTTGGCAACATCTTTCAACTTGACTGACCAATCAGACCTGAATTTGCGCCTTGAAAACTGTGCTATCGAGCTGCTTGCCATTGAAAACGGCGAACTACTATTGATATTAAACGATGGCAGACTGGGCATCATCTCTTTCAAGATTGATGGACGAACGGTATCTGGTCTTGGTGTCAAGCTGGTAGGCGCAGATTGCGGTGGGAATATAATCAAGAGCAGAGTCACATGCATTTCTCGACTAGGCAAGAACGTATTCTTCCTTGGGAGTGAAACTAGCGATTCCATTGTACTAGGATGGTCGAGAAAGCAGACCCAAGAAAAGCGCAGGAAGTCTCGACTGATAGATACAGATCTAGCTTTGGATGTGGATGAACTCGATCTTGAAGACGATGAAGAAGATGATGACTTATACGGAGATGACTCTGCTGCGACCAAGCCTAACCAAACGGCCAACGGGGGATCAGCCAAGTCTGGAGATCTATCTTTTCGAATACACGACACGCTACTCAGTATTGCGCCGATACAAGATGTTACATGTGGGCAGTCAGCCTTTTTACCCGATAGCGAAGAGGCTACTCTAAGTAGAGGAGTCTCAGCTGACTTGCAACTTGCTTGTGCTGTTGGGCGTGGAGAGGCAGGCTCTCTCGCAGTCATCAACCGCGAAATTCAGCCCAAAGTCATCGGCCGCTTTGAGTTTCCAGAGGCCAGAGGGTTTTGGACTATGTGTGTGAAAAAGCCGGTTCCAAAGTCACTGGGTACGAATGCTGGGGTGGCTGGCGACTACGATGCGCCTATCCAACATGACAAGTTCATGATCGTTGCCAAGGTCGATCTAGATGGCTACGAAACTTCTGACGTATATGCATTGACGGCCGCGGGATTTGAGACTTTGAAAGAGACGGAATTTGAGCCTGCTGCTGGATTTACGGTGGAAGCTGGCACAATGGGGAATCAAATGGTAGTTATCCAGGTGCTCAAATCGGAGGTTCGGTGCTATAACGGAGGTGAGTTGAACGACGCCCAAGTTTGTGTGTTGCGGCTGCTGATTGATGTCAAGATCTGAGCTTGATCCAAATTTTACCTATGCTTGACGAAGAGACTGGCGCAGAACCCCGTGCTGTCAGTGCAAGTATCGTTGACCCCTACTTGCTTATCATCCGTGACGACGCAAGTGTTTTCCTGGCACAAATCGATAGCAACAATGAGATTGAGGAGGTAGAGAAGACCGATAGCGGCCTTACATCTACAAAGTGGGCAGCCGGGTGTTTATACAAGGACACCAAGGGCTACTTTCAGCCAAGTCAGGGCGATTCAGCTAAGAAATCAAGCGCAGAGGTTATGATGTTCTTGCTCAATACCGCAGGAGCTCTACATGTAAGACAGCGCTTGTATAGGAGAGGCCCGATTATACTACTACAAAAAGCTAACTCTTATAGATATATGCACTGCCGGATCTTTCAAAGCCAGTCTATGTGGCCGAGGGACTCTCATCAATACCTCCCCATCTCTCAGCCGATTTTATGGCCAAGAAAATAGCCTCACGAGAAGCCATAACAGAAATTGTCGTGGCAGACCTTGGAGATGCCGTCCATTATTCCCCTTATCTGATTGTATGAAGCCTTCTTCTATCGACTATTGATGGCGGCTAACAAGAAGATTCGCTAGCTGCGTCACTCTACTGATGATCTCACCATTTACGAGCCCATCCGCCTGCCGGCCGATCCAGTTACTCATACCTTATCTGACACTCTCTTCTTTAAAAAATCGGCGAATTCCGTCTTAGCCAAGAGCGCCGTAGAAGATCCATTAGATGACACCGCACAACAGCCGCGCTATGTTCCCCTGAGAGTCTGCGGTAATGTGGGAGGCTATAGTGCCGTGTTTCTTCCAGGTCCTTCGCCGGCTTTTATCTTAAAGAGCAGCAAAAGTATTCCTAGAGTGATTGGACTTCAGGGTCTTAGTGTTCGCGGCATGAGTACTTTCAATACTGAAGGCTGCGACAGGGGGTTCATCTACTCAGATTCCGAGGGCATAGCTAGAGTTACGCAGCTTCCGAGCAAAACTAATCTGACCGAGCTGGGCGTTTCGGTGAAGAAGGTTCCTTTAGGAAGCGATGTCCGCCACGTTGCCTACCACCATCCCACCGAAATGTACATGGCAGGCTGCGCAGTCACCGAGAGCTTTGAGCTGCCAAAAGATGACGATTATCATAAGGAGTGGGCCAAAGAAACGCTCTCCTTCCAGCCTTCAACGGTTAGAGGAACTCTCAAACTAATCAGCCCCATCACATGGACTGTCATTCACTCAATCGACATGGAACCCGGCGAGTCCATTGAGTGCATGAAGACCTTGCATCTCGAAGTATCAGAGGAAACGAAAGAACGTAGAATGCTTCTGGCCGTGGGCACTGCTCTAACAAGGGGCGAAGATCTCCCTACCCGAGGACGCGTACAAGTTTACGACATCGTAACCGTCATTCCTGAGCCGGGGAAACCGGAAACGAACAAGAAACTCAAGCTTCTAGCCAAGGAGGAAATCCCCAGAGGGGGCGTGACGGCGTTATCCGAAATTGGCACGCAAGGCCTCATGCTGATGGCGCAAGGCCAGAAATGCATGGTGCGTGGTCTAAAGGAAGACGGCTCACTGCTTCCTGTGGCCTTCTTAGATATGAGCTGCCACGTAGCATCGGCACGGGAGCTACCAGGCACCGGTTTGTGTTTGATAGCAGACGCATTTAAGGGACTATGGTTTGCTGGATATACCGAGGAACCGTATACTTTCAAGGTGCTCGGCAAGAGTAGCGGATCTTTGCCGCTGCTGGTGGCAGATTTTCTACCTGATGGTGAAGATTTGTCAATGGTTGCTGTGGATGCGGATGGCGACATCCATATTCTCGAATTCAACCCAGAACGTAAGTTTTTAATTTACCCCCTGATCATGTTACTGATTGCTATTAAAGCCTGACAATGCTAACCTGCTTTTTAAGATCCCAAATCGCTTCAGGGTCATCTCTTACTTCACCGCACCACGTTCAGCGTGACCCCCAACCCTCCAACTTCTACACTCCTCCTGCCACGCACTCTTCCCGCATCCCAATCAGCCACGGTCTCACAAGACTCTTCAACGTCACAGCCTCACATCCTCCTCCTCGCCTCTCCATCAGGCTCTCTAGCCGCTCTGACGCCCCTCCCCGAATCGGCATACAGGCGGCTCCTCTCAGTCACAAACCAGCTCTTACCGGCCCTCGTCCCTCACGGCGGCCTCCACGCCAGAGCACACCGCGCTCCCGAGGGCGGAGGCGGTATGTCGCGCATAGTCGGCGTCGAAACTGCTGCATCTGGCCGCGCCATTGTAGACGGCGCTATCCTGGCTCGATGGAAAGAACTGGGCGCTGCGAAGAAGACGGAAGTGGCGAGCAGGGGCGGCTATGACAGTGTGACTGAGTTGAGAGAGGATCTGGAGGCTGTGTTGGGATGGAGTGGACTGGCGTATATGTGAGATGGATGAGGCTTTGTTTTATATGAATACGTATGGTAGTTAGATGAGACCGACTCGACACTTGGCTGCGATAGGAATAGGACATAGCCTTGATAGCGTATCATAGCCATGAAATGGAGACTTTGAACATACTTCAAACTCAGAGCAGTGAGAATTGAAAGGGCAGCGATCCCAATTAACAACGTTTGTGTGCAGTAAGAAAATCGATCAAATGTTTTCTTTCGACATTTATTTGGGTCAAATGTGTTTATTTCCACCCGATAGATAATACCTGCCGCCATCCAGCGCTCTATAATACACGTGTTACCACACAATAAATACCCTTGGAACCAATCTCGTAGCCTAAAACGCCGTATTGAAATCATTTCCACATAAAACCTCATCCATCCCTTAAAAGTAACAAAAGCATATGTCACACAACGCAGTCATTGCCATTTGAGAAGCGCACAAATCTCACTGAGACTCGCCAACCAATGCCTTCGTCTTTCCACGAATACTGCCCCACCGCCGCTTCAGGCCGTCGCTCAGCTTCTTACCAGTAGAGTTCCGGCGCTGCAAGTCGTGGTTATTATAGGCGTTTCCGCTGGACGAAGAGTTGTCGCGGAACGCAACGCTGATGCTGCGCTGTGGCTTGGACGAACTCGAGTGGCCTTTGCGACTGTATAGGCCGGATTGCATTTCAATCTCATCGGGCTCGCCTCTTTTAGCGCGCTTCTTTTCTTTCAGATCCTTTTCTATGGTATAAGAAGGCTCTCCTTTTCCTTTGAGGTCGTCGGGGTGGTATTTCTAAAACTGGGTAAGCATTTCATCGAGGGCTCCTCGGCCGGAAGAGAGGATGGTGGTATTACAATATAGTCATAGCGCTTGAATGCGCCGCCGGGGGCATCCGGTTCCCGCATAAGATCTGGGCCTTCTTCGTAACTCATCCTAGAACCGGAAAGATCCAGGCCGCCAGAAGGAACAGTTGCAGTCCCTTGGAGGGGCAAATGGCGCTCCAGGCTGTCAATGATGTATTCCCGAGGCGTAGCTCGCAGAGTTTCCATGTTTGAATCCTGGACGGCGGCAACTGGCGAATATTTCTTGTTTAGGTTGCGACTTATGAGTGTGGCATCATACGGCCCGCCGTGGTGATAGGTGCCTCCGATTGTATCGAGGGCATCGATCATGTCGACGTCGGAGATGCGTTTCCGATGACGCAGAGGCCGTTCAGCAGCCCGAGCATCGTTCTTAATGATGTCTAGGGGTCTGGGGGATGAATCTCCAGGAAAGCGCTCATAGAGAGAGCGACTACGACTGTGACCGTGAGCGTGACCAGGATCTGAACGCGGGCCTCGTCGCTGGGTCGGCGAAAAGTTATTCATTGATTGGCGCTGGTGCGCTCGTGTCGCCCGGTCAGTGTCAGGGGAATCAGGCGGAGAGATGAGTGTCTTGTCTTCGACCATATCAGTCGATCCTTCTGATGAGGCAAATGGATTCGACGGGTGGAATTTCCGGTTTGGGCTGCCTGATTGTGGTGGCGTGGGATATTTATCGGCCTGGTCACTCATTTCTGACTGCATTGTGTCGCCGGAGAGTCTCATAGATCGATTTTTAAAGCTAGAATTCGGGTTCGATTCCTGGCGATGATGATGCTTTGCAGACGGCTGAGCTTGCAAAGATGCGCGGTGGGGGTTGTAGTGAGAGGATCCAAGGCCAGTTTCTTGGTTTGGCTCAGGAGCAGTCAGGGGGTCCAAAATATACTTTCGGGCCTGGAGTTGAAGCTGTCAGTTATTTTGAGTTTCGCAGTGTTATGACACGCAATTGACGTGCTAGATTTGTTCCGGTGTAAGTGGAAGCTCCAATGCGACGGATTCAAGCATCTTCATATATGGAGTTGAGAAGTGGGGCATGACGAAATGGCTTGCGGTTGACAGGGTACATGTGCGAAGCATTGGAAGAAGTGCAGCGAAAAGAGAAGAAGGCTCGATCGACTTGCGAGATCGAAAATAAGCAACGCATACAGGGACCAATGAAGAACAATAAGAGCAGCATCAAGCGTGCGAAGCCAAGCAGCATCATCCGATCTGCCCCGGTCCACCTGAACCCTTTTTTCTTATCCATGACCCGCTGAGGCCGGATTGGTGACGCAACGCTACGCACCAGCCTCGGTGGGCGGGCGGACGCAATCCGGGATCCTTGCATCTTTCAGGGTTTCGCTCTTGGGAATACCCTGGTTTGCGATCGGCGGATCAACTGCAGGTGACGAAACGCATCGCGAGGACGATGGATGAGCAAACTTGGCAGGGCACAAAGTGATGGCTCGATCGGCGGCGGGATGGATAGGTAGTATCATGAAGGTGGTGTCGGTGCTGACAGTAAGAGAGACAGAGAGAGCTGTTCATCGCAGCAAACTTACCCATTCTTTATCCAACTGGTCGTCCATTTTGGCAGATGAGGCTGAGAATGGTAATGTGAACTGGGAAAATATCGCAGCTGGTGGAAATCGCTGGGTTTTCTAAATGTGGATTGCGACTAATAGACGGGACGTTCGGACGTTGACGGCTGACCCACGAACGAGAGTGAGAGCGAGGGAAAAAGTGGATGAACGAGAGGCGCAACTCCAAGCCGTCTGAGCTCGTCTTCTCTCGGACGCTGCTAATAAAAGCGTGCTTACAGCTTCAAAGTGAGAGGGACGCAGGCTACTTCAGGAGTCTGCTGGTGGTGTTGTACGAGAGGATGCCGTGTTGCTAACGTAAACCTGCCTTGGGCCTATTGGTGGTATCAAGGTGAACAGTCGCTGGCGTTGAATGGCACAGTCCTATTCGATACGATACGAGAAGCGAAGGAGAAATACCGCCAAGAGGACAGCAGCGTCGCAACAGGCCGCTAACGAAACCAAGTCACATTCGAATGAGAAGACTGGATTTGCACGAGAAGGCCATTGCCAGGGAAGAACTGCGAAGAAGCAGATGGGGCAGCAGAGCTATTTAAACCGAGTCGCAGACCGTTGCAAAGTGCGAGGAGCTTTTGGCTCAACATCCGCGCGTCAGCTGCAGGCACCTCTTTTGCAAATTCTCCGGTGAGAGAGAGCAATAACAGGCGGCCACATTGGGCGCGCAAAACTAAGAGACCCAAGTCGGGCAAAGTGGCGAGGTCGAGGCCATGCCGCTGCTCGTTGAGGTAAAGTGCGCCATGTAGGTTCATGTGCTGAGTTGAGGGACCTACAGTAGCACCAAGTCTAGCAACAATCAAACAACATGCCATGCTCTTGGCCTGCGCTAAGCCCGCCGCATGCCATTCCAAAAAGCCTATTGGGGGGGTCGAGCAGTTCCAAAAACGAGGGCCTGGGCCCCTTGGAGGAGTCTGGCTGGCGTATAAGCAGTCGTATTCGTTCTTACTGCACCAATGCTGGAAAACGCCTGAGCCGCTGCATTTGTCTTGTACCTTTCATGTGAGAAGTTCTTGCCAGTCTTTGCATGATGTGTATCATGATGGTGTAACTGGCTTGATTTGGAGACTCTGGCGAGCGGTGGAGCTCGACGCCTTCATTCGCAGGAGCTGGGGTTGGGCTTGATTTTGGCTTTCGTCGTGGCGGGCGACGTCTATTGAAAGAGGGGAACATGCCATGTGAGCCAGGCCGCACAGTGAGATTCTAACTGTATCATGTATCAACGGTTCATGGTGCAGGGCTTTATTATTAAAGTTATAGCTTGTGAGGGTCCTGTATCAAAACACAGAATGCTACATATGTTCAAGCTGGAGCATATTATTTACATGAATCGACCCGTCTGTTTGGGTGTATATCGCTATCATCCCGCCTGTGGCCTCTTCATACGAAATGTTCATGTTTGTAAATGTTTGCGAATTAGTTCTTCTCTAGTCTTACTGTACGGAGATCACGCCCGCGGGCATTGCTTCTTTCATCAACCTTGCCGGCGGCCCTATCACCCAACAACCTTTTAACAACCTACATGTATACATGCATGCAATGGCACAGCTATGTCACACGCTGTCTATCCCGTTCTAAGCAGCCAAATAATTACCCGGGAATCCTTTCGAATTCTGCCTTTGCATTGTTTCCCAGCATACTTTCCTCAGCATGCCAAGCCCTCTCGATATTCCTTTCAGCTCGTAAAACCTTGGGACTCGAGCGCGCTGCAGCGGACCGTTTTGCTATCTGACAAGGGTCTGCGTCACGCCCGTGTGGCTTTTCCTTCCCCAGACAGCTATTCTCCCTTTTACACACAAATGACATAAGACTTCCAAAGACGTCTTGCCTGTCTCTGTTCAGGATAAGAAAGAGATGCGATCACGTTTCATCTACGTCAGTTGCATCAGCCTTCCCGCGCTATTTTCGGCTACGATGGGAAGCAAGACAGCCAGCTTTCAGCTATTTTGGGACTGACAGCCCGACGGCCTGGATAAGGTAGCTCGGAGCGGGAAAGCTAGCTTATGTAAGGGCAGATCTCTGTTTCGCGTGTAGGGGAGCCGGTCTCTCAAGACTTTTGGACTCTGGGCCCTGGGCGGCTTGTTTAACCTCAGTTTCGTTCTATCCCAGGTACATGTTCTATTACGCCAAGGTACAAGCTGTATGTCTTGTTGAAACTTCCTCTCCCTCCTACCGTTTGGATATGCTGTCGCCTTGAGCATCTCGGCTTCTGCCACAGCTTTCTCCTCCCTCTCAGCCGCGCCCCATTTCAATGGCTCTTGTCGACTACTCCTCGTCGTCATCATCAGGGGGTTCCGATAGCGAAGATTCAGAGGCGCTGTCGGCACCACCGGCCAAACGGCGAAGGCGGGATGACTCCCGGGTCCAGCCCAGCCCTCCGAGCGCTCCGTCAAGGTCCGAGTCCAGGCTGCCACCCCTGCCTCCAGCATTCCATGATCTGTATGCGTCCACTGTTCGTCACAGTGTTGTAGATGACCCAGCACTGCATCAGGGCCGCAAGAGGCTGATTCCTCATGTTGTGGGCAACTGGCCCAGTCATCTCTACATCGAGTGTAAGTAAAAGCCAGTACTGCTACATCTTCGTTCTATTGCGGTTTTGCTTAGAAGCTAATGCGCCTGCCTTTTCAGGGCACCCATTGGCTAAGCAACAGGAGAAGCTGGTTCAGTTGATTAGCAGCGTTAGCGAGGGCATTGACAGTCAAATCAAGCTGCACAGCTTCATGACAAGCGATTTGGGGGCACCCTTGCCGCTCCACATAAGCTTGTCGAGGCCCATTTCCCTAACCACCTCTAACAAGGACCAGTTCCTTGACCAGATCTCATCTGCCATCGACACAAGCAGCGTGCACCAGTTTTCAGTCAGCCCTAAAAGACTGATATGGTTTAAATCACCGGATTCAAACCGCACATTTCTTGTTCTCCAGGTAGCAAGCTCTTTAACCCCAGAGAGCGCTACAGCGTCGTCGAATCCAGAGCTTATGCGCTTGTTGAACATTTGCAACGACACAGTCAAGTCGTTCAGTCAGCCTCTTCTGTACCAGGGCCCGGGAAAAGACTCAGCCGACGAAGCATTTCATATTTCGATCGGATGGGCTCTGAATCTCCAAGTAGATGAAGCATCTAACAAAGCTCTAAAAGTGTTTGACAATGCCGACTTTCGGTCACTTAAATCATGGAAAATTCTGGTGCGTGGAGTCAAGGTAAAGATTGGTAACGTTGTAAGCCATCTGCCATTATCTACGGGTACAACTTCAGCCTCAACAGCCTCAAAGGGTGCATCAAGCTCGCTGTTTGGGTTATGAAATGAATTCTTCATACATACACATTTTACTTTTACTATGATAAAACTAATTAGCGTTGGAAAGCTATATGACTTACTATAGATTTATTATTTTAGAACAGCTGCGCATCGAGATAGAGAATAACTGCTGCCACCTCATTCTCTGGGTCGATCTACCTGTTGTATTTGATGTCTCGTAGAAAAAGAGTACAGTATAGGATTTCCAATTTAGGAAAGATGGATTATCCAATAGATAACTTCGATGTAAATGATGATTCCCACTGAAAAACTCGCAAAGTACTCTGATAAGTAGTAAATATTTTTGAGCATTCGACTAAAGATTTTGGCAAAAGTGGTCTACAAGCTGCTTGTTCCGTGCGGAACGTTGTCGTGGAGTTTAAACAGTACTGTGGTGTACATAGCACTGTTGTGCAAGAAGTAGTTTATCTAGAGCACCTGTTCTGCCATCTCTTTGATACAATTTGTGACATTCCAAGGCGAGGGCTATTGCGGAGCAAATCCTTCTGATTAGTACAGAATGTCAAAAATAATTGAAAACACATTCTAGAGGGTAATATAATGGAAGGCAAAAACGGCGGTTGGCTATCTACCACATGTCTTTACATGCAGCCAACTGACTTGCCGCCCCCTGGCTGTCAGCGGCCTAGGTGGCCTAGGCGCTGGCAGTGGCGCTGATTAGTGGCCCGCCAGTGGATATCGCAGCGCTCGATTCGAGAATCGTCTGGTCGCAAGCACCACTGGATTTGTTTACTTGATCCACTGCAGAACCTCCCCCCGTTCTTCCTATTTCTTCAACCCCTCCGACACCATTCGCCGGGTCTCGTGCCGTTTCTTTCTGCTTGTTCGTGGTTCTTTCTTGCTTCTTCGTTATTGTCGCGCCTTCCTGTCTGCAAATCGACGTCCCTCGTGACTCACGCGCCCCGACTCTGCCATTCATTCGATCCCACCGCAGCTTTTCGCACGCACCGATCAGGACTCTGTGCCGCTTCTCTTCCTTCGACTTTCACCGCCAACAACCTATTTTCGCTATTTTTTCAAATCAGATTTGGTGTTCCAGCCGCTTAAACAGCTTAAGGCGAAAGCAACGACAATTGGATAAACTGCAGACCAGTTTTTCGGCGCGGTTCTCCGACTTTACGACTGATCGACGAATAGATCGCGCTACGCGGCGGACGATTTCTGCAGGAGCACTAAAATCTCTACAACACCATGCCAATGGATATCGACATGAGCCGACGGAACAAAACCCCCCGACCTCTAACGGATTCGGAGCGGGCTCGGCTTGAAGAGTTTATCGATGCTATTCGGTACTCAGAAAGGTGGGTTTACAATGGCTGTATTTGTTGGCTTTGACTGGAGGGAGAGACTCGCCGGGGGTTGCGAGAGCTGAGGCGCTAATAGACAACAGGTACCACGACGATGAATACGAGTATCGCCATGTCCAGCTGCCAAAGTTGATGCTCAAAGCGATTCCTAAAGAATACCATGACTCTGCCAAGGGCACGTTAAAGCTTCTTTGGGAGGAAGAATGGAGGGCCATGGGAATGACACAGGTGAGGGGCATGCCTTTGAAAAAAAAAAAAAAATCATATATCCTCGCATATCCCCCGCGATCTAAAGGAAGAGTGACACCAATCAATGCAACATCAACTAACATTAGCTTTCCTAGAGTCTCGGCTGGGAGCACTACGAAGTTCATGAGCCGGAGCCGCATATTCTCCTTTTCAAGTGAGTTCTGCCGCTGTTTACTGATAACGAGTCAACTAATCGATTGAAAGGCGACCTCTCGACTATCAACCTCCGCAGTGAACCCATGCGCGAACAGGCCGTCGCTCAAACTGTATATGATAACCTTGAATTTTCCGCGTCGGCTGATGATGCATCAAGAGTCCCTTTGTTTAATGTCCCATTACGATTTTTACGGTCTGCATACTACAATAATGTTGGGTTAATAAGCTACGAGATGGGCGAGCGCTGTTTCGCGACACTACCGACACTCGCTCTCGCTCGCTTCAATGTCTGTTGTGGCAATCCGGGACTACACACCGGCTTTGGTTCTGAGTCTGGGTAGTGAGCGGCACGCGGGTACCTATATCGAAAGTGCAAACATTTGCTTGGCGAGATGGCACTCGTCTACAACGATTTACATGTCTTCCCAGAGAGATGCCTTGAGGTTGCATATAAGCTGGTCAAATGAGTTGACACTTTGGAAGATGACTGGTGCTGCAGGAAAGGCGCATTTAGGCGATTGGTTAGCCTTGTGTAGAGGTAGCTGAAGAATTGAAGAATGGTCTAGGAATATATATATACATACATACATATATGGAGATATTCTAGCAGCCAATCCACGGTCGACTCTAGAGAGGCACCGTGTCAAGCAATGTCTAAAGGGCTGAGTTCTTTGAGACGCAGTTTTCGAGCATTGGGGCGGGAAAGCTTGTTCAGTGTCGCTATATATACTGTAGTAATAAATGCAACATTTCCGCTGTCAGTGAAGCAATGCAAGATATCAGGGTTTTCTTCCTATGCAGAATAGCGACGAGAAGCGTGCCTAGCGCATGCTCTTAATTAAAGCGCTGTAGCATTTGTTTCGAGGCCGTATTCGCTGCGCAAGTATAATGCTGTTCGTGTTGCTGCAGAGCCCATGTCTATTGATTGCCTTTTGGTGAGAACTCGACATTCGAGTCGGTTTGTGGTCTACGTGGCCTCTTTGCGAGGTCTTGGATTCATCCTCTTCATATACGATAGACTGAAGTTTGCTGCCCTATATCACGCCACGAATCACGCGTATACATGTAGATATCAGGAGTAGAGAAGATGATATCAGAGGAGTCATCAACTGTCCCCTCCTTCAGATAGAACCCTGTAGGTTTGCGTCTACTGGGCCAGTATGTACTGAGTACCTGCAGTATTCGTGCTCTACTGGTGAATACGGGGCACACTCGATGCCTCTACACGCGAGGTGCCTGATTGGACTGCTCCCAGCTGTGTGTAAGCCGTAATGCGGCCTCTTCTCACCAGTCAGGTAGGTGACGTTACTGCTATGGCCGACGTGCACCCCGAAGCGGAAGGCGTCTGGAGTTGATGCGCGGCCGGTCGGGTGGGCTGATTCTGGCTTTTCTGCGGCCATGGATGGTCTCACTTGGAACAGATGCAAGGCTTGCTTGTCTTGCACATACCGATCAGCTGGCAGACTCGTATACAGCCCGTAGTAAAGGGACGCCCTTGAGCTAGCAGCGTCACTACCGCCCAGCATCAGCATATCAGCGGCCTCTCTGGCCTCTTCGCCCTGTGGCCACATTCCAAGGTCCCTGAAAAGTCTCTGGCGTGGGTGGCGTCAAAAACTGCGCTTTCCAGCGCCCACATTGGTCGGCTCCAGCGACCGAAACGCCCCCCTGGGCCACCTTCTGGTCTCTTCCCCGCGCCACCGCTAGGCCGGTACTTGGTACACCGCGGCTCCGTAGCTTTTCTCCTAAAGTGAAGGGTAAAAAAAGTTCGTTTCTAATCAAAGTATCCAGATCGCCAGCGTGGCATCTTTCCCGTTTCAGGAACATATCTCATGATATGTCAGCAGAAGACTGTCCTCTCTCCAAAGTCTCCGGCGCAGCTTCTTGATCCTTTTTTGCGGACCTTTTTTCCTTACTTATTCGCAAACTATATAAGTTTTTCCACATTCCCTCGCTGCTGGCCGTTCCCCCCCGCGATACGAGTTTGAAAGGCGCAGTTCGGACTAAGTTGCACTTACTTGCTGTGGCTTGGCGAGAGGCTGAAGTCAACATTCTATTTATCGATTAAACGTCAGCCTTTCCTTCTCTTGAATTTTCTTGCTCTTGCTTGGGTCGCATTTCTTGAGACTCTCAATCGGGCTATATTTCGATAGCCTTCAATCCTTTTGCATCTTGGAGAGGCACATCTCCTATTCATTCTGCCGTCGTTTCGGTCCCTCGCTTCCCGAAGCGATGCCAGCCATTCGGGCTACGCATTAACTATATAGAACCGCCACTACAGAATTTGGTTTCCCCGGATCGAAGATGAAGTCTGCAAGCAAGCTGTTTTATCTCTCAGTGTTTGCCCTCTTGGCTACGTCGGGATCATGTTCCGACTCTGCAGACACCTGTCCTGTATGACAACCCAAGTTCGCCTCGCTTTCCAAGGTTGCCTTTGCGCTAACAATCTGTCGCCTCTAGTTTTCGCCAAACGCCATCATTGACGATGGATGTGTTTCGTATGCTACGCTCGATAGACTCAATTCAAAGGTGAAGCCTGCAGTCGATGAACTCGTGCGCACGACCGATTTCTTTTCGTATTACCGCATGAACCTATTTCACAAGACATGTCCGTTCTGGAGCGACGAAGATGGCATGTGCGGTAACATTGCATGCGCCGTCGAGACGCTAGATAACGAAGAAGACATCCCCGAGATTTGGAGAGCTAGCGAACTGGGCAAGCTGGAAGGCCCTCTAGCGAAGCATCCGGGCAAGAAGATGCAGAAACAGAATCCGGAGCGACCGCTACAAGGGAAGCTGGGTGAAGGCGTTGGAGAGAGCTGTGTGGTGGAATATGACGATGAATGCGACGACAGAGACTACTGCATTCCCGAAGACGAAGGCACGACATCCAATGGAGACTACATCAACTTGCTACACAACCCAGAGCGGTTTACCGGATATAGTGGCCAAAGTGCCAAGCAGGTCTGGGACGCCATCTACTTGGAAAACTGCTTCAAGAAGAGCTCATTCCCCAAATCTGCCGACCTGGGAGTTTCGCATGCGCCATCGGAGCCTGCCGCCTTGGATTTCAAGCACGTCTTAGACTCTGCTGGGCGCCAGGCCCAGCTTGAGCACCAGCGACAGAGTTACCCGGATACTCCTTTTGTTGCCAATACTGGCTACGAGGTCGAAGATGAATGCCTGGAAAAGCGAGTCTTCTATCGAGTTGTCTCGGGAATGCATGCCAGTATTAGCACGCATCTGTGCTGGGATTATTTGAACCAAAGCACTGGAGAGTGGCAGCCAAACCTGGCTTGCTACGAGAGCCGACTGCACAAATTCCCAGATCGTATCAGCAACTTGTACTTTAACTACGCACTCGTTACTCGCGCCATTGCGAAGCTGGGCCCTTACGTCCTTGGGCCGCAGTACACGTTTTGCGCAGGAGATTTATTGCAGGATCAGGACACACGAGACAAGGTTGCTGCTGTTACCAAGCACGCGGCCAGTGTTCCTCAAATATTTGACGAAGGCGTCATGTTTGTGAATGGCGAAGGCCCATCTCTGAAAGAAGATTTCCGCAATCGTTTCCGCAACATCAGTCGAGTCATGGACTGTGTCGGCTGCGACAAGTGCCGTCTCTGGGGCAAGATCCAAACGAGCGGCTACGGAACTGCCTTGAAGGTGCTCTTCGAATTCCACGAGCATCAGAAACCCCCGTCGTTGAAGAGGACTGAGCTAGTAGCGCTATTCAACACCTATGCCAGACTCAGCTCATCGATCGCAGCCAATGGCAAATTCAGAGCCATGATCGAATTGCGCGATAAGGGATCTAGCGAGCAACCACCCACACCTGAAGAAATCTATCAGCTTATTGACGAGGATGACGAAGATATGAATGAATTCATTCGGATGCGCCATCTTGGACCTGACGATTCGCTGGGTGACCATGTCGGAAATGAGATTGGTCGTGTCATGAAGGCAGTGAAGATTGTTTTGAAGAGCTGGATTCGAACGCCCAGGATGATGTAAGTTTATATAACGATACAAAACGGTCGAAAATGACATTTACTAACAGAACTACTAGCTGGGAAATTCTGTCGGATGAGACATCGAGAATCTATCGTACTTGGATCGGTCTGCCTCCTCGACCGAGGCGCTATACTTTCAAATTGCCGGTTTTAGACAGAGACGAACTTTGAGCACAACATTTACATTCATTGTATATTTATGGTGCATTCTGTATATATTTCATTTGCAGAAAGTGGCGTTTTGGAAGGGTATTGCTTTTTTTTCCTTGTTAGTTCTTCTCTTCGAAAGGGGAAGTTTCCATTACATGATGAGCGATTGGTTATTTTCCGATGCATTGATAGAACCGACTTCTATATCAAACGATATACAACAACAGACTGCTATAGGACGCAATGCATTCCATTATGAATATATATATATGCATGATATCATTATCTATCTGGGAACATTACAAACAAATACGTACTACCACTGGAGAACAAAAAAAAAAATTGACAAGCGGGGAACTAGCAAAAAATGACACCTGAGGGATTCGAACCCTCGCCTATTTCTAGACCGCGAATAGGATGCTTCAATTGCTTGGAGCTGTACCTGAACACGGCGCCTTAGACCACTCGGCCAAAGTGCCTTTGGACATGTTCTGAGCAAACCAATTTGTAATTATGAAAGTGCTCATCTCAGCGGCTGTGAGTAAGAGCCGTATTTTCGCACCAGTAAGCATTTCTCTATCATAGACATGGAACTCTTTCGATTATTGCACAGTGCCTTTTGTTTTCTCTCTTCTTCCAAACTATAGTGCTTCCATTATGTATATTAGAAAATGGAGCTCGCAGCTAGAATACAAAGCTGTAGGATGTCTCATTACTGAGGGGCACTCAACTTAGATGCAGATACCGCGCTGCAGCTGACTCCATTTCGGATGAGGGGTTGTGCATGTAAATGAATACAGCAGATCGTTTACCAGTGGTAAATGAACTGCATGAATATACCTAAACAAGACAATAACGTGTAGAAAGAAATAAGCATCCTTTTTTTTTTCTTTTTTTTTTCTTTTTATGGTTTTTATGCTTATTGAATTGTCTTTGATTAGCAGACCTATAACAACATCACTTCATCATGACTCTATCTACCGTGCTCCCACCACGGCCCTCACGACGACTTGATGGGAAAGTCGCCATCGTCACCGGCGCAGGCAGCCTGGGTGACGGCCTCGGCAACGGGCGTGCCATATCTATTCTTCTCGCTGAAGATGGTGCCACAGTGCTCTGTGCTGATCGAGACTTGGCAACAGCAGAGCGCACAGTGGAGATGATTGTCCAGGAAGGAGGTAAAGCAGCCTCAGTATACGCGGACGTGAGCTCAGAAGGAGACTGTGAAAAGCTAGTGAAAGCCGCAGAAGAGAAATTTGGGCGATTGGATATTCTCGTTAACAATGTGGGCATTATGGGTGCCGAGGGGACGGCCGTGGAGGCAGATGCTGAGGAGTGGGATAAAGGGCTGAGAATCAACGTGACGGGGATGATGCTCATGGCCAAGTATGCGATTCCGCTGATGCTGAAGAACCAGCCTGGCGATGGTGGCATACGAGGAAACATCGTCAACATGGCATCCATAGCGGGCTTGCAGGGGGGCACAGCACATCTGTTCTATCCAACTAGCAAGGGGGCAATTGTGAACATGACGAGAGCGATGGCGTATAACCACGGGCATGAAGGCATACGAGCCAATTGCGTGTGTCCAGGATTCCTCTACACCCCCATGGTTGCGGGCGACGGTATGCCGGACGAGGTGCGTGACCAGCGTCGCAGGCAAGGCTTGTTGAAGACGGAGGGAAATGCCTGGGACTGCGCTGCTGCGGTGAGGTTCTTGGCGAGCGATGAGGCGAGATGGATTACGGGGACGGCGATGACGGTGGATGCAGGGGTGACATGTTCGTACTCTATGCCATGATGGAATAACATGGAAAAAAGAAGTAGTTGGCGATGCTGGAAGAAAAAAAAAAGATGTTGCTGGCCGATACGGAGAAGAATAAAACGATGTCATACTTGTCACTTGGAGCTTCAGCATCTACCTATGTAAACGAGAACTGAACGTGGGTACTATCTATCTGTTCAAAAGAGGGTTAAATATTAGACATATACTCATATTAAGTACAAGACGAAATTATACCATAGAAGAAGAAGAGAAAAAAAAGGAAAGCTACTGGCTATTTCACAGAATAATAACATTGAAGTAAGATTTGGATGATAGCGATCCGCATTAGGTAAGCCAAGCTGGATACATATTCACGCCACGCCTTTCACAGCGCCATCTCCTCAACTAAAGTCACGCATCAGCAAAATGAAGACAAAAAAAATTTCATATCAGGCGAAATCCTTGGCCACAGTTGGTGACTTCTACGAGATAATGATATGATATGTGCTTCCCCAGGCGACGTCACGGTGCCCTCGCCCGCAGTCTACGACGTGCGCTCGCAAATATCTAGGGATTCGCGTGGCGATCTTTCGGCGAAATCACAATGGAATCGCCTCTCAGGAGCAAAACTTGATGATACGAACGAGATTTTGGAGATCTCTTAAATGTACTATTAGAAGGTGGCATGCCGGAAGCTCTTGGCGTGAATGCACACCAATATGGTAACAATGGCAGAGGTAAGTTCACTGTTACGAGCGTGGTTCTTTGTTAACAAATCCGCTTCAATTCATGGAGAGAAAATAAATATGAAATCGTATCCTAAACTAATAGTACAATACTTGACAGCTGACGCTTCGTCAACCCCAGGCTTTAAAATCAAGCTTTGAGGGGGGTGGAGAAATTAAGGCCACCAAGGTTCAGACCAAGGCCACTGCTGTTGAGGTTGACACCAAGACCGTTATCACCACCAAGGGTGACATTGAGGAGGTTATCACCACCAAGGAAATCATTGACGGCGTTATTGCCATCGAGGTTTACACCCAGGCCGCTGCTATTGAGGTTGACACCAAGACCATTATCACCACCCAGGGTAGCATTGAGGAGGTTATCACCACCAATGGTAGAATTAAATAGATCAAGTCCACCAAGGGTAGTATTGAGGAGATCAAGTCCACCAAGGGTGGCATTGAGGAGATCAAGACCACCAAGGGTTGCATTGAAGAGGTCAAGACCACCAAGGGTGTCATTGAGCAGGTTATCACCACCAAGGATATCATTGGGGAGGTTATTGCCACCGAGGGTCACGTTGAGAAGGGTTCTGTTGTGGTTTGGACCGAACCCACGGAAGTTCCCATCGGCATCTTGATCAAAGCCATCGCCACCCCAACCTAAATCGCCGGTGAAGGTGGGATCGAAGCTAATTGACGGAATTTCAGACCAGCCACCGCAGTTGCTCAAGAATTGGCCATCGTTCGTCCTCTTATCCCTGGCGACGAGGACTGCGTTGTTGGGATCAAGGACAGTCATTCCAAACTCACCGCAATCCTGAGCATTGACATACAGGATGCGGATGGGGATGTACGTGCCAACTTCGATTTCGGAGACAACCTTCAACCAAGTATTGAAACTAACAGTCCAGCTGCCATCGGCGATCAGGTTGGTATTGATGTTCTTCCAGCCGGCTAGAGCCTGATCGCCAAGCCAGAGATACACGGTCTGCTTCAGTCCACCATCAACCTGGAACGTGTAGGTACCGGCCTCCTTGGGACGGAAATAACCGATGTGGTGGACGATGCTGTAGTCGATTCCAGTTCCGGTGTCGGTACCATATACAATGGCATCCTCAGGAGGGCAGGTATTCTGAATACCCAGTGTCTGGGTCCAGCCAGAATACCTGGCCTCTTGACCAACGAGAGCCACATCTGGTTGAAAGTGAAGGATGGGCCAGTTCTGGACCGTCAAAATATCTGTGTTGCGGAACGGGATGGTGCCCGGGGTGGTTACAGTGTCCCTAGCCGCGCGATTCAACTTGAAGTACGACCATTGGAAACCATTCGAACAGCTGGCGTCTGTACGGTCTGTTCGGTCTGTACCGTCTGTACCGACCGCCCCTGTGAAATGCTTCTTCTTCTCGCATTTGCCTGACTTGCAGTGGTGTCCTTCAGGGCACTCAAAGTTATAGTGGCATTCACCCTCCGTCACGCAAATGTTGTTCACACAGATATTTCCTGCACCACCGCAATCACCCGCAGTGTTGCAGGAAACCCTGGAGATGCACTTGCTGCTGGAGCAAACAGTTCCGGGAAGACATTGGGAATCATTGAAACACTCCTCAAAAGGCTTCGCCTCGCAGTGACCAAAGGCATTGCAGAACTCATCGTCATTGCACTGGCCGTCAGAGCCACAAAGGGGTCCGGCTGGGCGACTCTGGCACTTTCCGTGAATATCACAGGCCTCGGCCAACTTGCACTCCGAATCGACCTTGCATCGGAAATGCTCACCGCGACGACACCTGCCTTCCGAGTCACAGATATCGCCATCTTTGCAATGCGTATCGTCTTTGCAGCTATTGCTCTCCTTGGGCTTGCAGGAACCGTCATTGCAGCCTTCGCCGTCATTGCATTCGTGATCGGCTTTGCACTTGGGACACTCAGCCTTCTGGCAGATTCTCTGGGAGTTGCAAAGGTGGCCCTCGTTACAACCTTTATCGTCTTGGCAAACGGGGACGTCGACTGTCTTACAAATTCCCCAATTGGTGCAGATTTGGCCCCATTTGCAGTCCGAGTTCTTCTCGCAGTCGGGGAAAACAACCTTTTGACAGTAACCGCGCTGATTGCAAATTTCGCCGTGATCGCAATCCTTGTTTGTACCACACTTTCCTCCATTGTCAACCTCACAGGCTTTGTCTTGACATCGAGGACCTGGTATGGGTTGACAGACGCCGTTGGAGTTGCACATTTCGCCGGGCTTGCACTCAGTGCTGTCTTTGCACTCAGGGCCTTTGCTGGTTTCACAGATGGATTTGGAGCTGCAGCTGCACTCGGCGGGGCAGTGGTGCTCAGTGCTACATCCCCCCCAGAGGCCATGATACACATCTGTGGGATCCGTGTGCCAGTTTCCCCAAGTGTGATCTGAGGTGCCGGCGTCCTTGTCCTCGCTCCCAGAGTCCTTGTTCCAGGTGCCTGACTCCTTATTCGGGCTCTCAGGTTCCGTATTCCCAGCCCCCGTCTCTTTGTTCCAACTACCAGAGTCCTTCCCCTTACCCTTCTCGCATTCAACGCAATTCTTCTGTTCAGGGAAGGGTGTAGGAGTGGGGCCACAGGCGTATTTGCCTTGGCGACACATGTGCTCATAGTCCCTCAGGTCGACGTAGGCAGTGCTTGTGACGGTGACAGTCGAGGCCAGCCACTTATTGTCGTTGTCGTGACTATGATCCCCTTCATTGCCGGCCACCGCCGATGCCGCCCAAACAGCAGCCGCCGTCAGGAGGCCGCGGCGAAGAGACCGCGCCATCTTGTTGTGAACGAATGAATGATAAACAATTAACTACAACGAAAAAAAAAAAGAGATGAACGAGCGTTGAGATTTAAAGATTACAATCAAACCGACCATCCGAGAGCAGAGAAACGCGGGTGTATTTAAGTACATGCGCGACAGACCGCGATTGTCGGGGCATCAAGCAACGAGCCGATGAAGAGCTCAATGCACGCTGCAAACATCAACATGAATGGCAATGCATTCCAGCTTTAAATGAAGCATTTTTGCTCCTTCCGTTTCAGGGTTTCCAAGCTCCAAAAGGTTTGAAACATTTCACAAGACTAGGCTTGAGGTTTCAGGCTCGACCCTTTTTATTGGTTGAACCGGTCTTTGCCCTGGATATGCCTATGTGTAGCTGAGATCACTCATAGGCAGTAAGTGATTTGCCAGTTCTATTCTCCTCTGTAAACCGTCAACGATGGCCCTATTGTGTAGCTAACTAACGAGGAATCATCCTCTCTTTCTTCCCTATCCCTACTCCCCTTCAATCGGATTCCATCTATAATAATTCTATCTGCGATATGTCCAGGACATGCGACTTGATTTGCTAGTTTAGACTTCAAAAGCCCGTCCTTACAAGATGTGCTCTTTAGGCAATATCATCCTTTGCATGCAAATAACCCGTCTCACGATTAGGGATATACTTGGCCTACCTATATGCCAGACTATATTCCTAATCGATGCCACAAAAGCTGTTGCTTCCTGTCCTTTACATGCAGATCGGCAGTTGTAGCGCTGTCTTTCCATCCCCTTTCCATCTATAGAAGCAGGAGAAATCATCCAACTGCATTCCCCTAGATGTCTCGCACTCTCGATGCTCAGCTTTGGAAGAAAACGGCCAATGTCTTAAGGTACTGCTATTTTATGCTGCTTCCGTGTTCGATACAGTTGTTGAATGCCACAAGGCATATCGATTAGCTGACTTTGACAAATCAAGTATTTCGCCTTGTTCCCACCTCTTGAGGAACGCGGGGTTGATAGCTGCCTACCTACGAATAAGGCAGAATACCATATGGTGTGCTTTCAAAGCGCTCAGGCCGTTTGATTGCCTGCTTGATAGGGGATTCCTTCTCTTCTACACTAATGGCAGATGGGATAGTGCTAGTAATAGACAGTTTGTTTGTGGTCTAGCACCATTCCTAGCAGTGTCTTGACAGTGTATAGAATATATGGATAGCTCGCTCAACGAGGGCCTACTGTATTATCTCCAGCTCCGCGCTCATACAGCACATAGTCCTGGGAAAGCGTAGGGCTTGGCTAGTTCGTGATGATCTGAATTGAAACCATCGCCTCGAAACAGGAGATCTGCATGGTAGAAAAATGCGAACGCAGCGACATGACGAGGAGGCGGCAGCAAAGGAATGCCAGTCGCGGAGCATAACAATGGCAAGGTGTATTCTTGGTCCTCGCGCCTGGGAAGATTGAGCACGTGTGAATTCCATCCTTTGCCAGGGCTGGTGTGTCTCACCAAGCAGCATTACAAGTACGTACTTTGCCCTCTAGACGCCTGGCGGTGAGAACAACCCGAGGGCAAGGCCGAGGAAGCAAAATGTCTCTCTACGGTGTTCACTTTTTTTTTTTTTAGTCTTTGTGTATTAGCGTCGATCTCTCCCGTCGCGGCGATCTGAAGCTGCTGCCTCGTCTCAGCCTGACAGTTGATCATCCATCGCGTCTAGGCGGGGAGCCGAATTCGGCAGCGGTGCCAGTGATGCGCTGCAGGCCATCTGTGTTCAGCGTTATAGGGCCGAGTCAGTATTTGACACACAGTTGACATCAAGTGTAAGAAGCGGCGAAATGGGGCAAATGTATTTCTCGCGATAAGTGAACGGGCTGTGTACAGAATAAAAATCGAGCATCACACGGAGAAGGCAGCAGAGAGGCCATTACGCCGCTAAGCCACTCTAGTGGAGAAGAGAGAGAGGCTGGGGCTCAAAGTAGAATCGAATCACGCGCGGGTTTTCGCAGTGATTCTGACTGCGCGCGACATACATATTCGGCCATGTGCTTGATTCACCGGCGCCTGTGCACAGCCCTTTGAACTGTGGGTGGACAGAGATTGATTGAGTAAGATGGTTTTGTCTGTATTCCCCAACAAGTATGCCTTGATGTAGGTGCAGTTTGGACATTCATAGCATCGCGCCATGGAGCAATAGCGCAGGTTATAAAAGGGCTCTCTTATCTGCATTGCGTTTACTGATGGCAAGAACCAAAACCAAAGTGGAATCAAACGTGCGGTACCAATCTGTAGACTTTCCTTACATCGACATCGACATTGCTCTCTATCAACCTTGGCTGAAACACAACGAAAAATCACAATGTCTTCCACCATGAATCTCCCACACGTCAGAGTTGGTGTCGCGGCTGTCATCCGCGATAAAGACGGCAAATTCCTCGTTGGCAAGCGAAAGGGCAGCCACGGTGCAGGTAAAGTCTCGTCCCCTTTGACTCTTGCGAGATTCTTCATGTGTGATGGATGGAGGGGAAGTACCTGTGAGATGGCTAGAAATGCAGAGAGTTTGGGCTTGAAACAGGAGGGCTGTCTCAAAAAACAACAATCGAGTTTCGCTGACTGGATATGGTACGAATGATACAGGCACATTGCAGACTCCAGGCGGTCATCTGGAGCATGGCGAAGATCTCGGCGCGTGCGCGGTGCGAGAGACGGAGGAAGAGACTGGTCTGGTGGTCACAGCCGGAAACGTCATCACCATCACCAACGACGTGTTTGACGGAGAGGACAAGCACTATATCACTATCTTTGTCGACTGTGCCATGACTGATCCTAATGCCACGCCAGAGGTAAAGCAAAATCCTTTTATTTGATGTTGCAAAGATAATACGAGTAGAGTTGGAGAGCTAACGCTGGGGAATTTTTTTCCCTTACAGACCACAGAACCCCTCAAATGCGAGGGATGGGAATGGAAGTCGTGGGACGAGCTGAAGCGAATCAACGAAGCAGCCAAATCGAACCCTTCTGGCGACAAGCTGTTTCTGCCTCTTGTTAACTTGGTGAAGCAGACGGCCGATCTCAACGCCTTGATTGCTTCCAAGAGCCAGTAAACAAACGGCTGTGCATGACTCCTGCTCCTTGTTTGTTTGCTCTCGCTTTCAAGCTTATCTTAATACTTGCTTTCTTTCTTTTTCTTTCTTTCTTTTTTCCTTTCTTAAATCCACGGCACTAATATCGGATAAACGGTCAAGGCACAAAAAAAAGGGATGGGGTGGGTAGGCAAATTGGTTTTGCATCCTTTTTTTTTTTTTAGAGCTAGAGGTTAGACCTTATGGTAGGTGCTTCAGAAGCACATTTTGCTTTTTTTCAAGGGTTCAGATCAACGATCTCGGCAGGCAGTTAAGAAAATTGATTTATTTCTTGATTTATTTATTTTGTACTCGTTTTTTTTTTTTTTTTTTTTTTTTTTTTCATGTGAAATACGCTTTTTCCAATGGCCAATCTCATAAATACCTCTGGCCGCGCTGTGCAGCAGGGGATACCTGTATGTAGCGGACGCCGCAATGGTTGATGTTTCGGGGCCTGCGATCCCTATAGTTGGTATAGGCGTTGATTTTCCAGCAGCTGCAGCTCTTGCAGTGGGTTGGCTAGTTGGCTAGTTGGCTAACTGGCATGTTGCCACATTCATCAGCCCAACGGGTGATTCCAGGGTCAGAGGGCCTTTATGTATGCATAGTTGATCGGTCCAAAGACTTTGTGCCTAGGCGGGTGGAGTTTTCAGGGCCTAGAGCTCCCACTGAAGGTGAGCTGGTTATTTGGTGGTCGTTGGATTGTTCTTGTCACAGCGGTAAGTTTGGGTCCGTTCCGGGGGCGGGTGCTATCCGGGTGAAGCTCCTGTGGGGCCGCGTGGTTCCGGGGGCGGTTTGGGGGGGAAGATGTGTTGGAACTGCATGGGGTTATACCTATACTTACTTTACCAGGCTGTTACCTGGTTACATGTACCTAAGCAGCAGGTACAAAGTCTGTAATCGCGATGTGTACACAATACGAGAACAAGAAAGTACGGTATGTTATCCTCTTCCAGTGATCCATTTCCGTGCATATTTCAAACCCAGCTCCAGGTTAGCAGAAGTCTTTGATTAGATATAAGGTCTAGGGTAGACATTGTTTTGAAGTAACTTTTATATAGTACAGCAAGGTTTATATTTATTGTACATAGGTACCTACCTAGTTACAAGTTGGTTTCCTTTCACTAATATACGGATTGCCATTCATTTAGGGTAGCGTGGCTGCTCGTGAGAATGGTAGCTTTGACTGGGGTTTTTTTTTTTTTTTTTTTTTTTTGCATGAGGTGCAAGTAGTATATGTGCCTCGTTAGACTCTGAATGTCAATTGCCGTCTGATATTTTGATTTGATTATTAGCTTTCAATGTCCCGTCGCTTCTATGCTGACTTCTCTGCTGGCCAATTGTGTTACTGCACTTGTAAATTATGTGACATGGAGCTTCAGGCTGCAGCACGCATCTGCCTATGCATGGCTACACACGCGCCTCACACATGCATAGCACAACAACGCAAGGCTACGGGCCTCTGTCTTTAGCGGCATCATATCTCTTGCGCATTGCCATCTTCCTTCTCCATCTTCACCTTGTCTACATCCTTTGCTGTTGCGCCAAGCTCATCTGCCATTTTATGCAGGTATCCGTATATAAAGAACTTGTAGAGTACCTTGTTCAATGCGGCAGACTGTATGTCGTTGTCTTGTACCTCATAGGTATCTATCAGCGCCTGCCGCAGTGCCGGACATCTATGCTTATAGCCGGGCCCTGGAGCTTCGCACCCACTCCATTCCAGCCAACGTAACTCAATGACGACTTCGGCCCTGATATGCTCCAATAGTGCGCGCAACGCAGTTGCAAGAGCTGGCCCCGGCTTCGTTCAATGCTCCTTTGACGACATGCTTCCAGCCGCGTCATCTCCACCTCCTCGCACTCATGCCCTCGCTTCCCGAACCTCGCCGGCCGCGTCTGTTACCGCAGAACCGCAAGCTTCGTCACCTCAAGGGCCTCTCGCTGCGGAACTTGTCGTTTGAGCCCGTGCAGCTGCGCACTTCCGACGATGGTGCCCTCAACAGAAGCCCCAACAAGCTCGGCGCGTTAAGGGAGACCGGGCAGCTGCATGGATCGCGGTCGTCGGACAACTTGCGTCAGGATGCCTTGCGGCCCGAACGATCGAGATCGCAGCCCCCGCGGAGGACGAGCTTGATCGCCGCCAGTACGAGTCCGGCCCTCAAGCATAAACGGCTGAAAGAGCTCCTGGATGATACCTTGGGAGACGCCTTCTTCTCGCTGCACGTTAACGGTATCGAGGAGCCCGTCTACGTTAGCGAAACACGCGAGAGATCGGCGGTATGAGCCACGGACTCTGCGCAACTTTTACAGATCGCTAAGGCTCCGACGCTGACTTGAATTTTTTCTCTTTTCTATTCTAGAACTTCAACTTCCAATTCTTCGAACTGGCATCTCAGGGATCGCTTGTATCCAGATCGTGTCAATTTGTTATCCGAGTATGGGCCAGGCGGCAGAAGCAGGCAACTTGGACCTTCCTGCTAGAAGAGCTGGTTGATCTCAGAGAGCTCAAGTTCATAGGCACGCTGCTGGACCGTCAGTATCCTCAGAATGCGCTCGTCTTTCATCTCGAAGATGGCGTCTACTCTTTTGACTTTCCAACTAGAGAATCCGGACCGAGAAATGCTCCCCCCATAGCGACTTCATCCTACAATGCATTGATGAAATTGGCCAACCTCGAGAGCTCCATCGAGGACGCCATGCAGACCCAGCAACGAATCATGAAGCAGATAAACGATATTCTTGATAGCTCTACTACCGATGCGCCGGATGTGGCCGAACAAGAGGTTGCCTTGGCTCAGAAATATGTCACCATGCAACAGCGCACGAATAGACTTACACAAGCGAGAAGAGACGAATTGCGGGAGTCGCTGCGTAAGCGGAGGGCTGCAATTGCTACAGGCAGAGATCTCCAAGAAAAGGTAGATGAAGATATTAGAAATAATCGTGAGACACTCATGGCAGCCAAGCAGCTGCTGGAACAGACACAACAGCAGATCCGTGGTCAACGTCGCCGCATCTGCTCCGAGCTGGCAGACATCTTCCCCATCACTCCAATACCAAACGCACCGCCTCTCTCCTTTCAAATCTGCAACGTGCCACTGCCAAACTCCACATATGATGCTGCTACTGCTAGGACTTTAAATGAGGACGTTCTATCGGCCGGCCTGGGTCTGGTCACACTACTTACGCGCCACTTACAGCTCTATCTGTCTCATCCGCTCCTCTATCCGCTATATCACCATGGCTCTCGCTCATATGCAAAGGATGACATCTCCCTTCTTACTGAAAAGGGCGGTTCTCGTAGAGAGTTCCCGCTTTATCTCCCCCGAGGTGGATCGACCGCCCTACAATGGCGCTTCGAATACGCCTGGTTTCTCCTCAACAAAGACATTGAAACGCTATGCGCTTCCCAGGGCCTCAAAGTAGTCGACATCCGACATACGCTCCCGAACCTCAAGTATCTCCTCTACGTTTGTAGCGCCGGCACAGACGAAGTGCCCGCGCGGAAAAAGGGCGGCGTCAGGGGCTTGTGGGTCGGGAGACTGAAGGGGAGGCTTTCGGCTGTGCCCTCACTGCTGGATGGAGAGGGAAGCAGTGCGGCGGGCAGTAGGCGCGGGAGCTCGGATAGTGACTTTACGACTGGCCAGCATGCCGATGCGCTGAGGAATGCAATTGCTAAGAGTAATGGACATGGCAATAGTAATGGCAATGGCGGCGATGCAACTGACATGCTGCGGAGTCCAGATGGGCCAGATTTGAATCTGCCGTTTGTGACTGGCGATGCCAAGTTCACTCTGAGGACAAAGGGTCTCCGAGAGAACATTACAGGATGAAATGGTAATTTTTTCTATGCCTAACAAATTTGCGGTTGGGGGTTTGCTTCTAGAAACGCTGAATCGATTCTTTTGATGGGCGTGTAATCTGGATGTTGGAAAAGATTAAAGGTTGAGATATCCTTAGCGATTGCTGGTATACTAGTTAAGTTATCTCGTTTAAACATTAGCGTAATATATAAAAGCGAATGAATTAATAGAGGGCAATTACGGGCGAAGCTCCCTGGCTCATCCAAAGATATCTTTGTCAACTCATCAAAAGACTGTATAATCGCTTGTGCATGTAACAATGCATTCAACACGCCAAACCTCCCGACATCTCGTTTTTAACCCACAAACGAGCGCCCATACCAGTCACCCATCCTAGTCACAGTTCCATAACACCTTGCTGGAAAAAAAAAATAAAATAAAAATAAGACACAGACATAAGGATAATACCCGTTAACCCCCTCCCTCAAGAGATAACAAGAAGCCAACTCTGCCATTTCAAGAGCCCTGCTCAGCGATCCGTTCTCGCAAACTTGACGCTCTTCCTCCTCTCTCTTTCGCCAGTCAAGGTCCGTCCGGGGCTGGAACTCAAAATGCCTCCGCCACTGCCCTTGTTCAATGCTTCCCTCGCCATCCCGACGGCCTTGCTCTGCGGCACGTCGTTGGTATCGCTCCTAATACTACGATCCATAGTCATACTGCTGGGGCCTGAGCGTCCGGGGCTGGATCTCCTGCTAGTGCTAGTCTTGCCGAACTCATCACGCATGCGAGTGCTATCCATCGTGTAACGACCAAGCTCCTCTGCTCGAGCTGTTGTTGTCTCCCCTCTATATTTGCCGGGAAGACAGGCGTGTCCGCAACCGTCGACAGGGCAGCATCCATCGCTGTAGACATTTGGTGAAGAAGAGGACGTGATCTCGGAGGGACGGAGGGCGGCGTGCCAAGTTTGCATGCATGAAGCGTGGCCGCCATGGCAGCAGCTAGGGCAGTACCACCACGCCGTCATCCATGATTCTTTGCTGGGGATGTCGGTAACTTCGGTAGGCAGCGAGCTGGCAATTTCGGCATCACGATGACCACAGACCGCGCAAGGGGTAACTACCTGGCGGCACTTTTCGCAGGTCCAAAATGCTGAATCCCCATTGCTGCGGTCGATTTCTCGGGGCTTGCGGCAATTTGAACACATAAAACCTGCCTTAACACCCTGCTGGGCTGGTGTGAATAAGGAGGTATAGTTTTCGCCCCAGTTGGGCAGGCCAGCAGGCCAACCTTTGATCGCAAGATTTCGCAGGAGTGCAGCCTCGACGAAAAGGCTCATTCCCATGAGACGTGAGTGGTGCTGTCGCAAGATGGCAGTTGCTTGATAGATGTCGATGATAGATTCAGGCACCAGCGGTTTAAGTAAAAGCACCATTGCAGAGGCGTTGAGGGCTGAAGTTCGTGATTCGAATTCCAAGGCGCGTTTTAAAAGAGAATAGGGGTCAAGTGGGCAAGCAGGTATGCTAGGCGTTTTGAATGACTTTGATTCCGATGAGTTAGTAGGAAAGGGATAGGGGCCGTCTTCCCGCCAAGGGAGATAATCAGTAATGACGATATGAGGGCTTGGGTCATACTCGGGAGCTGTAGCCACTGGAGCAGGACTAATAGGCCGAGCCGTTGTAATTTCATTTGATGGGGTCGGACGATGGCCAGCAAAGCCCTCATGGTGGACTTCTGAGTCTTCTGTTTGAGAGGCAAATGATATTTGAGATGGATAAGTATCATCTGTGGCAGCAGTTGTCTGAGAGATCATGAACATCTCTTCTGGCGAATCTGCCCGCGGCATTGTCGCAGAGCTGTTAGATGGCTTCTGAGTTTGCCTCGGAGACTTCTGTTCGCTATCTTCATGCGCTTGCGTCGCAAACTTGGCCCCAATTGCGTTCCCAACTGCCGAGACTTTCAATGACTCGGGCCTCAAAGAGCTTGGGGTATTGGACAAATCTCCCCTCGGCGAAGTGTGATCACTGCTATCAGAAGCAGAAAACACTTGAGCAAAACTATCGTTTGAATCATGTCGAATAGCCTTGACTCGTTGAAGCTTTTCGGCTTCACTATACTCCCTCATTGGCACATCGATGGCCCGTGATAGAGCTTCCATGTCATAAAAGTCATATCCCTCTGTGATAGATGTCTTGGACGCTTCACTATCATGGCTCATCTCTGAAATCGGCGCAGAATCATGACGCTGACGAGGACTGGGACGATATGATCCATGAGCAGAAGGCCCTAAGTTGAGGCTTTCGGGTTCGATGATGGGCGTTAGTTTCTTTCCATGGGGATAGTGCCGTTCGTCCCATTCAACAGTAGCGCCTTCGCCTACTGGCCTTACAAGGGGGGTCGGCACGTTAGAGGTGCTCTCGATTTCCTCTGCTAGCAGTGACCTCCCCATTGAGAGGCGTCCGTCAACGCTCCCAGCTTGGCCAGATGGTCTGCGTGACGAGTCATCGCCATTCGCAAGACGGCTAACGTGAAGGTGGCTAGGTGTCTTCTTAATATTGGCTTTCCCTTCGTCAATGCTCCTCTTACGGAATTTCTCCGTTCTAAGCCGCAAGTGATATTCCGCTCGTTTCTCCAGCAGGAGTGACATGGCATAAGCAAGAATACGCCATGTCTGTGATAGTCGGTATTGTCGAACGTTCTCCGCAGCTACAGCATATTTTTCCATGATGCCGGCTACTCGTTGAATCAGTGAATTTTCACTGCCATCCAGAGGTAATTCTTTCTGGAGGATTTCAAGGTAGTTACTGGAAAGATAATGGTACACGCCCACAGACTTTGCGGCTGGAACATGTCCAGATGCCATCCCCTGTTGGGTCTTGAATATACCAGTAACGTTGATGGACTGCTCTAGGCCAAGAATTTGCTTCCCATCATCAGGTAAGTTGGGCAAAGACGGCGGAGTGGTGCTCATTGGTAAGCCAGACCTGGTGCTAAGACGTCTTTTGCGAATCGTTCGTCTGCGAGGCCCTAGAAAGCTGCCCAGAACATCTTCTTCTGAGTCGCTTCGACTGACGCTAAGCATTGGCGTATTGGGGCTTGTGCTGAACGGAGTTCGGGGTATCACGTCTGAATCATGAGTGACAGACGGATGCGGTCGCGGAGGTTGTGGTCGTTCATCAAGGAACATGACTACATCTCCCCGAGATGAAAATGCCATAGCAGAAGTAGATTGACGATCAATAACTTTAGGGGCGTATGCAACATCGCACTGATTGAACATTCCATCCCGCCCGACAGTCCAGAGCATGTCCTGGTCTAGCCATGCAAGTGCCGACGGCGAACTGTCGAATCGTTCAATCTCCTTGTACGGCATTGCGGGCCTCGCCAGATCCCAGATGTGAACAACCGAGGTGCCATACCGTCGATTGCTCATCTCGTCATAGCTCACAGCGACTTGAGCAAGACGTCGGTTCTGAGCAGTCGCAGACCAAAGGCCGGGCCGCCAGGCAATTGTAGTCACTGGTGCCGGTGTAGTCACGCTCCACTTGGGTTTCTGTCGCTTGTCTGCGGTCCCTCCAAAATCCCATACATGTAGTTTCGCATCCCAGCCAGCACTCATCAAATGTATGCCATCAGAATGCCAAGCAATGGCAGAGCAAGACTTTTCGTGAGCGTTGATCCTTAGTAAAGGCCGAGAAGGCTGCCGAACGTCCCATTTCAAGATAACTCCGGATTCCGTACAGCAGGCCAGCTCATGACCGACCTTGGGCGACCACTTGACTTGTCTGACAGGCTCATTGCTTTTCATAGCTGAGAATCGCTGTCTAAAAGTTAAGAAGCCGGCTCGTGTCTGCCACGGCGCGGACACGTCAAAAACTCGGACTATTCCATCATGACTTCCGGACAGCAGCCAGCTCTTCAGATGAGGATTAACATCCAAGCTGTGGACCTGTCGAGAATCTTCCTGGACTTGTATGTAGTCGGGGGCATCGGATACACCACCAGAGCCAAGCCTAGCCACGTCGTAGGCGAAGATTCTACCGGCAGCACATGCTGTAAATATCGTCGACGCGCCCTGCCACTTGACGTCGCGAATGTTGAGTTGATCTGCAACAAAATTGCCACCAGAACCAGACGACTTCTGCGCCGTGATGGCCGATCTTAAATCCACACCGTCGGTGAACTTGAAGCTGAAACTGGAATCGCCAGATGTATCCGTCACTATCGTTTTGAGGACGTGAGGGCCGCCCAGCACAACGGCACGGTGATCCGGGGTCACATCAAGGCACGCAATGGGGCTGCCCACGGGGTATACGGCGTTCTGAGACTTTGAGGGACGAAATATAGTCGGGATGTTCGCTTGGCTGTTGGTAAGGTCGCCGCTGGTGGCGTCTGGGGCTGCCTTGCCCAGGAGCTTGCGCATGATCCTGGAGTCGAAGTGCGCCTGGCGTGCCATGCCAGTCGGTTCAATGGCGCATCGCGTGGAAGAACGAATATTCTAAGGCTCAATTGCGTGTTGACAATGCGGCGCGCCTGGATAAATGGCCATGGGACTTATGCTGTCGACGCTTGAAATCCCGTTTCGACCGCACTCATGCCTGACGACAAATGCATATGAAGTCACCGAAGAGGACTGCAGTTGCGTCTCCAGGCCAGGTACATAGTTGTACCTAACCTGCTAGAATCTAGCGTGGGCGACCTAAGGTATGCTGAGGCAGCGGCTGTAGTGGGGAAATCCAGCGCTTTGCTGAGCGCGGGGAGTTCCATGGCTCTGGAAGCAGTATCAAAGTACTGGGACTTGAAGATACCTATGAGCAGCTGGAGATTGGGCAGCATCGAGTAAGAACAAGAGTGATTCACACATATCCATACCAAATGACAGCCTATCTGATCAGATGTCCAGATATCTATCACTTTGCCTTTATGTTGGATTTTGGACACTGTCTCTTATTTTGCTTTGGCACCTGCTATCAGCTTCGAGCATTTAGATAGCATTCGTTCAGAGCACTTTGAGAGGACAAGTAATGTAGTTAAGTAGTGAGTAAAAGTAATCTTCCATCTAGGTAGGTATTTAAAAAGAAGACGACATCCAAATACAAAGGTCTGTCTGCTGGATATTATATTATTCTAGAGCCAAGACCATCCGGCCCTGCGCAGGAGATCTAGAGGTTAACCGGCGATCTACCGATTTGAGATGTTTTCATTTTGTTTTCGGGAGGCCAAAGCCCGAATTCGCCAATCATCGCGCTCACAGTTCGACAAACGGCCCAGGATGCCGTATTTCCTGAACATTGACAGTGCTGTTAATGAGATCCAATTTGTTTCGAGCTTGGCTCGGGCATCCTAAATAGACTCAATAAGCTATGAACCTGATTTGTTGGGCTTCTAAAAACCATACCTCGCTGAATTAGATTATATATGCCGACATGTCGTGACCGCGGGTCATCACATCGGCAGCAGACTTGTTGTCTTGGTATTATCTCGAGTTTTTCATGCATCGTTGCTCTTGGCGTCAGGACTCCTGCTTCGGCTGCGACCTCTTCTACCACCAGCCCTGCCGCCACCTTGCCTGCCGCCTTTGCCAGGAGGAGGTCTGACGAAGGCAAAGTCCACTTGGATCGTCTGATCTAACAATTTTGTATCGTGTGCTCCATCGATCGCCGCTCGAGCCTCTTCCAGTGTCGCATATTCGATCAGAGCGTAGCCCTATAGAAGAGAAATTAGCGAGATGCTCCATTTACAAAATCTGCTCTGCCAGTGTAATATCGTACCTTGACATAACCACTACGTCTATCAAGATTAAGATGCAAGTTCTTAATCTCTCCGTAGTCTCCAAATTTGTCTTGCAAAGCTTCTTCGTCGGCCTCTTCGTGGACATTTGTGACAATGATAATCCATCCCTCAATTGACCGGACTGCCGTTGCCTTGGTATGTGTCTGCATTTCGGACTCGTTCCGCGTGGAGGATGGCGGAGCGTCATCGACTTCCATATCTACGTCGGCCATCTTGGGCGATGAATAACGTCTGTAAGGCGAATGGGTTTGTATGAATGGACTGAAGCTTTGGTAGCAACCAGTACTGCTAACATACCGCGGGGCAGAGATTCGGCTGCGAAGCGCGTGTATCACGTGACGATGATCACATTTGCGCAGAACAAGGATTCATGCAATTTAATACTGCGTATATATGTCCATGTTTGGGCTACATATGATTAAGCTGCAATGGAGCTTCTATTCTAGGGAAACCAACCAACATCTCATTTACTTCTACGACATGGATATGCAAATAATACGGTCTACATGTTAAATTTTGCTTTGAACGCACTTAAAGAACATGCATCCAAGCCAGAAAGGCTGAGCCATGTGATGGCAAGTTTCTCCAGCGTTGTGAATATCATCCTGCCAAGTATCCCACGGATTGGACCAGGATAAAAGCGTTGTAAATTTTGGTCGTTGGAATGCTTGTGGTCGCAGCGGATAGAAAGCACATCACCGGCAATATCATAAACGGAGCCTGCAGTCGCGGACGAATCTTCGTTATATTGACAAACGACACCAGACGCCGAGTACAGTCATCGCGCTTCGTCGCATCTCTCAAACTGTGGATGATGCTCAGCCAGCCAATCGACCCGACTCAATCCATTTCCCTATATGCTGAAATCAAGCAACCATCGGAGAACGGCCCCGTTGTCAATCCTCAAATCCTTCTTTCCCTAGCCATCTTTAAAATCGTTTAAGAGCCGGGGTTAGGGTTCATCTATTTCCGTCGTCAGCAACGGAGTCCCGGATAATGCTGTATATATCGAATATTTTTACCTTCCGCTTGCCACCGGTCAGGGTGACGTTGACAAATCGTCGGGTGTACTTGTGGCGCTTAAGAGCACGACCCTTGGGGGTCTTGGCCTTCTCCTGAGGCTCAACCTGTAGGGGGAAAAAATCATCAGTTTTCGGATTCGTCAGCGGGGGGTAGGCGAGTCGATGCGTCGTACTTTAGGAGTCTGAGACTTGACCTTGCCTGGAAAAAAAGAAAGTTAGTTGATGGATAAAGAGAGGCAATATGGTTGGGCAGAGTTTTCACATACCGGCACGGGCAAGAGATCCGTGAACTTTACCCATGGTGATAGATTGGTTTGGCGATGATGTGGACGAGGAGTCTGCGGTGGCGCGGTGAGATTTTTGGGGATTTCGCCAAATGATTGTGGGCGAGAGGTATCTATCACGTGAGCGGGGACTGCCCTGCCGGATAATTATGTGACCCGATACTCTCGCCGATGAGTCAGCGATTGCCCGTTTCTTCGGGTTGCTGCTTCGCCGAAAGAACTGTTATTGGCTATTTCAAGACCCACCCTGCCGGGCCTCAGATCTCACGCTACTACTGTGCTGCAGAACGGTAGACAAAAATAATCGAGACGACTCCTATGGGCAGGTTTTGTTACCGTATATTGCGAAGTACAAATACTGAGATGTGCATATCTATAGATAAAATTGCATGGCATCAGCAAGAACATGAATGAATACCTCCGCAGCCCTATCCGGTTTGCATCGTCTTACTAGCTCCTCTCTGGTATGTAGTAGTTGCTCTCTCATGAATTTTGTCTACCGCTCGCCACGCTGCGGTGCCTAAAACATGGGCGCTGCACTATGTCGTCATTGCTTGTTTACTGCTCGCGTGCGCCAGATATGCATCTCCAGGATACTCTTGTCCTGATCAAGGGCGAGAAGCTCGATTATTGGGTTACAGAATACTTGAAGGCATTGAAACTCATCTTGTCGGCCAATAGCGCAGCAGCATATTTGTTAAACTCTCCTGAAGCAGAAACTACACCCAAAATATCTAACAAGAAGATATAAAACGATTCAAGCCTATGCTTTCATGAAGCTTTCATTCCAGCTTAGCACCATCAACTCAATACAATTAGAAGTCTTTGTTCATTTAATTTGACCAATGCTTTGACAAATATCTTTTTTAATTTAATGCCCTTTGGCAAGACTTTCGTATCTTCTCTCCTTTTTGGCATGTGAATGTATATTAGTGACGATGTGCATCATTTTAGACCCGCAAAGAAGCTTGCTCTGGCTTTGACTGTATTTCTGACGTCACGATTCCAAGCAAAGTCACCTCACCACCGTAAATCTCGTGCTGAATCCAGACAATACGCCTCGTTTTCTCTCCTCTACTTCTACACAACAAAAAATCACATTATGCGCTCCTGGAAGTACCTCAAGCAATGACGGCACCTCCACAGGCCAGCACGAAGCCTCTTCGGAAGTCCGCTGTTAAACCACGAAAGACTCTCAGGGAATTATTTCTGCACCGCCTTCCTCACTACAATGGGCCGTACAATGTTGGATATATGGATATTGAAGTTCCAGTTCGCAATCCGCGGCCTGTATCCGATCTTCGAAGAAATGGAAAACCGGTACTTCGACTAGATACCGTCCTCATGGGGATATACTATCCATGCGACTTACAATCCCATAATGGCGCTGGAAAGCCTCACCGTGTTGACTGGATGCCACGACCACGAGCCGCAACTGCCAAAGGCTACGCCAAATACTTGCATATCCCAGCACTCCCAGTCACTGCTTACCTTGCCTGCACCTCTTTATACACAAAGTTGCCTGCATTCCGAAACGCTAAACTGGCTGCTCACTGGCCAGAGGATATACGCAACGATACTGGTCCAACCGGACAGAAAGCTCGAGAAGAAGAAGAAAACCCGACAAGCCGACCAAAGTTTCCTGTTATAATATTTAGTCACGGGCTTGGTGGCTCACGGCTTTGCTACAGCTCAATATGTGGAGAGCTTGCGAGTTTCGGGTTCTTTGTTATAGCAATAGAACATCGGGATGGCAGTGGTGCTAGGACATATGTCAGTCTTCCAAGTAATGTTGAGGCTGCCGCTATCGAGTCATCAACTGCTGATCTACACACCAATAACGAGGGTAAAGAACACACTTCAGATAAAAAGGTACAACGTCGAAGGAAAAAGGGAGTGAATCCGTATTATGTGATGGATTATATTCTTCCTAAGGATAATGCACAGGATACTTCTCCACATAACCGCAGAGGCGTCGATCATATTTTGAGATCAGCACAGATTGAACTACGGCAAGAAGAAATCAAGGAAGCATTCTATATCCTCAATCTGATAAATTCCGGCCGTGGTGACGAAGTTGCGTCCCTGAATCTCAGAAAGAAAGGAAACATAGGTTCCAGCTCTATAGGGCTCAACGGTGTCGACTGGGAGGATTGGAAAGATAGAATGTTTCTGAGCAAAGTCACTATGATGGGGCACTCATTCGGAGGCGCAACGACGGTTCAGATATGTCGAGACGATTCTCTTACATGGCTAGGCCAGGGCATTATTCTTGATGCATGGGGCCAAGCAACGCCCCCAGGCGGAAAGACTTTGAAGGAAAGAATCACCAAGCCCATCATCTCCATTTCGTCCGAGGTTTTCATGCACTGGAAAGACAATTTCGACAAAATAGTCGAATTTAGTAACGAAGCCCGTGATTCAGGAGCCCTGTGCTGGATGCTCACAGTAGTTGGATCGACTCATCTAGCAATGACTGACCTTGCTGTACTTTACCCACAATGGATGTCGATATTGATGAAGTCTATGGTTGATCCCCTACGAGCAGTCTCTCTTACTACAACTGCGTCGTTGGAATTTCTTAAGATCATTTTGCCTCCAGAACAAACCAAGTATAACATGTGGGCAGATGAGAAGCTGTTACAATCTGCAGAGCCTCCTTCCGAGCCTGAGGAGTCTCTTCGAAGTGATCACGCTCCTGACCATAAATGGGTTGCTGTACGATTGAAGATACCGAACGAATTTACGGTACGATTGCGGGTGTGGGTTCGACGAACTTGGCGGTTTATTGTTTGTACTGGGCGTGAAGTCGCTGATCTCAGTGGCGGGCTTCAAGACTTTGGGCAAAAGGACGAAATTTGGACTCATATGTGTCCCACCCATGAAGCGGTGCAAGAGCATTTGAACCAAGTTCGATGAAGCTTTGGTCGCGAGTTTCTAACATTACCAAGCAATCATTTAAGGTACTGATCGTATTGTTCGATTATGACTATGAAAATGTATATTATGAATGACGAATCATTAAAGTAGCGATATGAGTTTAGCGTAAACATGAACAAGGAGCTTGTACAATATCACTGAACACTAACAAGACATGTGCAATGCTAAGAAATTAATCACAAAGCGACGCTCTATCCAATATGGCTTCTAAAACACAGTTCCCCCACATGATTATCTATATGTGGCATTTGATTGCGAATTTGTGTTAGCCCCCTAGTAATGCTGGTTCTAGGATAACTCGATGAGAATACGTTTTGGGGATGGTTGGCAATCAGACACACCATTATGGAGCATACTTGAACCTATCAGACTGTATTTCAAGTTTTTCAAGCTTGAGAGATGCCAATAGAGCAGTAGATTATAGGAGTTTAGCTGGGGGTAAATGTGTTTATCGCCGGTGTGTGGGCCTCCAGTCGGGAAGTCGGAAGCAAGGGGTATTGTCAGCGCAAAAGTATTCTACTTGTCTCAGTCTAACTGAAACTACGGGAAAGAGGTGGCCGGTGTGTTTTAGATATTGAAATTTACGATTACTTCTATGGAGAATTAACGCCGTCAGAAATGGCTCTGATATTGGTATTGGTGGAATTATCAATCTGTCACACAAATTAGCGTAAAGAGCTTTTCCAAATTATATGCAGTATCCATCGGGACTCTCCGATGGATGAGATGTTCGGTGAACCTTGAGAGCTCGCTGCTGGCTATAGACAGGCCAAGCAATTCTTCATGGCCCAGCTACCAGGTAGCCCTATATATCATCTCCATTCTCAGATAAATAGCAGTCTATAAGAAACTACGACCAGATATTATAATAATACATTATCGTACCTTAAGTACTAGAATCCTTTATATAGCAGCTGTTTTTTGTATTATACCATTACCCTTGGCGCTGCTACCTTTCTATATAGAAGTGCTGCTTCCTGAAAAAAGCTAAGTCCTGAGGAAGCCAGCCACTATAAGCCGCCTATTCGGAATTAGATATAACTTGCGCTTAGATCTTATACACTCATCCAAGCTGACACATTTATAAGTGCTATATTGTACCTTTATTTCCATAAATGATGTAAAGGATGGAGGATAACAGTCTTATTTTGGAACACCGGAAGCAGGGTTTTCAGCGTAATGTAGACAGATTCATATGTCTTTAGTCATTACCATGACTAACAAAAGCACTGCCAAGTAATGAGACTATGAGAAATGGTGACTGTTTTATCCTAGACATTTCATTTTACTGCCTTCAGTGTCATCGTGTTTGGGTAGTGTTTCAGAAAGGATGCCTCTGATCCTGGCACTATTGGCGGAAAACCATCACTCGGTAAAACAGCTTGATGCAAAAAGCTTTGCCCAATTATATAATTATGATGTGAAACAGGCCGATCCATCGGAGAGTCCCGATTGATAGTATATTCCGTGAACCTTGAGAGCTCACTGCTGGCAATAAAGGTCGAACACCGTTCGTGGTCTAGCACGTCTATATCTTACATTCACTCAAGATAGTAGTCTACGAAAAGCACTACTGCCGAATAGATATATTAATAACGCATGATCATGTATCGATTACCGTCAGAATGCTTCTTCAAAATACTCTCAATATCACACAGATGAGACGTTGAGGTAATTATGTTAGAAACCGTAAAACCTGATGCGGTAAAGACAAAATAATATCTAGAAATAAATATGGAGGATTCATCAAGCTTATGCTTGTTCATAGATATCCGCGGCTGTTCGTCTAGGACACTGTATATAAACGGCTAGGCTGTGGCTTCGATTCTAGGAGCTGCAACATTATAGGGCATGTATAGTATGTGAACCTATGATCAGGCTTGAAGAGTTTCAGTAGAGCGGTCGACGACAAAGTTGAAATGGAAGAAGATATGGTTATCGCCGGTATGTCGGCTTCGTATCGGAATGTCGGCGGCGAGAGGCATAGCTCGATGCAAGATGTTCATGGGTCTCACTCCTCGCCGAACGTTGAAAGCCAATCAAACAATTCCAAATACTGAAGCTTTGAGAAAGAGGTGGTTGGTACATCTCAGACATTGTCTGTTGCCTTTATAAGCACCGGCCTTGACAGCGGCAACGAAAAGATGCTTCGGTTGCTTGTATTGGCCGAAGACTATCAACTCGTCACAAACATTTATGCAAGGAAGACTTCCTACTTATAATATTTCGACATGCAGCACGCCGTATCCATGGGAGAACACATCTTGTGTGAACCTTGAGAGGTCGCTACTACCTATAAAAAGGCCGAACAATTCCACAAGAACCGGCTACACTTGTCTATCAACCTCATTCTCAATTTAACATTAGCCTACAGGCCAACAAGAAATACTATTACAAAATAAGCACACAGCGCCTTATTTCCTCCAAATTCCTCCAAAGCACCAGCAAAATGCATTTCAAGACTATTATTTATACCATTGCATTTGGCGCCGCCGCCTTAGTTCACAGTGCTACTACTGCCTCTGAGCAGCAAAATCCTGAGGAAGCCAATCACTACGACCCACCGATCAACCCATTATGTGCGGTTCCATGTAGCCCCATCAACTGCCCGCCTCCTTTACGATGCATTAACGGCTGCTGCGGTTTTAATGCTTAAATGGGACAAAGGATAATCTTGGCATTCATGGAATATAGCCGATTTGCAAGGACGGCCGAATGCCGGGATGATTAAGGGTGACTGGATATGGGAAAAATCAGGTACAAAATCTACATTTTATGAATAGGAACTTGAATAAATTTATCCCATCAACCCTGACTACGTTACCAATGCCCGCGTAGCCAGTGAAATTCGTAGATGGGAGAACTACTTCGTTGTTTGTCGATACGTTGTGCAAGATGTGGAGAAGCATTACGGAATAGTATTACATGACCACTTCTAGATCTTAATACCAAGTGTGTATGCCAAACGCCCGCTATCACATCCCGTTTATGATCAACCCTGCTGTCATCAGCGAGATCGACATATGCCCACTTGGAGGCTGGTGGCTGCTTGAATTGTCTGCACGATTTCGCGTGGCTAGCTCCGATTTGCCACGCCTTCTATGCAGATACATGTATCGTATATTCAATGGGTGTTCAATGGGTGGATACTCTGTCTGGTTGTGATCTCCTGTGAGCGTGGATTGACATGGACTTCTGAGCTTCATTGGACACACTAGGTTGCGTGGATGGATGTCTTCCACGCTGCGAGCTGCACTACGAAGCACGTATGTTGTGCATAATGCAGCATGGGGTCGATCCTGGATGTATACGAAAATAGCGATACTCCTTACTTTGCTTTCTAATACGATGGCACAGTAGACTTCGAAGTCACATTGCTCTTCGTCTCCTTACCCACCACTCCCAAATAGAGGTTTCAGCTTTTTGGACTTTCACCAATGCAGTTACGTGATAACATGAAGTTTTGTTCCCCACGCTGTCATTGACGCTCATCTTTGAAACGGTAGAGGAAACCTTTTTCCACTCTCAATGGCTTGGTCTTGAAGTATGCGTGCGTTGAGGTGTAAAGGAGTCATGTGTCTCATTTGTCAAGCGTAAAACTATCCACGGCAATGAAACCGATCTACACGCAAGTGTAGAGTATATCGCCACTACTGTAGTATATCCTCATACTGGCATATGCTCTCATTCACCCTTTTGCCCCTTTTCAGCTCTCTTTTTAAACTTTCCAAGCTGAAACGGTTGGAGCAATGCACACGGGTTTGACCATCTTGGCATTAGAATCAAAAGCAGAATTAGAATTGTTGGCATGTCGCGCTGTCATGACCATTGGGTCGCTTCCATCGTTCCACCCTGCAACAAAGTTCGTGTTTAAAAACGGGGCCGATCGAGGGAGCTAAATAAAGCGCCAGCGTCCCCAGACTTGTTCCTATTTTTACGCAGACTTTGGAGGCGCTTCTTTATTCACAAAGCCCAAACGTGCTGCTGGCGCGCTAACAGCCAGCTAGTGGCCGGGGGTTAAAGAGTCGTGAACAATCCATGTCGGCGATCGGCCCCGGATCCAGTGCTGGTCTTAGCAAACGCCACCAAGGCGACAGTAGCTGGTGGAGAGACCATTCAAGGCTGCTTTGGCGTCTTTAGCGGCTCGTATCGAAAAGAGAGGGCACAGCATGTTCGCCCGTTCCATTGACAGCTGTGAAGGCAGATGGAACATGATGTGTGCAGCTTGAACGGGTCAGTCAGCCAGGCACTGAACTTTCAATCTCAATGTGCTTTCACGCCGCAAGAACAAGCAGCAATGCGGATCGATGTCAGTCGCCCAAAACTAAAAATACAGAGCAGCGGCATTGCGCAGTGGAGCTGCGTCAGTTGGCATCTCCCACCGTCCCGTATACATGCAGACTCCATGCGGCGGCGCGGAGCATATACGGCGCGAAGTAACGCTATGGTTGGTGCCTGCTACTGCAGACAGGCACCGCTGGATCCCCTTCCGAACCCTCATCCTCCTTGTCCCATGCCTCGTCCCTGTGCTGTACATACTTGTAGCATGTTCAGTAGCACCCACCGCCACTAATTCCGAGTTTCTCGCTGCGCTATTCCTGTTCCCCTGGCCCGCAGAATCGCTGCGTGCTTTTCCACCTGCCCAAAGTATTTGCCAGTCCTGACATTGCTGGATGTGGATTCTGCCTACGCCGTAATCCGTTAGCACTGCCTGCAAGGTAGCACCGCTGACGGTGAGGCAAAGATGCACCACGAGAGTACGAGCAGCAGCATGTCTTTTCTGGGGCTCATTCTCCCTCTGGTGCTCTGCAGGCATTTTCTCTTTGCTCTTGGACCGCAGGCCCATACGGAGCAGCGCAGGGTGGTGAATCATCCCACTGGCCCCTCGCGCGTAACTGCTTTTGCTGCTGCTTCAGCTGGCATGGCCCGTCTGCTCGGCTCATTGGACCACCTCATCGCCGCTGTCTCAGTCTTGCACACCACACCACATCGCCCAAACCTTGCTCCAAGCTCGTATTGCGGGCACCAAGGCCGCTGGCCTGGTTTTTGGCGCCTCCTTTATCCGCTCGCTCCCGCGACTAGTACTCTCTTTACGAAGTAGCAATATTGTAACGTCGTTCGCCTTCGCTTTTCCCTGCCCCCACGTGCGGTCGCTGGAAGCTTCCTGCGAGGGCCAACGCCCAACCGCTTTTCTGCCGAGGACAACTCAGGCCTTCGTGCTTTGTGGTTGGGTGGGCTTTGTTCTTCTTCGCTTTGTCCCTTCTTCATCGTCCTTCATTGCCAAAGGGCTTTCACGCTCCATTGTCCTTTGAGGCTACCCTCGTACCCCAAAGCGAGGCGTATGTTCCCAGCTGTTCGGCGGCTGACCTTGTACCAGCCACATCGTTGCCGCTGACGAGCTTTGTCTCCCTTGTGCCGCTTTGAACTCGCCGCAATCTGGCGGTCTATTTTTACGCCTCCTCGCCCATTCGACTGCTGGCTTGCTAGGCAGCATAAAGCGACCCTAGCAAAAATGTCCAGCCATAAGACTCGACCCGCTCGGTCAAATAGCTTGCAGCGCATGCTTGAGCTCGAACGTCGTTACATGGTAAGCGGAGACCAGGATGTTACGTCTCCAGGTTTCAAGACTCTAAATAATCTTATACATGCTAATGCGCACTCTCTGTCAACCAAATCTAGCTCGAACGACTTGAAGCTTCGCGCAATTCTATATCTAAACCCGACACTGTCTCCAGACCACCACCTGCGCCGTCAAGTCGCCCAGCAGCTCAGGCTTATCGCATTGAATCCTCGACTCAAAAGGATGCTCGGAAGGGCGCTAGCACAACCAGAGACAAGATGCCCATCACTCAAATAGTTCCGCTCACCATCAACATCAGCTCCACCAATCTTGGGCTGGATGCGACAACCGAGACGGGTACCGACGCGCAAATAAAAACGGTAATTTTACCTCAAAGTCAGCCAGGGAGCAAGCCGGTACTTAAAGCTGTATCATTTGATGTTCCCCCAAGTGGTGATGAAGATGAACGAAGGTCCATCTGCCAGTCTCCAAGTTGGGAGGCATATGGCCGGCGCAAAAAAACTGAGAAAAAGGATGTGAAAAAAGAGCAGAAGAAGGAGCAGTTGAAGAGGGAGCAGCAGAAGAAGGAAGAGGAGAGAAAGGAACAAGAGAGAAAAGAGCAGCTGAGAAAGGAGCAGCTGAGAAAAGAGCAATTGAAAAAGGAACAGCTGAAGAAGGAGCAGCTAAAAAAAGAACAGTTGGAAAAAGAACAGCGCAAAAAGGAGCAGCAGGTGAAGGCAACAAAGCGTGAAAAGGAGGAATCCACGCTCAGGAATGCTTTAATTAAGAAGAAGCGCTTGAGCAAGCAACCTCCCGCTTCTTCGCCGCATGCCATAGACCAAGCGAATCGTATGACATCCGCGGCGGCGCTGGCGGCTTCGAGAGATAGACAAAGACCTTCAAGCGCTCTAGAATTTACAACTCCCTCCGGAGATGATGTGCCCAGTCGCCCTCATCATGGACGATCAGGCTCTTTCACCTCTCTGATCAGGTCTCCCTTTGAGTCTCGGCGGGCTTCCCTTGAAACCTCTCGTCCCAGTGAAACCGGCTTTATTGGAGGCATAAAGCTGGAAATTCAACGACACGCCGCCTACCAAAAAACTGTGGAAGGGCCTGAGAAGATGGATGAGTCTAAAATCCATCCAGCGCTCCGGACGAACAATGCGCACAACCAAAAGTGGTCTGCTCCCCCTGCCCGCCCAAATCCAGAGTCTCAGCGACGGGCTTACCCTCCCATCACGAGACATCCAGCTACTGCAGCCAAGACAAGGTCTCTCATCTCTTCGGCAGAAATGGATGCTTCAGATGCGGGAACAATGGACAGATGGAGAGCCTTTGTTGGCTTGAAGCCCAAGGACTCCGGGGAGTCATCAAAGGCCGCTACTCAGCAACAAGCTTCGAAGCAGCCCGTCACGACCAATGAGGCAGCAAACCCTGCGTCTGCGGTGTCACCGCCTCAGACAAACGTGAAGGAGAAGCCGGCCGTCGTTGCTGCTTCCCAAACAAGCAGAGGCCCTGACATCTCCCAGCCAAATCTCCCAAACGGCAGCGGGAAGCCTTTGGACCAGAGCTCAAAACCTAAGCTCACTGTATCTACCGCCATTCTCCCGTCAAATAGCCCCGTTCCTGCTCCAAGGCCACAGCCCAGGGAAAAGACAGCCCAGCCCAGCCTTGTATCCTCCCCTGATGGTATGAAGAGCGGCGAAATTGCAGATAAAGGTCTCACTCAGAATGTAGCCTCTTCACAGCTATCTTTGCCACCAGCCCCACCTCGTCGAAGTTCAAAGAGAAACTCACTTCTGAGCTTGAATTCAGTATCATCTGTGTCTTCACCACGCTCACCGGCACATAGACCTAGCAGCTCTGACTCGTCCAATAGCAATCATGATCTAGCTGCAGTTAAATCAAACGGAGTTTCCGAGTCTCATACAACTGTCACAACTCCGCATGGACGGGCTCACAACTCCCCCAACCTAGTGACGAGCGCTATCGAACCAAAAGGTGTAGAGCTACAGGGGGGTGGTGCATCTCTGCGTACGTCTACACCACGAGAGGCCAGTCGCATTGCTAGGGACCACAGGCCGGACCCAATAAACATACCATTATGGGACGATATTGAGTCTTCTGTTTTGCAAGCGATCGACACAAAAATATCGCTATCTCCGATCCGCAAATCTCACAATTCCTTGCGGGACGATAGCGATTTCACCGTTCGTCGGCTCACAGACGGCCCAGCCCCCACGACCTCGGGAGATGACTCTTCGTCTGACGATTTCCACTCAATATCGATGCCTGGTACGCCTGACACCTCCCGAGCTCAATCCGAAAAGGATATTCCCCCCATGAAAGATGCTGAGAGTAAGCGATTAGCTACGGAGAGTCGCATGAGAACTAGTTCCCAAAGCCCAGCTAGACAGCCGCTTCTCCTCCAGCCAGGGGCTGGCTCGAGCCAGAATAGTCTGGGGCTGAAGAATTCACGACCTGTGGGCAAAACGACCACTGCTGTTGTCCCCGGACAAGCCATTTACCACCGGCTTCAGTTGGAGGCTGATGTGATACCTGGAGCCGATTTCCTACCGAAGTTGAAGCATCAGCCTCTAAAGGTGGTGGAACACGTAGCGATGCCAAAGCAGCACCTTCAGTCAACACTGCTAGTCCCTGGGCCAGCTTTATACCTCGAAGAAGCTCGGAAGGCAACTCCCTTGGCCCCTCCTCCTCCACTGCTAGGATCGCCTCGCCTTGGTCCAAAAGTCACACCGCCATCCTCTATCCGGAGCCAGCCTTCATCCACATCTGACCTTGCACTCGCAAAGGCGCCACGGCACGTACCAGGGTCGCCTGTTGTTGGAGGCGAACCAATTGCAAAGATGTTTGTCGAGTGCTGCGGATGCAAATACTTTCACGACATGCCCAGCAACCTCTATGAAGCTATGGCTAATCCAGAAGCCATCATTCGCCCGAGAGGTAATGTTGGGTTCGCTGGCGCAGTATCTATGACTGTGAAGTGCCCGTGGTGTTCCCACGAAATGAGCACCAAATGCTGTGCTGGCTATGCTGCCATGGTCTATGTGAAGGAGAGACTGCACTAATAAGCGCGCCGACCTCTCCTTTGCTTCTGTTCATATCAAAACTATTTATGATTTTACGACTTTTCTCAGCAATAAGCTTAAGCTTTTGCAACGAATCTCTTTCCAAATAACTAACCATAATAGGAAGAATTATCTGATGGACTTCTCTCGTCACTTTCGTTTTCTTTTTCTTTCTCATTTATGATGATTATGATTATGACAATGTATAAAAGCTTGAAAGATAATTATGGACTACACTAATTACCAAGTTTGCTTTGGATTTGTTGCTGATATGGACAATCATTCAACTATCTACGAAATTTTCTTGTTTTTGTTTTTCTTTCTTTGTTTTATTTTTATATGCACGGGGGAGTTTTATTGATCACTCAATCAGGTGATACATAGAGGGGAACAGATTGATGTTTGTAAGATGACGGTATCGTTTGGCACAGTGTCAGCAAAACTGGGACGAGGAATAGTATGATGGAATAAATTTTATGGAACGTTATTTCCTGGCCAAACGCAGTGTCCTTGTGTGTATCAATATTGCCCATCCCTCGTATCGTAGGATTCGAGCTACAGGACATAAGATCTAGTTAATTCATGGTTTCGTTGCTGAACTTCAGAGACCTTCTTGGCAAGTTCCAAGTTTGTAGAACGCAAAGCTGCCATGGCCTGAGTAGCACGATCAAGCTGACCTTCCAAGAGTTCCTCTCTCTTTTCAAGGATTTTGACGCGGTCTTCTAGAAAAGATAGTCTCGCGTGGAGGCTCACCTCATAACCCTGGCGATCTTGGATCTGGTCGCTGTCGTCGTTGCCGTCAGCTGCACTGCCGTACATGGCGGAATCATCATCCACTGCGCGGTTGAAACCGTTTTCGGTAAGCACTTCCATAAAAGGCTTGTAAGGCATTTTTGCCTGGAGGCGAAGGACATTGTAAAGCTGGTCGGCGAGGCGGACGGCGAAAGACCAGGGGTCGGTGCCTCGATCGTGGGTCAAGGGCATGTTGCTTAGGGGCTCGATGGCGGTGCGGTTGATGCGAGGCCAGCTTTCGTGACTGCCTCGGTCAAGGTTGGGCTGCTTGTCCGTGAGTTCTATATAGAATATTGAGCATGGAGTTGGAATAGCGTTGAGGGGAATGATATGAGGATATGACATACTACGAAGATTGTATTCTTCTCGAAGATCGCGCATGAATGACTTGGTACTCCAGTGAGTAGTTCGATCGTTGCTTAGGACGTTCTTGAGGATATCCACCATCTGCTCTGTGAATAATTCTGGAGATTGTTCCGATTTGGTGATGTGATGACAGAGGAGATCTTCCAAGTCTTCGAGGTCGCTTATAAAGTCCCTCGGCTCGCTTGGCTTGGTGGTCATGGTGAATAGAAATGCAAGATAAGACTCAATAATATGTACGGTGAAGATAGACGAGAGTGGATAGCAGCCTGTGCGTTGATAGGAAAAATATGAAAAAGCAGAAGAGAATCGTCTGAGGCATCGAGTCTCGGTCCCGCGTCGAGAGGCTGATATGGGGAACAGGAGTGGCAGCTGGTGCGCTGTAGGTGCTCCAAAACAGACGACCCATTCACCTCATTGTGAATTATGCCTCGTTTATGGTGATTCATTTTCATTTCACTTTTCCATCGTATTTTCGTCTTTCTTTGCGATAGAGCTGCGAGATTGAATCACCGCGGTGGCGCTCAAAGGGTTTGCCAATTGTCGCCGTGAGACAGTGTCACCGCCTGTGCGACATGCAATCATCTTCAATTCTTTATTTCTACATAATCAACTAACGGGATACCATGAGAAGAAAAAAAAATTTAATCAGAAAGTACTGTTTTATAAAGAACGATTAAGAAGAAAGATGGCTTCCTCTGTAGCACCAAATGGTTTGCCAAGCATGTTTCTTTGAAGACAGAGTCAGTACCTAAGTAGTTTGGTGTAAATGCAGAAAGAGTCGTATCTTGGTGCTAGCTAATTTTAGAAAATCGAATACTACCTAACTATCTTAGTTTTAGTAAGCCGAGTTAAAAAATCTACATGCTTTATCTCGTTATCCATTATTTCTGTCACTTCTCCCCGGGTTTCACGAGGGTCAGCTGGAGTCGTAGCAAACGGACATTGTCCGGCATTCATCGAAGGCACCCGCGGCTAAAGCTCGTGCGCAACAGGCTACTATTAGCCTAGAGGCGCTGGCGGATGACGATAAGGCGATGCGTTGCTTGTACGTAAACGAACTAATCAGGTAATATTTATTTCTCCGAAGCCGCCGCCTTTTCACTTTCTTGCTTCTTGCCTCCACGCCCACCCAGCAAAACACTTGCAAAACGGCATCTGCAGGGCTCCATCCCCCCGCCAGTACTTTCCAGGCCTCAGGATTGATGAATTTGTTTATGGTTATCAGTTTTGACTGCAATGAGCTCAAAGGGCTCGGCTGAAGCATCAAAAGGTAAAGCCAGAAAAGCCTTGTTCGCACCGTACACCTTTTTTCCTGTTTCCGCTCACAGCTGCTAATATACTACTTTTTTTTTCTATATAGGCTGCCGCACCTGTATGCGGCGACGCATTCGATGTGACCTCGGTCGTCCAGGTTGTTCAAAATGCATCAAGAAAGGCTTCAGCTGTCCAGGATATGGGAGGCATCTAAGATGGGCTGATGGCGTGGCTGTCCGCGGTAAGTTGAAAGGTCAACGGCTGCCTGTGGCGGGCTCGGTGCCTATGGAGTTGCCGGCACCAACAGACGAGGATTCGGTTTCTGTTGCGGCTTCACAGGCCCTCCAGGCGATAGAACCAGCGGCCCTCAGTATCAATAAGGCTATAGAAACCGCCTCGGCGACACCAAGTTTGCTCAATTTCACACTTTGGGCGTCTTCACCGGATATAATCGAATACTATGACAAGAATTTGGCGGGGCGAATGGTTTGGATCGACTCGGAAGAGAATGACTATCGACGACGAATGCTGCCCATGGCTGCCAACGCCCCGGGTCTTCGGTTCGCCATTGCCGCCTTCTCTCTTTATCATGGCTATCACGGGCCCACGAAATTCCCAACCGAGCTGGCCCGATATCACGAAGAGGCTCGAGACGCCTGCTTGGAAGTGCTGCAGAGGCAGGTCCGAGAAATGAATAGCCGGCTCATCAGCGGGGCGGAGCTGAATACGCGTGCGGATGTTGCCAACGCAGAGTGGATGTTGGCCTGCATCCTTGTAATTGCCAACTATGAGATGGCCAAGAATCACTCGGAGGCCGCCGAAGGCCATCGCCTTGCTGCAAGGAGGATTGTCAATGTCTTTGGACAGAACGAAGCATGTAACAAGGGCCTGTTTGCGTTTCTAAGGAATCAGCTCGCAATTCATGAAGTTCTAGGCTCAGCAACGTCTTTCGACTTGATCGATGTGGCGGAAACAGTTCTTCCGACACCAAACTCTGGAAGCCATGTTCTGTTCTCCGAATACCTTTCGTTTTTGCATCAAATCACCCTAGCATCACGGCGGTCCATGGCCGTTAATGAAGCCATCGACGTGTCACAGTGGCCCGAAAGCTTTACCGCGATTGAAATCCAGTCACGTTTCGAGCAGGCAAGAGGCCAGACGTTGATGATTGCGGGGAAGCTACAAATGAGCCCGCCAATTGTCCGCCGTGACTTCATAAGGTTGGTGGACTTATACCATCATGCAGCGGTTGTCTATGCATACAGATGCCTGGGCTATGCAACACCGGGTAATTTCGATTGGCTAGCTTCAGTTATGAAGCTGTTTGACCAGTTTGATCAGATTGAGAATATCTCCATCTGCGTTCAAAACTTACCGTGGCCGATTTTCATTGCGGGCACAGAGTGTCATGGCGATGCAGAAAGACAGCACAAAGTTGCTACGATTCTTGATACTGTAATCAATATGACGGGCTTCAATCAGTACGAAACTATTCGTAGTTTTCTGACTGAATTTTGGAACGGCCCAGAGCCCAACTGGCTCCCGGTTGCACAGCGGCTACAAGCGAACGGACTTAGAATTCTTGTTGTATGAAACATAAGGACCTCTTTGAATTACACACACTACTCTATCTGCGGATAGTTTCTGCGTCCAAGACGTTGAATATCTCCTCCATTGGGTCTTTATACTTATATAGGCCTAAAGCTGGTGGGCAGAGCCCATATCCCAAGAGACGCAACAGTTGTGGTGAGAATCCTTGGGCTTTGGCTACCTCTGGTGGCAATTCCAAATACTGATTCTCTTCTTGCCTCAGGGTACCTTTGCACATAAATACGCCAATTGTTTCACGTGCATCATCTCTGGAGCATTGAATACTCATTAGCGTCATTACCACGACTGGGAGCTGAATTGGGGCCAGGGGGGAATACTTGGTGACGTTTGCACCTCCTGCGTGATATACGTTGCCAACGAATATGGCAGCATCTCCGACTTCCAGTTCTGCTGAAACTGTTTCTTCATCGAGGGGGCATCTGTCTGGCCCCCATAAGTGGCTCTTTGGAATGATGACAGTTGCACCATTCTCCTTTGTCGTCTTCGATAGCGCCTAGAGATCGCAAATCATTATTCAGCCAAACATTCACGCCAATGGCATGGAGAGCGAACAACAATCTTACCGTGACGCAGCCCAACATTACCGGCATGTCGCAGTTTCGAGTGTGATAATCCGCGTCATCTCTATGGAGAGGCTGCTGCTTACCGCCAGGCTCAACACGGAAACCTACTATGCTTGCGATTTGTGGCTTTGCTGCCACACTCTTTTGTTCTTGACCCTCCCAGTAGGTATATCTACTGGTTAACATCCTCTCCGCGACGGACTGAAAGAGGGGATTCACCACTAGTTTGGCGCTAGCCGGTGAATTTGCAAGAATGCCAGAAGCACGCTTTGTAGTGCTGGGGAAGAAGCCAGCAGGATCTGGTTTATCCGAGTCAAATATAGGCTTCAGATCTTGCTTGATCTGCGCACAGAGAGATTGGGGGAAAAGATTCTTGACGATGACGGCACCGTCTCTCTTTATAAGAGACTCTAAGAGTTCAGCGGTTGTGGCTGGATCGTCGGCATAGACGGTGGTGACTTCCTTGCCGGCTTCGGAGGGAAATTCCTCTGTAGCGTAATGCTGAGTGCAGGTCATTTTGGCAAATGATTTACGAAGAGATGATTTCACAAGCAGTTTATGAAGGATATTTTGATTAGAGACTATTAGCCCAATGCAATATCAAAGGCTTCCAAGAGTGCAGCTCCTGGCCCCCTTTTATGTTCATCCAGCAGCCACCATAACATGAAGAGCTACCAGCTTTTTCCTCGATCTTGAAGCCTTGTTTGGGAAATGGCAAGAGAAAAGGACTGCCGCGCCGAATACGGCATCACCCGCGTGCCGCTTTGCCCATCCAAGCAAATATATCGAGAATGACATATCGTTGCAAGGGTCTCTCCCTCAAACCAAGAGATCTATTAACCGAGACTGACCACACCTTGAGAAAACCTAAAAAAAAAAAAGGCAATCATGAGTCCTTGATCCCCCTCTTGAGAGCAGCATCGCTGGGAGGGCGCATCGGCGAGCTTCTCCGGTTAGTTACCTGATGTGGTTAGGATGAGATGGGGAGGAGACTCCGCTAGATGGGGGGTGGAGAAACTTGGGCGATGAAATAGAGAAGATTGGGGTAAGAAAGAGATCTTTGGCCGATGCTTTGACACTATTTCCTGTTTGGAGAATAATTCTTGAAGGTCCATGCTCCGAAAGAGGATTACTCGCTTTGGCTGAAGCTTTTAATAGACGGGATCTAGGGCGATGTGGAGCAGCATGCGGGGGGGGGTTGTTCATGTCAAGTGAGAGATTGATATTAAAAGTCTATTTTTACTCTTTTTTTTTCTCTTTTTCTCTTTTTTATTTGTTGATATATGGCCTGCTGGTAGTGATTGAGATGCTTAATGCTTCTTGTAGCAAGGCATGGAGGAATGCTATTTATTATGAACCTGTATAAGCCACTCTCATCAGCTTACCAGCTCACCATCACATATTTGGACTCAAACTTTTGTTGTCATTATTAGATACCATCTCTCTCGCTTGCTAGTTGCAGAATATATATGTGTGTGTATGTATGTGTATGTATATACTCCCTTTAGCTAGTACCATTGGATGTAGCCTTTCTCTTAACTTCAGTCGCCGCATCGAGCGCATCCTTGAGCGTGTCAATCAGATCCTCGGCATCTTCCAAACCAGCGGAGATTCGTATACTCTCCTCAGCGGCGTTGTATCCTCTAAATGCCTCCTTCTCCGCCGGCTTCTTGCCAAACATCATCATGTTGTATGCCAGCATGATGGTGACGTGGCCGCCCAGGTGCGGGCTGGAGTAGAAGCCGCAGCGGTCGTAAAAGGCACGAGCAGTCTCGACGCTCTCAAACTCGACGTTTACGAGACAGCCGTAGCCTGGGTTGGGCAGCTCGACGGTGCTGCGGCGCAGGAAGCGATCGTAGTTGGGCTTGTCCGCCAGCAGGCTGGGATACTGGACTCGGACGATGGGAGAGTCGTCGCGGCCAATTGTCCTGTGCAGGAAGGTGGCCATGGCCTCTGCGTTGCGGTTGAGGCGGCGTGTGCGCTGGAGGTAATCGTGCGAGTTGGCGAGTATCACCTCGGCATCGCCGGCGTAGAGCTCGTTGTTGTGAGTCTCTGCATATCGGGAAGACAGCTCGCTGTAGTGGGGGGAGAGAGGGTTGAGGACGATGGAGCCACCGAGGACGTCGGCCCTGCCGTTGAAGCTCTTGGTGAGAGAGGTGAGGACAATGTCTGCGTGTGCCAGCACGTCGACGTTTGCAAAGCCAGCGATGGTGTCATCGACAATCAGCACAAAGCCGTGCTTTTCGGACAGCTTCTTAAGACGGGGCAAGTCTGTGCTCTCCAAGGTCGGGTTTCCTGGGAATTCGACAATGACGAAGCTCACTTTTCGGCCTTCCTTGGTCTCCCCTTCGAGCCATGCCTCCATTTCATCAAGGCCCTGCTTGTCGACCTTGCCGAAGTGCTTGAATCCGTTGGGGCTCTCTTCGAGCAGATGATGCTGGGTGTTGTGGAAGACTACGCCGAGGATGACGTTGGTTCCGGCGCGATATTGTTGCACCAGGTTCGTGGTGTGGAAGACGCCAGCCATACCGCTGGGGAAGAGATAGACATCGCTGGGCTGGCTCTTGACCAGCTCCGGGTTGATGGAGGCGCGGTGGACAAACTTGTTGACGCGCTCGCGGAGCAGTTGGTGCGCTGGACCATCGGGCGTGAACGTGGGCTTGGGAGGGTTCTTGTAGTCATCAAATGGGACTTCGACCAGGCTGTCAATGTTGCCCAGCAGATGCTCTGCCATGCGGATAGAGAGTCCCAGGCCGGGATTGCCCCAGCTAAGCATGAGGGCTTTAGCATGCTGCGGCTCGAAAATCACGGCGTAGATGCGGTGGCCGGCCACGTCGACACACTTGAAGGTGAGGTTCTCCGGGTCAATGGCAGCTTCGTCGCGGTGCGAGTTCTTGACGTGGCCGGCGGTGTATGGGAACATGATGGGGTTGAGATAAACCATGCAGCCCTTGTTCTCGTAGCCCAGTTTGTTTGCTACCGCCTGGCCGAGCTATGATGGATATATGTGGTCAGTTATTTGTCACCTTGAGTCAGTTTGGCGAGTTCAACTCACCTTGCCGGCAAATTGAGTCGGTCCAAAGCGCGGGTAGATGTGGACGATTTTTGCCATGGGAGACATGTCTCCATCGCGAACGCTCTGGAGCGTGTCCCATCCTGGCAAGTTGGTGACGATGCTGTACGCTGTCTGAGGGGGTGGCGCATGGCCAACTTCTGACTGTGGTCTTAGGACAACCATTTTGTATGTGTGAGTTTAACGAGATCAACGCTTAAAGGATATAAAGATGTAAAGATGGGGTTGAGCCAAATGGGAGAGAGGTGGTCTTATTTAAAGTATCACAGTGAGTGTTAGTTTTAGTGGTTCCTACCCAGCTTATTGAGTTGCACAGCCCAAACGGATCAAGTCCGACAACCGTAAGATGTCCATGTGGGCTGTTTAGTGTCTAGCCCGCACCGATATTTAGCGGCTCACGTACGACGCAGCCATGATGGTTTTATGCTACGGATCCTTTGAGATAATTACTACTCCGTAGTCGCGTTGAGAAGGCATGGCTCGTGTCAACTTTAGCAAGTGAGCTGTTGGCGCAAATCAGGTCCTTGATACCAATGCAGGAGTACAGTAGGCATATACGATCCTGATCCTGAGGATACGATTTGTTCACTCTGCAACGTAACAGAGAGTGAAAAGACACCGCATCTCCGCATGGACCCTGCACTCCTGTTCTTGTCGAACAGTAATGCGATTTCTGATTCCAAAGAAGCCATTGGTGGGGGGTTGCGTAAGATGCGAGGCAAGCCATGGTGAGACCGTATATAGCGCCGGTTTTATTTCCTACACTCTTTTCCAGATTGCTAGCTTTTGGTAGCTCAAGTAACTACAGATAGCCTATTGAACAAGCCTTAAAATCAAGAACCCCCCCGTTTATATCTCCGACAGGCGACGACGGGGGCAAAAAAGACAAAAAAAAGTCCCACGACTAAAAACATATAGTGTCGAGAACATTGCCAGATGTGGAAATAACCGTGGCGAAATATGTCCGCGCAGGCAGATCGAGTCCGAAGAGCCCCATTGACGTGTTTCTCTCCTCAATGAGCAAGTTTAACTGGGCCAATTTCTCGATTCGAGGTCCGGATATGCGGGCTGATTGGCCGGTTCGGATCGCGATCCACCCCGGGGAGTTTCTGTTTGCAGCGTTTTCCTAATTTGACAAATAGCAAGATGACAAATGGGCGATATATATATAGGTATATTATTATTGTATGGGGATTTATGAGAATGAGAATTATCAAGTGCCCTCTTCATCTTCAGACCCCATCTATCGTACTGTCTGTTCATTACTTGCGCTCAGCTTTGGTGCGGATAAGGAGATGATTGTAAACAAGCACTCATGACAGACGCCGTCGGTAATGATTTTATTCGCAAATGTCTTTTATCAAGAGACTATGATGCATCTGTATGCATATCTTAGCTGCGTGTTACTCCTTGGTTGAAATCTAGAAGCCACAAAGTGTCGACCATGGTATAGTTCTGAGCTTACTCCGTATATATATGCACCATTGTAGTTGAGCGAAGCTGTCAATAATAAGTTGATGTTTGCGCATCTGAGCATCATTCGCGATAACCATGTTAAATACTATTTAATTACCGTCTTTCTTTATATATATAATTGAATTTGATCACATGCTCTGATACAGTGCGTATTTCCAGCCTCTATCCGCACACTTATATCATTCCTAATACATACCATATTATGAGACGAGATAGCACCAACTGCATCTAACACTGCCGCACTTCCGTATCTCCCCAACGAAAAGCGCTGGTAAATTTTCTCCTTTTCATTTTTCATCTTATCAATCCTTTAAATACTTCACTTCACAGATACACTCAACTCCTGTGCATTATGCAGACTAGTCCCCATCCCACATCCCATCCTTGGCACCGAAGCACAGCACAAAGGCAGACTTTCAAGCCTCCGCCTGCAGCCAGCCTCACCCAAGATTCAATAGCTCGCAAGTAAATGAGCACGCTGCGATACAAACCTGCCTATCCACGACACCCTCTCGCCTCATGTAGATATCCTTCCCCGCATGACCAATGATTGGCTGTCCCAGCTCCCCGTCTGCCCAAACTCCACATCCCCGCGTGCCAGCGCCGAGAGTCGGAGCGCCGGCGCCAGAAGGCAGACTCAACATCGTTGCAGCAACCACCGTATGACGCTTTCAACGAGGAGGAATTGTTGGTAAATGCGTCACGCGGCGTGTTATTGGAGGAAGCAATGGGATGATATTCTTTGGGCTTGATCAACACCGTCATGAAAATATAGATACAGCTGCTTGTCTCTCTAAATCTCGGCTTTGATATTACTGCGTTGCAAGCCGTAACGGCAGAAACTCATCCTTCATTTACACCACAACAACAATTCACACCACCATGTCTGACATCATCGTGATTGGGTAATTCCATTCCACTCTCCCAAAATCCATTCTCACCAACACAAAAACTACATCAACTAACACAAAATTTAATAAAAAAAGAGCCGGCGTCATCGGCCTCAGCGCCGCCCTTCGCCTCCAACAAGCCGGCCACAGCGTCACCATCGTCGCAAAGGACTTCCCCACGCCCTACGAGTCCGCCAACAAGCGCGCCCTCATCAACTACAGCTCGCAATGGGCCGGCGCCCACAACCGCTGGGTTCTCCCCACCAACGCGGCCGAGCAGCGCGAGCACGGCTTCTCCCTCACGACGTACCGCCACATGGAGGCCACCGTGGCCAAGTTTCCCGAAGCCGGCATCACGTTTATGAAGGGCGTCGAGTATTTTGATGTTGCGCCCCCCCTGCATGGCGACTTGACGGAGGAGAAGGCCGCTCAGCTTGGTCTTGAGGAGTTTAAGCTGCTGGGCAAGCAGGACTTTCCTGATGACAAGGTGACTTATGGATATGAGTACAAGACGTGGTGTCTTAACCCCATGATCTATTGCTCTTTTCTCCTTCGCCAGTTCCATATACTGGGAGGGAAAATCATGTCAATGGAGCTCCGTAACGTAAACGAAGCGTTTCTTCTCAAGGGTGTACCAGGCGTTCCAATCGTCGTCAACTGCTCCGGGGTGGGATTCAACGACACGGCCATGTTTCCTACGCGAGGTAAGTCCCTTATCCTGCATCTACTCTCTTCTCTTCTCCTCTCGTATATGCATGCATCAACATGCTTACATGTGTTCATTTGCCCACACTTTAGGCCAAACATGCCTCGTCTCCAACCCCTCCGCCATCACCTACACACGCCAATACGCAGACGGCACCTGGAGCTTCTGCATACCCCGAAACTTCCACGGCGGCACAATCATCGGCGGCACCAAAGAGCCCGACAACTGGGACTCCGAGCCCAGCGCCGAGGCTCGCGCCCGCCTGCTCTCCAACGCCGCCGCCACGTACCCTGCCCTCGTGGCAGACGGGCCGCTGCAGCCGCTCGGGGACATTGTTGGCCGGAGACCGACTCGTCGTGGCGGAATCCGCCTGGAGAGGGAGGAGATTCCGGCTGGTGGCATCAAGGGCTTGCAGGACGATGCTGCGAGATCGATTGTCCATGCGTATGGCCTCGGTGGGAGGGGATACGAGCTCTCGTGGGGAGTGGCAGAGGAGGTTTTAGAGCTTGTCAAGCAGCGAGTTTCTAGCCGTCTATAATTGCGCTATTGCGTCCATCCGGAACGCAGCCTAGGTTAACTTTTTGTATCCAAATCTTCATAATCGTACAAGCCGTAGTCCCCCCTCCTCCCGTATATCTATATCTGTACACATAACACGCCCTCTCATCAACTGATTCTCAAAATCATGCAAACCCAATTTACTTGCGCCCAGCATTAAACGCCAACAAAGAGAAGAAAAAAAACCAATAATCGCCCTTTGTTTTTGGCCAAAAGCAATAAGCCAGCCACTTTACTTAGCGCTGGCCTCTGGTCTTGCAGGAGGTATCTTCTCCCCTCTCTTCTCCATCTCCTTCTGTCTCGACAGCCTCACCTCCTCTGGAAGTCCCCACCACTCTCGCATGAATTCCTCCTGAGCCGCCGCCATCTTGGCTTTCCTCTCGCGCTGCTTCTGTCGTTCCATTCGTAGTGCGAACCAGTCCTCTCGGGCGGCGTCCTGTTGTTCTTGAGTGGCATGTTGCACCATGCAGGCGTTCATGGCGTGGTTTTCAGCTTTGCAGGCAAATGAAACGCTGAATGTTCGGCCGAGGGCGCAGTCGGCGAATGCTATTTGACAAAACTCTTTAGCAACAGCTTCTATCATTGTGCCAATGCAGAGAAATGCGAGAGCAATTGGCCGAAGAGAGAGAAAAAAATGAGGGGGGTCATGCCACTTTCACGACAAAGCTCATAACGATGCAAAAAAATAAAAGAGTTGAAAAATTGCCAATGTATGTCAACATACCTTTAATTTCATCGGCGCACAGTTTTCGCACTCTAGCATAGTAAATATCCCGAACTTGAGACTCTTGCGAAGCGGACAAAGGCAGCGGATTCCGAGACGGGACGCCGAGCCGCGGTTGAGGGAATTCGGGAGTTTGCGTGGCCATCGCGGCCATTGAGGTGCGCAATGTTCAGGAGCGGTGGCTGAGGGATTTAATGTCGGGGGTTTAAACACCTATGCGGCGCCTTTACTGCCTAATTTTCGAGAGTTGATGTCGATGGAGGTTGGTTCGATCATGAGCTGGATCGGACCCTCTGAATAATCGTCAGATGGGGTTGGAGCTGGGCCGATAATGCGGCAGAATTCCCACCGCCTACCTATTTCGACTTACACTGAAATCACTCAGTAACATCAGCGAAATGGATGTATCACAAAGAAAATAGAGCACACCCATCTCTGATTTTGGTTCTTCACAGAATGCTGCAATTTAGAGATTCAAAGTGTATAAAATAACATATTAAAAATCAACTGCTTATGGCAGTGATTTGTGCTTCGTAATAGAGGTATCTGCCGCGTTTCATCCAGTTCATTACATGTACTTTAACCCAAGCCAACCATAAACCCGTGGGATATCCATAAATAAAATGCGCCCAATGACTCACTTCTCCAATCCCGTCTCTTAATCTCCATTTTTCAACCAATTTACCCCTTGTCAACTATGAGGTTTGGTAGGGAGGCTGCTGAGGATGTGAAGATGAGACTTCAGAGGGTGCTTCATGGTAACCCTGTGGGGGGTACTGCTGAGGAGGATACTGCTGAGGGGGGTACTGGCCATACGCCGCCTGTTGCTGTTCCTGGGGAGGAGGAGAGTAGGCAGTTTGCGGCTGGTAAGGAGACTGAGCAGGGGGATAAGGGCTGGTGGTCTGAGGGGGGTATTGGCCCTGTTGGTATTGATCCTGCGGGGGATACTGTGCGGCAGGCTGACCAGTAGGCTGAGGTTGGAGCGGAGCCTGCTGCTGAGCCTGATTATCTTGCTTCGTTTCCATGGCGATGGTCTGGGGGGTGACAGCCTCGTTGTCAAACAAGAATCTGCCTTCCTTGCGTCCCTTGAGGAAATAGTGCAGAGTCCAGGCAAAGGTTGCAATGAAGAGAAGCCTATATTCATGGTTAGCAATGAGACAATCAAATACAATTCAATTCGACTCCAACTTACCAGACCAAAGCACCAAGGCCAGCGATGGCAGCAAGCTCAGCAGCACCGCGCTTGAACAGGATGACATCGCGCTTGCTAATGTCGCGCTTCTTGAAGCATGTTTCGCTGTTGAACAGGCTGCCATCGTTGAAGCATTGGCTCACAGAAACGTTGAAGACGAACTGTGCGCGCTTGGCAGCGACAGCAGCAAAGGTCGCGAGCCAAAGAATCATCATGACGCCGTCGAGGACGATGACGGCGACTACATGATACAGGTGATGCAGCGTTGGGAGCCGCTCGGTAAGAATGGCATACAGTGTAACGATCCAAGTAATGATAGACTAGTTGAACTAATTGTTAGGATTGAATGTTTTTTTTTTTTTTTTTTTTTTTTTGAAATTCACCATTCACGTGGAGAGAATAGAAGAGGGAGCATCGACTTACAACAGCCAGGGCAAGGCCTTCTTCATCAAGATAGGCTCCGTGCGCCAAATCGGCAGCCAGGCCAAGGATGATTACAGAAACGAGAATTTGAAAGATACGGCTGACAAACACCCAGAGGGGTGTGACCAGGACATGGTCCTGTTCGCTTTGAGGCTGCTGCATGTTGAAGACGAGCTCGCGGATGATAGCAACCGATTATTCCTTGTATTCTGCTGGAAAGTAGTCCTAGAATCTTGCTACAGGACAAGAAACCCTTGGCAGCTTGTCATATAGAGAAGGAACGAAGCGGGAAATGGCAGGATAACAACAGCCAAGGGAAAGCGGGATAGCACGGCATTCTTATTTCCTTCGGCCGAGCAAGACGACTCGCTCTTTGGTCTCCGCCGCCCGGCAGCTCTATCAGCCTAGGAGCGGTCGGTGAGGCAGACTGCCGGGTCAGTGTCCCCATCATCCATCAACTTTTGCAGTCTCGCGTGCCATCCCTCTGGCGCCAACGACGGCACTAACAGCGCTGGTGTCCCCCCTCGGGTTCAGCCGCAGTCCAGGGTCTGTTGTTTAGGTTGATGCCAATATGCCGCTGTGAGCTTGGGCCGGGCTCAAAACCCAGGGACGTCGGACTGTCACAATCAAGTTGCTGCTGGGCTAGCTAGCCGGGGTGCGGCTGTGACGATGGTGTTCTGGACCCGCCAGACTAAGAACGTGTAAGTCGAGCAATGCAGAAATGTCGTAGCGCAGCTCCGAAGACCTTGCAAGGCATGAAACTGCAGCAAAAAGAAAAAAAGAGGTGTGGGTGGGCATGGGGCACAGCAAAGACAATTAGGCGAGACGCAGATTCTGAGGAAATACTTGTAGGTACCTACTTGTAGAACGAGCAGATGCGGTCAGGGTGGGATGCGTTGCAACATGTGGCGTGCATGAGAGGCTGGATGTTTAATGAGGTTGAGAGCCAAGCTCCGGATCAGCTATTGGTGCCGCACGGGTCCCAGGATGGCGCCGATTTGTCAGTTCCGATGGGCGGATCCTTTGGCACCGTTCCCTGCTTTTTTTGGCTTTTTTTGGACTGTGCAGCATGTGCTATGAAACTATCGAAATGTCGGGGGAGGGTGAAAAAAGCAAAGAAAAATTAACAAGAATAAAAGGATACATGTGCATGCGCTAGACACGCCCATCCGCATTGCCTTGAGGCGAGCTTCATCCCTTGCATGTGTCCTGGCCAGCTTTACATGTGCCTTGGTCAGCTTGCATGGCTCGGCGCCTATTCATCGCAGCTACACGACCGATCCTTTTTGCTTGCACGACCTACTTACAGTACCAGTTGCTCCCGCGCTGGGCTGATCAGAGTAGGCAGCTCGTGAAACGAAGGGGGTCCAATTAAGGTGCTGGCCTGATGCTAGAATCGCAAAGATCGGCAGAGCGCGGGATTGGTTCCGCCGTCTTACAAGCACGGATGCTTGCCCTGTCCTTCTCTTCAGCATTCGTATGAGGCACGTGGAAGTGCCAGCTTTTTTTGGGCACCACTCGTGAAAAAAGCTCTTTTTTTAAATTTTTTTTTAGATTAAAGAGATTGGGCCGTCAGACAGAGGAGGATCCGCCGCGGAAAGCAGTCAGTCGTGACCCAGCTTCCGTTGTGCAAGGTCCTATCGCGAGCCCGTCCAACTCAGCCTCACCAGCTAGCATTTGCGCCAGCGTCGTTAGCTGCGTCTGGCATGCCAGGATTTGCCCAAGCTAGGCTCGATACTTATGGTTTCTGCGCCGTCTGTGACACCGTCAGGCAGGCTCAGGCCATTCGCTAAACGAGGCGGTTTGCTGGTGCACTATACATGGCTAACACCGTTGCACTCCTCATGCTATACTGTGCAGTCGACATGTACTATCACTGCTTTGTGTCCATCACAGCCCCGGGAGATTGCTTCTGTGTCACTGGCGCCCTTCAGCCTGCAGCATCCGCAGCAAGTACAGAGAGCCTCAATTCTTGGGGTCTCTGGTGACCGCCACTCGCTCTCGTTGCAAGGATCAACACGCCATTTTAGAATCCTTCAGCAAAAGATTACCACTCCCTACTTGTAGTAGTAGCAGCATCATGGGTAGGTATATGCGTGTCTCACAATCAAGGTTGGGATGCAGCGTTAGTTGCTGCACACTATGTATTTACTCTTTTGTTTCTCTTTTGATTTATTTTGGTATCATTTTTTACTTTCCTTTTTTATCTCCTAGTGTCTTTTACACCTTCTCGTTGGGTCCGGCAATCAAAATCTTGATAACCTCCCCGGTCTTGACCTTTTGGAATGCTTCCTCCGCCTTGTCGAAGCTTACAACGCTCGAAATCAGCTTCTTAACATCAACGCGGCCACTTCTAACAAGCTCAACAGCCAGTTCATAATCTCCAGCTCCATAGCGGAACGATCCCCGGGTCGTAATCTCCTTGATGCACATGGCCATAATAGGGAATGTGATGTCGTTCTTGCCCATGCCGCCCTGCACGTAAGTGCCTCCCACACGGACGACGTGAATGCTCGTCTGGATAGACGGCTCTGCACCGCTGGCATCGATGACGGCGTCGGCACCGATGGGGAGATCCGCAAGCTCCCTGATGGCCTTGGCGTTCTCTTCGGGCGACACTCTCTGCGATACATAGGTGTGCGTGGAGCTGAAGCTCTTGGCAAAGTCCAGCTTGGACTGGACAATGTCAACACTGACAATCTTTGATGCACCGTACGCCTTCGCCACGGCAGCACAGAGGAGGCCTACGGGGCCAGCTCCCATCACGACAACCGACTGGCCGGGCAGGATCTGCGCCTGCTTTACAATGTGAACGGCCACGGCGAGCGGCTCAATCAGCGCTCCCTCCTGCAGCGATACGTTGTCCGGCAGCTTGTAGCAGAAGTCGGCGGGAGCGGCCCACAGCCCGGTCAGGGTGCCGTGGTATGGCGGCGTCGCGGCGAAGACCATGTCCGGGCAGAGGTTGTACTTTCCAGCGCGGCAGAATGCGCACCGGCGGCAAGGATAGCCGGGCTCGAGGGCAACGCGGTCGCCGGCCTTGAGGTGCTTGACGGCAGAGCCGACCTCGACGATGGTGCCGGCGGATTCGTGGCCGAGAACCATTGGGTCCTTGACGACGAAGTGGCCAATGGCGCCGTGGACCCAGTAATGGACGTCTGAGCCACAGATTCCAGTGTAGTTTACCGCGACGAGGACATCGTTGGGGTCGGCGATGGTGGGCTTGGGCCGCTCCTCAAAGGTGACATCCCCTGGCTTGTTCAGGACAAAAGAAAGGTTCTGTTTTGTTTCGCCAAGTCCAACTGTCAGCCCACTCGACGTGTTTGAGTTTCAACGCCCTTTGCCTCTCCTTTGGTGGTTTTCTCTTACGCTGATCGCATCCTTGTTAACCGTCTGAGTCGCCATGTCGATATTTGTGGTGCTGGAGTCTACTGTAAGAGCGAAACGCTTGGCGGGGTAGCACTTTCAGCTTCAAGAAAAATCACAATGACGTGGGAGCAGAGTAGAGAAAGGGAGAAAATCTCTCTCCAAACCAGCTGATCATCTTATTATATAGGGAAAATCCTTCCATCCCCGCATTGCGAATCAGCCATATGACATTTTCCATACGCGAACGAATTTCTTCCCAACGGATGCCCCACGATGGCTCATTGGAGAGATAGAGCCAGCTGCGCTGCGAGAAGCGTGTTTCGTTCTCGTAAGCCTAAGCCGATCTCGAAGGCACCCCGCGCCGTGCTACTCTGCTCTCCCTAGAACTTTGGCAGTGATTCTATGTTCCTGGGCTTGCCTGGTGACCCAAAACTATTTGCTTGCTACCCACAATTATAAGAGGCCCAATGGCATTTTAGCCGGTGATAATAGCCGCGCCAATAGGAGAGGCGCTGGAGGAATACTGGAGATATGGTGGATAGCGATTTCGGTGATGTATTGAGGGATAACGTTGGTGTTATCTTCTGAAAATATCTGCAAAAAAATAAGAAACAAGGGTTCCATGAGCGTGATTCATTAACTGTATCGAGTAAGATGCCCTGAAAATCCTGAAAATCATCAGACGCGCCTATTTTCATATGCATACTCTTGTGTAGGGGATCAACGCTTTGTTTAGACTAACGTTTAGCACATTTACCCTGTAGCAAGCACGACTTTACGTGGATGTTTCCTGTGCAGAAAGAATGCCGCCTAATAAATATCTTGAGAATCACCTAGTTTCGCAAGGAGCCGATAGTTTATCCAGATTGCTGCCCGCCTGGGTTGACGGCACGGGCGCCTATCGGTTTGTTAATCCTATATAATCTCGAGTTATCCCATCGCAAGATTTTAATCATATATATCTCACGCTTATCAGCTATTTCCAAGGGTATGTAGATATGGGAATGTCACTCCTGAGCCACCTCTTAAATCGATAGATTTAAGACTAAAACCTACGTCGATTTTGGACGTAGAAATGGAATGATGCATCTTCAAATCCTTCGTCAGTGTAGAGGTGGCGGCCAACTCTCGCCCACAAACTCTTGCAAATCAAGCGCAGGCAACATCTCCTAAAATCCCCACAATAGATGGGAGATATTTGGAGAATACGACGATGAACCGGTATAAACCTTCACCGCCACTGGAAAGAAAGACACGAAAGCCCTCATGGTGCTTCCTCATCTCTTTAGTTCGGAAGTTATTTTCCGAGTGTAACGCAGCTATGCGCCGGGGATCTAGAGATACCAGAGATGCTAGATGTCCTAAAAGAGACATGGGAATTGAATAAGTCGTCGACTTTGCAGTTTGATTGGTATTTACTACTCTCTATCCCCAGCTGCCAAGATTTAAGTTTAAATTTCCTCTGCTGTGAAAGATTGGTGCAATATCAGGTGGGCGCTATATTGGTAGGTTATCATTTTTCGTCTGCTTTTTACCAATGTCAGGACTCTAGCACATACATATCGAATCATATAGGATAGCATACATTTTTAGCACCCAACTGGGAATCTTGTACCCTAGATTAGATAATCTTGCATCATAATAGTTGAGCTTTCTCTACTTGGAAGCCAATGGATCTTCTTCATTTCGAAAATCCTCTCCTTCTTCAATTGAGGTATTGACTGGCTGAGTGAAAAAGCGCGTATCACCCATCGGTGTTGCCAACACCCATCTTAGCATGGCTAGCCCGATGGCTGATATACTATCGTTATCTATAGAAAAGCTTAGCTGACGAGAGACGCAAACTACAATGGCTATTCTTGGTGTGAAGTTGCAATATTTGACCACTTGTTCCGTTGACACTTGGCATTACAACCTAGATATGTTACGAATGATGATTCAAGTGCGTATCAATGACATATGTAACTCTTACCGGAAATGTCTGATGCTCCAGCCACGGACTTAACGCATGACTGCTGCGTAAAAATACACACTGCCAGTAGCAGCTCACTTCTCAGGGTACGGTCTTGGGGACAAGAGTGTCGTAAGTGATGACAATTATATGAGGAAAAGCTTGATCGGGGGCTCGTCTGGCTCTACGTTTGTAAAGAAGCGCATAGGTTGCTTGGAACTCGTGAAATGCATTTCTTGGGCCCATGATTCCTTTCAAACGTCGTAGTTCGCGTACGATCGTCACTGGTAAGGCTATCAAGGCAAACAAGCAAAAAAAAAAAAAAATAAAAAAAAATAAAAAATAAAAAATAAAAAATAGAGTATGCTATTTGGCAGAAGGGGTATACCTCACTGTGAAACCACCATGGGTTGTTACTGCATCCCTCTTCCCGCGCTGTCATCTCCCAAAGTGTCGTTGCATAGTTATTCACGTAGCTTAGGTGTAGAATCAGGCTCTCATTCTAATCCTTGTAAAACTGAGGCGCTCTTTCAACTTCTGGTCATTCCCCCTTGTCGAGAAACTTTATGTCTCGCGCAGCTGTGAAGAATCTTTTGTCGATATCACGCGGCCGACAGTCTTATCAGATCTTTATCACATAACAACGGAGAATGTTTGCGCGTCTCTAACCCGTGCTTTAAGTTGGTACACTGATTGCATAGGTGTATGTATGAGCAGTCTTTGCAGCTCAATCACGACATCCAAATTCACTGCCATTCTCGCAGATCAGCATGGAACAAGTCTCGGAGTTTTGAGCAATAGAGAGACTGCTAGAGAGGGACTACCCAGGACTTTGAACGTGCGAGTATGTGCCGCTGCTAGGAGGCTGTGACCTTGCCTTGTTGTTCCTTAGTTTCTTGTCGTGTGTTTATCATATCTAGGTAATGGCATCCTCAAATGACCAGTTAGTGATATTCATGACTTTTTGTGGGGCTCCAAGTGTGCAAGATGCAGCTTTTCTACCAGGCTCGAGTCTGTCGTCGGATCCCAGATGAAGCGGTGGGTCTTTGCCATTGCTCGCAGCTAATAGCGGGGTAGTGCTGCTGACCACAGCGGGTACTATGTTGAACTAGCACGCTATAAGCATACTGCAAAGTCTATATAAATGCACCTAAATGATGGAAGGCGGCCGCGTGTCTGAGCGCCTAGAAGAGAGCAGAAGCATGTTAAAGATCTCGCTGACAAAAGCGCTACCCAAATATCCACGATCCTTGCCAATTTCTGTCCTTCAGTCTTGATTGCTCCCCTCCAAGATGCTCTTCGCCTACTGTACTGCACCCAAGGGACACACAACACACACATGTTAGCACCAGCCTAGTTTCTCGATACCCACCTCCTCGAAAAAATTAAGCGCCTTTCCTGCCGCGCGACCAACGGCCTCCAGCCTATCAAGAATCCACTTCGATGCGACCAAGCGCGATGCTCAGGGCATCTGCAAGTGGCCCATGGCGCTCCTCCAGTGGCCTTCGAGTCCCAGCCCACCCTTGCGTCTCCAGCGCTTAACTCGAGCCAATGCAGTGTGATGCGGCCTCTCATTGGCCTGGGCGGACATCAACGGCGTTCGCCCGTCAAGATCAAGGTGCTATTTTCGGGCGCAAAGCTCACGACTAGCTCCTTTGGCCGGACCTGTTGGAGGCCAGCTCCACATGCTGTGTGCCTCTGGAGTGCCTCTGGAGTGCCTGTGCCTGTTTACACCAGCTGCTCGTCTCCCGCCGACTCGGCCAAGATGTCTGGCTACAGGCGCTTAGTCGACTGATTCGATGTCCAGGTTGCTCGCCGACCTCCTCCTCGCAGGCGGATCTACCGAGAGAAGAGGAGCGTTTATTATATCTGGTCTGGTAGCGCCGTTTTTCCTATTGCCCTTGCATGGTGCTTCTTCTGCCGTCTGTGCTCTTCTTGTTGTGTCTGCTCTGCTGGTCTCACGATGCGACGCTCAACCAACAGACAATGAAGCGGTAGCATCCTCTCAACGTTGGCCTCACCCTTTGGATACCCCAGGCGTTTCTTTTTTTGTCCTTTTTCGTGTCTTTTGCTCCACCTCAATTCGATACCCCTCGCCTCTTCCGTGAAGAAGGCAATTCTCGAGTACTGCGAGTGTATAGATACGCCATTCCGTGTTTGAATCATGGCTTCGCAATCAACCTCTGGCGGTGCCAGCTTCTCACTCTTCCCCAATCCTAATTTCTCCAAGCCTATGCCACGTACTGGCCAGACACCTCGGACCCGTCGTTCGGAGTCTCGTGAACGTCGAGTAGTTACACCGCAGCAGCAACTCCAAGACAGTCGTGCTCCAACGCCTGGTGCTTCGTCTTCACCAGTGCTTGCTCCTGTATCATCGCCTCAGAACGGCCGGCAGACGCCACAACAGAGGACACATACCCCTCTAGAGACCAATCATCCCCTTGAAGCAGTATCAGAGGCAGCTCTGGATCATAACCCTCCATCGACTGCGAACATAGAAGAGCAGCCGCTTGATACACCCGGCGCGGACTCTAGTCGCCCCCGCCTGACCATCGAAGTTCCTAGGCGAGCAGATGCTCCCATTTTGCCACCTCAGGTATTACCAGGCAACAGCAGTAATCGGCCGCAGAATTATATCGCCAAACCTCTTCTATTATTTGACAGCCCGCCATCGTTTGCACCGCCGCCGGCAGCGCCGCCAGCATTGCGGTCCATGTTTCCAACATACAATCCTGATTTGCCCCTTGATCAACAAAACTACGGTCCAATTCAGATGAATCCTTCTGGAATGCCTAGGGCTGTTGTCAGTCGCCAGAGCTACTTCGAAGATCCCGAGGCTGCATCTGAACGTCCACCGGTCCGGAGTCCACCATACAGAGTTCCTGCTCGCCCTCAGAATCCTCCAGTCATTCCTGCCATTAGCACTACTGAACAGCTTCAAGACCTTTGGAAAGTCGCAAACGGCTGGCAAGCGTCTGGATCAGAGGGACGTGTTTATTGCTTAAAGTTGACGCAACAAAAAGATGCTCCTGTCTACACTCTTTCCTCCACCTCCCAGCCTTTTTATAGTCTTCGTTTGGATCCTACATCTGCTTCGGCCTACGTGTCACTCAGTAGGCACGACCCCAGCAAGATTTACAAGGCTCCGAAATCAGCGTCAGGCTCTCCCGCAAGTATTTTTAATGGCGTTCTAAGCGGCAACAACCGAGCCTCAGACAACAAACATTGGCAAGAAGCGTTAACTACAACCCTCGAAGAAGAATCTCGCAAGCATTCCCCAAATGATGGTCTTGCTGCCCTGCTTATGCCCTGCGCCGCGACAAAAATCGTCTTGGACAGGGCAGACGACCCTGTTACAGTTGCAGCTGCAGAGAGGGAGTGTGGCAGACTTGTATGGGATGACGATAGCGCAAGCCACTATCTAGTACATCCTGCCCTGGCAACGCCATTCTGTGTTACTGTTGAAAATTGCGCTGCCTGGTCTCGTGTCGAGTATACACTGGAACATCACGAATCACCACAGCACCTCGCCAAGCTCACACGGGATGGTGCCGGTAGTGGGTGGTTGGAAATCGATACTGGTGTTGCGTCAAAAATCGAGTCATTCTACATTGTCGACGTGGCTATTACAGCACTGCTTCTTGTCGCGGCCATGGAAGATAGGAACTCACCAAACACTGTCATCGAGGCATTCGAGGCGCCACCGGTACCGGAACCTCCTAGGCCATCAAGAAGCTTGAGCAGTGCATTGAGCCGACACCGTGACGATGAGAGCAGCAAGAAGAGTAAAAAAGACAAGAAAGATAAGAAACGCCAAAGGATGGAGCAATTCGAAATTGACATCGAGAGCCAGAATGATAGTTTAGGCAAGGGGAGCAAAAAGGCTGAAGCTGAAGATAAACTGCCCTTCCTAATACGGGTCATCGTTAAGCTGGCAAAGGGGCTATTTAACTGTTTTATATGGATACTTACAATTGGGTTTGCATGTGTCAAAGGAGTATTCAAGGTTCTTTATAAATGTGTGGGATCCAAGTATTAATACGACGATATATGATGATTTAATGATGACAATGAGCTATCAAACGCTTTGATTTAGCGTATTCGTGATCACTTTATAGATTGTACATACTGTATTTACTGTTTGAGAGTGTGAAGATGATTCTGGTATTTAAGTTTACCCAGAGATTTATTCATTTTGGTAGTAAGTGATAAGAAGCTATATATCCTCAGCCTCGTTGCAATGAAACGCGAGAACCAAACAAATCCATTTTTTAAACCCAAGCTCTATAGGCTCCAGTAGCCATGCCACAACCATGAACATGTTTCAAAAATATTCCAACCCGATATATTAACAGCGCTCACGATCAAAAGCACTCTTCACCATCACGCCAACTAACCCCCTTTACTCCCATCAAGCCCCCCCCGTCTTGCCTCTCCATTTCTCTCTCTCTCTCTCTCTCTCTCTCTCTCTCTCTCTCTCTCTCTTTTCTTCTCTTTTCTTTTCTTTTCTTTTTTTTTTTACCTCTTCCTCTGCCTCACAACAATCTTCTTCCCCCTCCTCGTCGTGCCGCCCGACGTCGCCGTCTTGGCCATCTTGGCCTGCTGAACCTCGAGCTTGCTCTCGGCCGTCATTAGCGCTTTTACTTTCTTGCGCGAGTGCTCCAGCTTGCGCTTGAGCTCGCGGAGGTTTTCTGCCCTGTCAAACGCATCGTCCTGGTCCTCCATCTTCTGGGGCTTCTTGTCCTCGTCGATTTCTATGATTTCCTCTCGCTCGGCCTCGTCGTCTGCGAAGACGATTTTTCGGGGTGCGCCTGTTCGCCGTCTTTTTGACGCACCTGAGTCGTAGTCGTCAAAGTCATCGTCGTCGTCGTCGTCGTCATCGTCGTCTTCCTCATGCAATTGATCCAGACCTTTCATCAAGACAAACTGCTCTTCCAGTCTCGCCAGCTCCTTCACGGCAACCTGCTTCATTGTCCTTACGTATCCCAAGTCCTGTGTCTTCAGCAGCCGCACCGTGTCCATGTCCAAATCTTTATTTCCACGATCGCCTTCGACTCGGCCGTTCCAGGTCTTGCCAGTCTTGATTTTCGAGCCGGGGCCCTTGCGCGACATCATTCCAAAGTAGAATTCATCTTCGTTGCGGTCGGCGGCCTTTTCGCGGAGGGCCTTGAGTTGCTTCTTCTTCTGGTTGTAGTCTTTGGCACGTAGAGAGTAATCCTATGATATCCCGTTAGTAAATTTTCCATGAAAGAGACTGTACGAAATAATCTCGGTATTGGAGGGCCCATATGATGTGTTTTTTTTTTTTTGTGTTAACTCGTACCTTGTGCTTTTCGAGAAGACCGAGGCGGCGGCGCTCGAGGGGCTGCGCACGCTCCTTATGGTTGCGCCGCTGAATTGAATTTCGCAAAGAAGACATTTTTGCGATGGCTCTGTAACTGATGCTGAGAAACGAAAGAGCTCCCAGATGTTTTGGTCGTGAAGACGTCGCTGTAGTATGAAGAAAGTTGGCGCTCGGAGGTGGAAGAGCGGCAGAATTTTTGGGATTTTTGGCGGTGAGAGTGGATGTGGCTAGCGCCATGTCGCACTTGGGTGCTAAGTGACTTGGGCGAACACTTGAATAAACGGCGGTAATTCTTAACCGGAAAAATGAACAATTTCTTTTAAAACGATTTAGTTTTTTTTCTCGTCAATTCATAATATTGAGTGTATATATATGTTGTCTAAATTGGGGCGCGATTGGGCATCTATTATACAAAACTTTGCGCAGCTTTTGCGCGGGTAGTCGTACAGCTCACTTACACGATTGTCTAGCTTATCAGCTGTCTACACCAGCCATCTAAACATATCCCCCCTAGCAGTCCTGAGGCTCTGGCGAATAATGTATTAGCCGTCCATCGTCTTATGAGGATTTTGAGCGAAGTTGTAGGCCATATGGGGCAAGTTGCTCGTTGCTGAGCTTGCTCGGTGACTGCACAAAGGGGTCTTCTCCCTTCATTGTCTTGGGAAACGCAATGACATCTCGGACAGTTGGTGTACCAGTCATCAGAGCAGCAAGACGATCAAATCCGAGCGCAAATCCAGCATGAGGGGGGCATCCGGAGCGAAGAGCCTCAAACAGATGAGAAAAATCCTTGATCCTCTTATCGGTCATCTTCAAAACGTCTCTCATGATAAAGTCTTGGACTTCGGCAATGTGGTTACGCACACTGCCTCCGCCAATTTCGATACCATTGAGAACCAAGTCATATGCAGCGCTCTTTGCTTCTAGAGGATCTGTGAAAAGCAACTCTAGGTCTTTCTGAGAAAGAGGTGCCGTAAAGGGGTGGTGAGAAGCAGCGATTCCCGCAGCGCCCTCCTGGCCTGGCTCGCCCTCCTCAACTGGCTTAAACATGGGGAATTCTGTCACCCAAGCGAACTGAAGCGATCCTGGCTCTCCGAGTCGTGGCGTCTCCATGTAGCCTGCCTCGACAAGTGCCTTCCACAGCAGATTTCGGATGTCTCCGATCTTAGTTGAGCCAGAATAGTATTGTCCAGCGGGCTTCTCGCGAGCCTGGAAAACAACAATATCTCCGTCATTAAGACCCTTCTTCTCAGAAAGCAAGTCTAAAACGCCTTCGTACTCAAAGCCCAGTGAAGAGAATCCGCATAGTGGCTTGCTAGAATCGTAGATAAGAATCTGAGGTTTGCCGTCGGGATTTTTTCCTAGAGAAGCGGGAAGCTCGTCCATAAACTTAGTGACAAACTTTTGCACTTCCGAAGGAGAGCAATCGTTGAGTGGGAATGCAAAGGCTTCGATTAGAGGATCGGACATGTGAGTTATCATGCTGACGAAATGGCGGAAAGGCTCAAGATCCGGAAGGGCATGTATCTGTATGGTGTTAGCTTTACGGTTACTTGATATCGTCTCGTTTTTCTTACCCTCAAAGGAATACGAAGATCTGGCTTGTCAGAGCCGTAAGCAGCAATGCTATCCGCAAAGGTAATATTTGTAAACTGATGAGCAACAGGCTGGTCTGCTGGTGGAGGGGTGGGAGGTATGTCGCCAACAACAGGAATCACCTCTCCTCGAATCTCCTTGTAGCTGTGTGCTGGCTGAAGAGCAGTCAGAGCAGCCAAGACAATATCATTGATATCCTTTTGCACCGTCTCAGCCCCGGCGAAAGCCCATTCCATGTCGAGCTAGTCAAGGTGGTCAGCACCGGGTCTCAGATTGTAGTCGTAGTATTCGCCTTACCTGTGAGAATTCGGGTTGTCGGTCAGCCCGAAGGTCTTCATCACGATAGCACCGTGCCCATTGCATATAGCGCATTATACCACTGGCCATAAGGACCTGTTTATACTGCTGCGGGCTTTGACTTAGAGCATAGGCAGTACCTTTCTGTCGTGTAGGGACAAGAAATTCTCTGGCTCCTTCTGGTGTGGATTTAAACAAGGTTGGAGTCTCTATATCCGTAAAGCCCTTTTCGAGTAAGCTTTGATTGAGCTTTCCTTTCAGCCATGATCTGAACTGGAGTCTGGCTTGCAATTCTGGGTGAAATCGAATTTGAAGATGCCTTTTTGTTGGAGGGAACTGAACTTCGGGCGTTACTATCAGATTCTTTGGGACGCTATTCAAGGCACGTATGCTGTCTAGATAGACGGTCTTCTTTGATGAGCTGTCGCTCGTATTTGACTCGGCCACATCGGCAGCCTCGTGCTGCTTTATGCGGATGAGAACGGGGCTGAAAGCAGGAACTTGGCGGAAGTCATCATGAGCTTTGTTGTCTCTCTCTGCGCTGGAGCAGATTTGAATGACTTCACCCGACGGTGTGGTGAGATCTGCGAATGAAAGGTGCTTTGAGACATTACGGCTCTTGCCTAACAGCCCCACGTAGATGTCCTCCGAGTTGAGTCCAAGTGATTCATCATTGGCCTCGTCTATTGCATGTTAGGTATTTTTCATGAAGCAAGAATTCTGCATGAACAAGAGCCTACATTTGTTCCAGAGATCTAATAAACTGGCCCGCTGTGTTGAGCTTCCCGCCTCATCTTTGGCCGTCTGTGAGTAAAATCGGCTGTTTCTGTAAATCACCTGGCGAGGAACGCTCGAAGCAAAGCCATTGGCGCACACGCAACGACGCAATGCCAGGCTACGGGAACCAACAAGAGGCCCCATTGCCTATTATCAAGCTCAAATAATCATTCAATTATACAAGAATGAGCTGCGCAAGGAAATATGGCTTGACTGATAAGATAAAAGATGAAGATGGACCTTTGTCGCGAGATGCTCAATCACCCGATAAATTTCCGGGTGCCCCACGTTCAGCGCCGACCTTTAAATCTCTGCCGACGCTGGAGCTAAACTTTTTTTCTTCTTTTCTTCTTTATCCTTCCATTCAAATAAACGTACGCCCCCCAGACTTGCAAATATCCTTGATCTGAACCGCTGCTAACTAGATATTGCAGGTGATGAGACTCCGTGCCAAAAATGATGCTGAGCCGCTTTCCTGACCTCTCAACACTCTCCCTTCGGGGCTTCAGGGTTTGGGGGTGATGGAGGGCTGGTTCCATGAAATAGGCGTTCGACACACCGACCTTGTTTTGCATCGAACGCGATGGAAAAAAGCTCTGACTTATGACGAATGGAAGGTTTTTCTTGATCATGTTTTCTTTTCTTTTCTTTTTTTGGTTAATTTCATGCCCTTTGTTTTTCGTCCTTCTCATTGATGTTCCTCGTCTCTGCATCTGCATTCCGCGGCTCGTGTATGCCCCATAATGTATTATATAATTAGTACGGAGTTCGTATCATAATAAAAACGGCGGAACTCGGTTCCTTAATTTGCTATTGAAATTCAGAATGTCTGTGCTCTCCATTAAATTACCTCTTGGCAAGTAGAAGTAATATAAACGGACCGTCTGCGCTGTAGATGCATGCTTAGATAACTGTTGCGCTCCAAATGCTTCTTCCACTAATAAAAGCTCGCGGCATGCCTCCAAATTATGCACATCGCGCCAAGCGTTAAAGCCCCCAACTGTCCTGTCCATCAAAAGTCAATTCCAACTCCCGTTAGCGAGTGACTTGCGCTCCCTGCCCAGCCACCGCCATTCCGTAGCTTCCGCCGCCCACGTGCAGCCTCGCTGGCGGTATCGCCATAACTTCAACCCCCAGCGCTTCACTTGCTAGTGCCCAGTAGCAACCGCCATCATCCTCCCACCAAACGAAACAAACCCGCGCCAGCTCCGCCCGGCTGCCGGTTCGGCTGAACTCCGTCCTGTCGCCCAACTTTCTTATCTACCGACCTGACCATTGTCGCGCAGGCCTGCGAGCCCGAAGAATCTCGAGTACCGCAGCCCCAGACGCAGTTCGCAACCATGAGCTCTTTCGAGAAGTCCGTCAAGGGGGCGACCAAGATCAAGGTGAGGGCGATTCCAGCGTTGGGCAGCAATGGCCATGACGATGGAGGATGTCATCTGAGGCTATGGAGCATCTGTCCATCTGAGGCTGGGGACAGGCAAGGCAGACCAACCAGATCGCTAACCGCTGCTCGTGTATGCAGAATGCTCCCCCCAAGACGAAGTATATCGAGCACATCCTGGTCGGCACTCACTCTGGTGAGGCTGGCATCGCCGAGGTCCTCCGCGCGCTCCAAAACCGACTGCACGACTCAACGTGGACTGTCGTCTTCAAGAGCTTGATGACGGTTCATCTCATGATCCGCGAGGGGTCTCCAGAGGCTACGCTTGCTTATCTGGCTCGGCACCGAAACATGCTGGCCATTAGCAACTTTGCAGACGGTCCGTCCCTACCAAAGCGATGAGGAGTTACAAATACAGAAGAGGACTGACACTCTCCATAGCCCAGACCCAAGGCCGGAACATCCGTCACTATGCGAATTACCTCATTGAGCGAGTGCGAGCGTATCGCGATACCAAGACCGACTGGGTTCGGGCGCCGGAATCGCGGCTGGAAAGACTCACGGTTGACAAAGGGCTGCTGCGAGAGACGGAGGTTGTTCAACACCAAATAACGGCGCTGTTGAAATGTGACGTATGTGGCATGCTGAAGCCCTCTCCCTTCTTGACGATGAATGCGAAGCTTACCCCTCCTGTAGCTGCTCGACCAGGAACCAGAGACCGAGATCACAATTGCAGTATTTCGATTATTAGTCCTTGACCTCTTGCCTCTGTTCCAAGTCTTGAACCAGGGCCTCATCAACATTCTTGGTTAGCTATGGATGCCCCTGCGATATCGCACCACCGTGTTTATTCTAACATCATCCTAGGTCACTTCTTTGAGATGTCTAAGCCGGATGCCGATAGAGCTATGGAAATCTACCGGACCTTCACCAAGCATACCGATTATGTCGTCCAGTACCTCAGTACTGCCAAACAATGGCAACACCATACTAGAGTAGAGGTTCCCAAGCTAAAGCATGCGCCCGTAAACCTAGGCCGTCAGCTCGAGGAATATCTCAACGATCCTGATTTTGAGATTCACCGAAGACAGTACTTGGCGGAACAGGAGGCGAAGAAGGGAGGCAAAACATTGAAGTCCAAGTCTACGAAGAACGGAGCCGACTTTCCCAAGGCGCCTTCTCCTGCGGCCAATAACCCTTTCCCTGCTCCCGGCAGCGCCAAGGCCGAGTCGAAGCCTCAAGCAAACAAGGGACCAGACCCCGACCTCATCGACTTCTTTGACTCGATTGAGCAGAACCAGATACCGATGCAAGTCACTGCCGCTGCCCAACAGCCTCCTATGCAAATGCCTATACAAACCCAGGGACCAGACTTGGCCTTCCAGGGGCAACCTGTTGGCCTAGGATTTCAACAAAACAATTTCGTGCAGCAGCCTACAGGATTTGCCCAGGGTAATGCGTTCCCGCAGCAAGATAATGGGTTTATGCAGCCTCCAGCACAGCTGCAACCGACCATCACTGGCTTTAGTGGCTTCGGACCACAGCAGGATTTCCAGCACAATGCCCTAGGTCCCATTCCTCAGAATACGGTTCCCAATTTCCAGCCTCCTATGCAACAACCTGTCGGTCTTCAGCCTACTGGTCTTCAGCCATCGCTCGCAGCTCCGCAGATGACCAACCCTTTCCGTCAGTCTATGCTGGTAGCGCAGCCAACGTCTTCATCTCAGCTGTCAACTCCCACGTCGAGCACGCCTACTCTCAACCGTCAATCTACGAATCCCTTTGCTCGATCGACGAATTCTCCAGGCCAAAACACGAGTCCTTTCCAGGCTCAGCCTGTGCAGCCCCAACCTACGAGCACCAACCCTTTTGCTCGTAACGTTCCCACCGAGACGCCGGTGCAACAGCAGTTTCCAGACCCGCAGCAACAGTCTTCATCGCTTGCTCCACAGCCAACTGGTGTTACCAATCCGTTCCGCCAGGGCGCTTTTGTGAACCACGCCACTGGCCTGGGCTGGCAGCATAACGCGACTCCCATTGGTGGTGGTATTGACCAGATTCAAACCGTGCCAGTGTTCCCTCGCCCTGCGCAGCAGACACCCTGGCAGCAATAAACTAGGACTGGGATATTGCTCGTTACTCTGATTTTTCCTACTACTCTTTTTTGAATCATGTAAGCTCTTGCGATCTGGGAGTCTGGATTTGTGTCATTCTTTTTCATCGCTTTTTCTTTCATGGGTCATCGTTGCTAGGGTTTTGCACTTTTTTTTACTCCAAATATCGCATTATCCAGCGAGGCGTTTATTGGCTTTTTCGTTTCTTTTGTTCAATAGGGAGAGGAGGCAGGCCTGTGGATTATTATTATTCTTATTAGTCAGAATTCTCGAGAAATCACTATAGTATGCAAATTCGGATAGTTTGTTAGGAGGGCAGAGGTGACAATTAGCACTTAGAGAGAAGGCTTTACTGAAGATGAACATGAACATGAACATGTAAAGGCCTGGGCAAACTGGGACGAGGGCGAGGCGGATTGTTATTGTTGCATGGTGGGCAGAGTTTGTCTTTGGCGATAGTGTCTTTGGCGATAGAGACGCAAAGAGTATGGTTCACAAACATTTTTGTTTATAACTAACCTCTTTATGTATTCTCTAGCCTAATATTAACATGTCTAGTATTCATCACGATTTGAAAAAAAAAAAAAAAAAAAGAAATATTAAAAAAAATATTGTGAAAGACACCAGTCTTTAGACGCCGGCCTCCCTGAAAACATTTCCATTAGGATGGGATATTATGGCTTTCATCCTGATATGTTTTCTTCCTGTTGACGCCAGAAAAATGCAACCAAAAAACACACGGATATACTCTTGAGAAATAGCAGAAGGGCTTCGAGAAATATCGTAACTGAGAGAGTCTCTCAGAACACATCATCCACGTCCATCTTTCCACCGACAGACACCGCAGCGCCAGCCTCCAAGGAAGCCGCCACCGTAGCATCTTCTCTGGTATCTTTATCGTCCTCAATGAAGACTCCCAAACCAGAGAAAGCTTCAAACAGCGCTCTCGTGAGGTACTCCTCAGAACTGTATCCGCCCACGATGTAGTCTTCCTTCGTGCGCGTAATATCAAGCCACTCGCTCTTATACTGCGATAAATTCTCGCCGGCCAAGTCGACTCTTTGCGGCGCCAGATCCAGGCCGCCAAACGGATCGTACGGCTTGTCGTCCGCCACAGGAGCTCGCTTGTCTCTCAGACCGCGAATCGACAGACCGCTGCCTCCCAATGCCGCAACGGCATCCAGCGTAGCGTCGCGTTTCTGCTGGCCTCGCTTCTTGAGCAGCACGCGATCGACCGCCTCTGCAGCATGTCCCAGCTCTGCGTTCTGCAAAGAGTTGAGCATCTCTTCGCGGAACCGAGCAGCGCTGGCCTTCTCCTCGGCGTCCTCTTGCAGTTCCTGTATGCGGCGCTGGCGAGCTGCCTCCTGCTCGGCGGCGAGGCGCTTCTGCCGTGACTCGTCCGATTCGCGGGCGAGTTTGCGATTGCGTTCGATTTCGGCCTTGTGCTGGGCCTCCCATTCGGCGAGCTGGACCTCGGCCTTTTTCCTAGCCTCGTCGCTTCCGTTGACGAGGTCGTCTGTGAGGCATTCCACCATGTAGAGATAGTCGTTGTACGCATCCAGGCTTTCAAAGTCATCCTCGGCCTTGTTAAACACCGCCGCCACTCTCCTCCTGATATCAACCTCCCGCTCGACGCCCAGGTCGCCGAAGAAGGCCGTCTTGAAGCCCCTCAGACGCAGCGTCTTGTGGCATCCCGCATAGGGGCACTGGTTAGGGCCGTCCTTGAAGATACGCTCGACGCAGGTCTTGCACATGCGGTGGTAGCACTCGGTGTTGATGCGGAACTCCATGTCCTTGTTGAAGTAGCGGGTGGTTTTGCATACAGGACAGGCTTCGTCGTCGTCGACTGGCGGCAGGGGGGCCGAGATGAAGGCGGCGGAGGAGTTGTTGGAGGCATGGCGCATCGAGACGGTGCTGGTGCCGCCCGGACGAGACATTGTGCGGGAGAATGTGGTGGATTGGCTATGAGATTGTCGATGAGTGGAGGGAGATCGATCTGGAGGTTTAGGATGATTGCATGTAGAGTTCTGGAGTCGATCCGACCCCAGCGGCGACCGCGTTCTTCAAGTTCAGTCGAATGATGGTTTTTTTGCTATATCTGCTGTGGTTATATTCTGGCGCAGTCTATGTGACCAACAGCAAGTTGCAATTTGGCTTGGGGATGGCTCGTGATATGTAAGAAACAACGGCCCGTGATTCCATCCAAGGCTGACTATTCACTTTAGCTGATCAAAGCCAGCGGATAGCTTTCCGCCCTTGCATCGATGCCAAAGCTGCTAACCGTTAGAAGCCCGGCATGCCATTGGCTGCTTTTGGTTCAGCCGCCTAACGGGCCTCTCTATTAGCGCATTTGCCCCTCCACGCTTATTAGCTGGACTTCCACCCGCGTCCATTGTCTGCCATGCTTTAGGCCATTACAGTTGACGAAAAAAGAAGAGCTGCAACGCCAAAACTTGCAAGTTACACAGCAGCGTTTTGAGCCATGGCTGACAAAGGTAAAGGATGCTACAATGCCTCTTTCTATTATAATGAGCTGCGATCTATCGCCTTCTTTATCATCCCCATCTGGTGACGACGAATAGCTAACCAGCTGTTTACAAACTACAGATCCCTCCCCCGCCGAAGAGGCTGCCGCGCGCAAGAAGGAAGCCGAGGAGCAGGCCGCACTGCCTTACAAATGGAGCCAGACCATCGGCGAGCTGGACCTGTCCTTCAACGTGCCCGGAAATTATAAATCAAGGGATCTCGTCGTCGATATCAAGAAGCTGTCCATCGTTGCGGGTGTCAAGGGACAAGAGCCTATCATCAAGGTATGCAGCATTCCTTCTTTTTATAATCCTGATATGCGCCAATCTTTCCAGGTTGCATAATATTCTTCTCCTTTGTTTCTTTCTTTCTTTCTTTCTTTCCTTTCATTTTATACGTCAAGAAACCCCGACCAAGCTATCTATATATATATACATCTGCTCATATCGAATGTCACTAATAGGGCGACCTCCCCCATGCGATCCGCGTTGACGATTCGACTTGGACTCTGTCCACCAACTCCGACGGCACCAAGGTTGTCGAGATCCACCTTGACAAGGTCAACAAGATGGAATGGTGGCCACACGTCGTTACCAGCGCGCCCACCATCGACGTCACCAAGATCCAGCCCGAAAACTCAAAGCTCTCTGACCTCGACGGCGAGACCAGGGGCATGGTTGAGAAGATGATGTTCGATCAGCGACAGAAGGAGCAAGGCCTACCCACATCAGACGAACAGAAGAAAATGGATATCCTCAAGAAGTTCCAGGAGCAGCATCCAGAGATGGACTTCAGCAAGGCCAAGATCCAGTAAGAAAACACCGAGGGAGGGTATTGTACGAAGGAAAAGAAAAAAAGAAAAAAAACAATAAAACAATAATGAATAAATGATTGCATAAAAATGAGGGGTATCATCGTGATTCAAGTGCTATGGCAGCCCGCTCTAAGAATGAGTTGAAGTCTCTGACCTGTCTGAGAATGCCGCCTGTAAAGCTGGACGAGCTGGCCTGCTCCGATATGCGAGACACAAGAAGCTCGAGATTGGCCAACTCGGCCTCCTTTTGTGCCGCGCGTGAAAGCTCTGGTGCTTCCCTGCCTTGTTCTACGGCAAGGTCTACATCATGCATGAGAGAGGATGCATCTAGACAATACTACAAAGCATATATTTGTTAGCATATATATTGGCCTTGCATAAGACTTCAACTATTCTTACCTTTGATTCTCTAGCATCAGCCTCATGCTTGATTCTGATAGCATCCATTCGGAGAGCAACCTGCTCTCTCTCAGCTTTGATACGCATAATCTCCTCGCGTAAAGCCATCTTCTCCTTTTGCACATGCCGTAGCCGCTTGCGCAAGGAGTGCCAGTGATTCAAGTGGATAGCCTTAAAATATTTTCGTTAGCATCGGTTCAGATGAGTTCACAATCATATCCATAGAAACATACATGCTGAAGGAACCGGGACTTGAGCTCTTCTCTGTAAGCCTCTATAGCTCGCGTCTTGATACGATACTCCTTCTTTTTTGCTAAATCTTCCGCACTAGCGGACACCTCCTGAAGCTGCTCTAGGGTCGTAGAGATCACCTCGTCGCAAACCTGAGCGAATACGTCGATAACGCTTTCTCCTCCGTGATTCATAAACGCCATCTCATTTTGCAGCGGATCTAGATCGTCATCCTCATTGCCGCGCTTCTTGAGGTTGACAAACCGCTGGACCGTGATTTCGATCATTCCACCATCACCTTCGCTCTGATCACTATGCCTCTTCTTTGTTCTTGCCTTCTTGGGCTGTGGCTGTTCGTTCTCATCATTGGCATTTTCTGGTTGTGCTTGAACTCGCTTTTTTGGTTTAACAGGTTTCGGTTTAGTAGTAGGTTGCTTCTGGTTAGTTGGGCTCTTGCTGGGGCGCCCGCGCTTTCGTTTGGGAGGAGTTGGTAGCACGGCTTCTTCCACTTCAGCTTCATCCTCTGTTTCTTCCTCTCTTTCTGGCCCAGACTCCGGTTCAGGTTCCAGGGCTTGTTGTCCTTCCGATTCTGGCTCAGGCTCTAGTCCAATCTCATCATTTTCGGGCTCAGACTCCGGCTCTTCTGTTTCTTCTCGTATATCCTCCAGTGGCTGGGAACCCAACTCTGGAGAGGGTTCTCGTGGTCTTCTCGTGCGTTTTGTCTTTGGAGCTTTCGGTGTTTCCTCTTCATCATATTCCTCAGCGTTCTCCTCCTCCTCTTCTTCATCTTGTAAAATTGTGCTTTCTTCAATAACCAAGTCGGCGGCCACCATTAACTCATCTTCTTCTAATTCAGCTAGTTGGGGGAAGCCATCAGAAGACAGCTCATCCGCCAGGTTGCTCGCTTCTTGGCCATATACTGTTGCAGCCGACCTCCTTGATGAGGCTGCGTCGCTACGGCGCAACTTATTCACGAGAGGAGATGAAGGCATGGGAATTCCATCATCTGATGATATCACACCCATCAGCTTAATACTAGAGCTTATGGTCTCGCTCACGGGCACGCGACGCCGCTTCCCGCTTCCTGGCGCATCTGCAGGAGACTCTGCCACCTCTTCGATCGTCTTCTCGGATCTGCGCGCCGAAGGCGATTGCAAAAGCGCAGCCGAAATGGCACCGGGGTGTGGCGGTAGATTTTCGAGCTCATCTTCGTCTTCCTCTATAATCATAGGAATGGTTGATCTTACTGAGCTTGAAGGTTGTGGTACTCGGGTTCTGCCAGCTCTAGGTGTAGGTTCGTCTTCGTCCATTTCATCGTGATCCAGCACTGGTTCGCTTGGCGCATCTGGCAGTTCGCTCGACGGGTTTATAGGTGGCTGAGGTCGGCCCCTTCGTCGTCGAGGGGTAGGGCTCGGTGCGTGCTCTGGAGAAGTTGTGGCCGTCGCATTTTTATTCAGCCTCCTTCTTTTTGCTGAATTTGTTGGGGAGTATTTAGCATTGGCGGCGGGGCTCGAGGCTGATGCGACTGATGATGCAATGGCAAGACCAGAGATGTTGAGGCTGTTGATGTCGAGGCTGAAAGATTCATCGTCTACATTGGCGCGCCTGTAAAGGAATAAGCAACTTTTCTGGCATATTTGTTTCTAATATGAAGCCTACTGAGCACCGCGAAGACGCTCATTCAGGCGATCCGCGCGGTTTTGTCGTCCTGTCGTCGTGTTAGAATGCTTCGAGATGGTGGCGCAAAGAAACATTTTTTGGAGAGCGACATGCCTGTAGCCATCGTAAAGGCAAGGGTGCAATTGCTATTGCACTAAATAGCCTTCTACATGTGGAATCTGAGAGACGCTGGTCAAGATGCTATTATGTTCTTGAGCAGACATAAATATAGGAGCTTGTGGTTATCGTGGCTTGGAAGTAAATTCAAGGTTGCGACACTCATAGATGCAAATCTGAGATGTACCGAGCCGGAGGTGCCAAAACTGGACTAGGGCAGCAGCTTGGACGCGACTGTTTCGAGACACGCGTTGATGGGCTCTGGCTGGATGGCGGGGTTTAGGCCATTCCGCATTTGAAGTTACACTCATTAGTACTGCAACTTACAGCGCTGTATGTGGGGTAAAATGCACATATAAGAAAACGCATCGAGGGTTGGGAGCATTCTCTTTCACCGCTTGAAACAAAATAACGCTAAAATAGTAATATTAAGGCGCGTATATACGTTATAGGCTTTTGATGACCCGACATTCCCTTCCAGGTTCCCAGCTGTGTGCCTGGCCCGCCGTCCATATGCCGTCAATTTATACAGGTGGACAGCTTTTAAAGATTAAACTGGTCCTATGATAGCATATACCAATAGGGCATGTTAGAGGAAAAAAGAAAAGAAGAAATCAACAATTAACGCCAACACCCATGCAATCTGTTCTGACAATTATAAATCTTGCTGTGCCTCCGCCTCTGCTGAAGGCTTGTCAATGGCAACCCATTTCATTGCTTCGTCGTCGAATCGATGGCTATATCTTATCAGCTGCGCCACCTCGGATAAAAACTAAGATTCATGACTTACTCGTGGAATTCTGTGTTTGTCAAAGCGTTCTTCCCATATTCAGCCTGCAGCATGTCTTGATAACGATAGGGGATCTTGCAGGGCACGCCCTCAAAGGTTGTGTCTCGTAGGGGGAAGACGTAGGTATCCTACGCGGCACGTTAGTCATGTATAATCACAACCGTTGATCTAAGGCTCAGCTATTTGTCATACCCGATATTCATGACCATATTTGTCGTATAAAATGCCTTCTCCTTCTTCGTGATCCAAATCATATCGTGCCGCAGTAATGTCGATGTAGAGTCCGTTCTGCATATCAATCCACCGGCCATCAATGACATTAGATTTGTCGTCTTGCTCTCGGTGTTTAAAGTACGGATTGATCTCAAGCTGGAAGTACCGGCCCTCGTCCATGCCGCCGTACTTGTAATAGTATACGGTCATGTTGTGATAAGCAGCGAGGTAGTACATGTCTGCCTCTGTGATTTGAACATCCGCATCATAGTCCCACGGCATAACCTTGAGATTAAGAATTAGTTTGTTGGTTACAATGATGACGAAAAATGGACGAGTAATAGAGTAGTAAAGATACCTTCTTCCCCCACCACCACCCAAGCAGAGTGCCATGCATCAGCCATGTTTGGACGCCCAAGTCTCTAAACGTTGCCAGATACGTCTGCACTAAGACCTTGATGGCCTCTCTCTGCTCGGGGTCTTCGAGAATTGCGCGGGTGAACCGGGCATCATAGTGGACATCGTAGCTACCAAAGATGTGTTAGACCTACATTGGATCCAAAGAAAAAGTGGTGCTGGCTGCAAAGACTTGATCGAGACACTTACGGACTCTCATCTATGAGAGAGAGGCTCTTGTTAGCATGGATGCCAGCGGCCGCCGCGTAATCTCACATCAAATCCACTCACGGAAATATTTGGGTACGGTAGCCTCGCTGGACTTTCCAGAAGGAGCAGCACTAATAGCCCATGCTAACGCTGCCCATGTGACTGCGACAACAGCATGCTTGAGGCTGATCGTACAGGGCTTCATCTGTGCTGTGGCAGATTTTGAAAGTCGTCAGTATTGCCCGGCCTCTCTTGTCTCCTCCAGAATCCCTTTTATTTTGCTCGACTGGCTCCTGGGAACTCTATAGAGCCCAACTAGCCCTCTCGTTAATTAATAGATCCAGCTCTAGAGTGGAACTGGTGCTGCTTCCGCGTCGGCAATTCGATGCCGCGAAGGGGGACTAGAATGCGGCCACTCGGCAGCGACGTTTCGGCGGCGGTAGGCCAAATTACATGGGCTGGACGCGCGTATGGACCCTATTTTGGCATCCTCAAGCGGCTAGAAATGCGGTTCCAAGTCCCTATCGGCGAGGGAAACGTCATGCCCGCTTGTTACTTGCTGCTTCTGCTTAGGAGAAACCGGAGATCGACACGATTTCACCCTTTGATGCAAAGCCCCTGGAGCTGACTGCTGAAAATTTCCATGTACTACTGCTATGGGTACAGGCGCGTGCTGTAGTGACATCACGCGACGCTGGCTTGAGATTCGAGAGCGTCTGAAAACGGGGCTTCAGAGGGTTATTGAGCTATAACCTGTGCGCTAGCGAGCCTATCTACCGGCTTTGGTGTACAATATTGCTCCATTGCAATCACTCGAGATTGAATGGCTTGCCTTTGGCTCGAGACGTAATAGTAACAGCCAATGAGGCGTATGCTAGCGCTCACTAGATTGGTACCTGTAACAGCAGCGGCTTTGCGGGGGGTTTGGACGATCAAAGATTTGCTGCAAGGAGCACGTGCGCTGTGCTTTCTTATAGGGATGCGTCCGAGCACAACAAATTCTTGGAGCGGCAGCAAAGGCACCGACCTGAGAGAGAGGCACGTTTCTGAAACGTGAAACGCACACGCACACACATTATTGCGTACCACCTTGCTTTGTGTGTGTGCTCCGTATCCCCAACAATTTTCGTTGTTTTCCCTTTGGAGAAAGGCTATATCGGAGCGGGCTGTAATATGTAACATTCCTATGTGCTGTTACTCCTGATTCCGTGCAGATAGTATTACCTGCCTCAGCAATTTTATACTTTTCACCCCAGCCTTTAGGTTTTTCTTCAGAAAGGGGATGAAAGCTTCAGTGCAGAGTATAACCCGGAAATGGCTGGAGTAAGCCAGAGCATCTAGCCCTCCTTTTATGACTAAGATGATATTGATGCATCTATCAGGGCATCGTCACTAAAGTGGGGGCGTGCGGTGCTTCCAGCGTTACAAGCGTGGCCAGGACCTGGGGTCTGACGCAAGCTTAGCCTCAGCTCCACGTTTACAGCTTCATCCTAGCATTTGATCCTAACAACAACAAGAAAACTCCCTATTTGCGATCGCTGCGATCGTCCGACTGGCTTCGATGCCTGTGTTCTTGTAACATTTATTGCTTGATTTCTTTTCTTCTTCTCCCTGTACCGTCCCTTCCTAGCTATTCCGTTCTAGAGTAGCGGCAAGGCTTGAGCTGCCGCGAGCCCGCATCATGGGAGCCTGGAATGTAAGATGGGATCCAGATCCTCCAGATCCTCGTCTTGAATGAGATGTCGCGAGAATCAAGCTGACTTATGCGACCTAGATCTTTCGCATCTTGGGCGATTGCCTCCATATGCTCTCCAAGGGCATCCTCATCTTCTCCATCCATAGAAACCGCAGTGCGGAAGGCGTTTCCCTTATCACACAAGGGCTCTACGCCATCGTCTTCTGCTCGCGATACCTCGATCTGTTCGGAGAGCGCTCGGCATGGAATGCTATATTCAAAGTCACATATATTGTCACATCATTCTATATCTTGGGTGTTATGCAATGGCTGTTCCCTCGATCTCGAGAACGTGAGATCTCCTGGAAGCTGGGAGCTATCATCCTTGGTGGCAGCCTTGCTCTGTCTCCCTTTGTCATGATGATTTTCGAAGGCAAGAGGAGATGGGGATTCCTAACTGTAGGTCTCAGTTGAAGCAAGATAAGGGAGGGGGTTTATGTGCTAATCATTATCACAGTGGATGTGGGTTTTTTCTGAGATCCTCGAATCCGTATGCGTTCTGCCGCAGCTGCTGCTGTTGAGACAGACCACAGTTCCAACCGTAATCGACTCGTTCTATCTCCTGGCGCTAGGCTCCTACCGCGCCATGTACTGCGTGAACTGGTTCGTGCGAGAAATGGACGTAAACGACCGACCGCCCGATGCTATTGCCGTCATTTTTGGCATCATTCAGACTGCCTTATACGTCGATTTTGCTTGGGTCTACTACACTAGACAGCGGGTTAAGCTCCGTGGCGGCGGTGTAGTTGACGCCGATGATCTGAACCGTGGATGGTTCCTATACCGCATCTTTGGAAAGCACGCTGCGCCTAATGACGAAGAAAGCGGCCACGGTGACTCGGGTGGTAGCCGGGCGAGATGGGGATCTCGTGGTATCTCAGTCAGTGCTGACGACAGCGTATTGGAGTCGGAGAGAGACAATCGTGATCATCACGAGGGGCTCGATGCCGCGGTGGATCCTGATGCCAGGATGCACGACCCCGATGAGCTGGCCAAGGCCATGGACGACGATGACGACGATGACGAAGAAAATACGCCTCTGCGTGCTGGGAGCTCTTCTCAGACGCACACACCACCAGGAATCCGAAGTGGGGATGAATGGGCCGACTAAAGCAGGCTCATCTAGTTTCTTGGATACCGTATCTCTTTTAAGAGGAGCAGTATAGGATCACAGTCACAATGTCAACACCGTAATCTACGGTATGGATAACATTTAACCAATTGTCTTTGTTTTAGGCAAAGCATGTTTTGGGATATCTCTTTTTTTTCTTAAGTTGGGTTTGGTTACTTGTACTGGAATCAAGGAGTAGTGAGAGGAAATTTCATGACTGGAAGATGGTTTGCTATATCTGAACTACGCACTCTAGTGGCATGAATATACACTTATGAATAAGAAATTTACGCTTCTGCGAACGACTTCGAGCCGCGGACCGTGGCATTTCTTTTACTAGCCGAAAGAAGATCCCCGGGGAATATGAGCCCTCGGCTGGATGGCAGTGGAATTGCGGGACACTCCCGGGAGTGCGGAGAACATGCAGGCATCAGACTTAGCATTTCACTAGTAGTAGCAGGCATGTGAACGTCAGATCACTTTTCCGAAGCAAATGTCACAATGCGCGGTAGAAAGCGCTCGCGTGAAAATTGAAACGCCGGGGACTTTTCGTCACCCCATATGTACACAATACTCAGTACATGAGAAAGCCCCCCCTTCTGAGAAACGAACAAACCCGAGGAGGCCCTCCTCCTTTGTCCTGCTTGGTCCAACTTGGTTCAAAAATAGCCTGAACCTGGAGAAGTGATTTTCCAACCACCGTAAATAACGCCTAGTAGTACCCAAGTAAAAATAAGACATAAAAACGTAACAGTCGCCAGAAATAAGCAAGAATGCCAACCGAGAAGCTTGAAAAGGCCGCTGAAGAAAATAGTGAAGAATAGTTCAAAGGGTCCCTCTCTTAGAAATTAAGCCGTTACCGAGCGAAACGGCGCTCAAAGGCCTCGTAAAGCTTGGGGCTGATCTCATCGCTGCTCATGCCCTCGACCTCGAGCAAGACACCCTTCTTGGCGTAGTGGTTGAGCAGCGGCTCGCTGTTCTCCTGGAACTTCTTGAAGCGTGCGCGGTAGGTCTCCTCGTTGTCATCCGGGCGCTGGACCAGGGGCTCGCCGGTAACGTCGTCGCGACCAGGAACGCGGGGCCGGTTGAAGGTTGTGTTATACACGCGGCCGGAAGGCTCGTGCACCCATCGGCCGGCAATGCGTTCGAGAAGAACGGAGAAGGGAGTCTGGATGGAAACGACAAGGTTCATGGGAACGATCTTGTCGAGGGTGACGGCCTGGGGGACGGTTCGGGGATAGCCATCCAGCATGAAAGACGCAGAAGGATCCTCTGAAGCCTGTGGAACGGCGTGCTCATCTATTTGGAAAGGCATTGAACTAAAGTGATCCATGGAGGAGGAGCTGTAGGAGCCTTCGGTAGAGGTTGCCTCGGCAGAGAGTGTCATGACCGGAGGTCGGTTTCCGTAAAGCCAGCCTCGGGATCGAAGCTCTCCTGAGATTAGACGAAGCATCAAGTCGTCAGCGACCAGGCCACCGGCTTTGATAGTGTTTTCAGCCATGATGCCTGAGGAGGGAATGATTAGCTTCCAGCAATATGGGATAGTAATTACGAATGTTTGACTTACCGAGAGGCGTCCTGTTCTTGACATTGTGGCGGAGAAGGTCGCCTGTGCTGATGGCCTTGAGTTGAGGGAAGCGCTTCAACAGCCTCTCACTCTGCGTACCCTTGCCCACGCCGGGCGCGCCAACTAGAATTACTCGTGCTGCTCTCCTGAGTTGCATTTCTAGGAAATTAAAGATGTCTTATTTGTCTACGTAGAGACGAGATTGGAACTGGCGAGGCGGATATGATTCTCTGAAGTCTAGAGGTTGGAGATGGCGAGGTATCAAACGTTACAGTGTTGCGCGTAAGCAACGCCGAAGACGGCCCGTCAAAGGAAAAAAAAAAAAAGAAAAAATAAAGAAAAATCTTGACGTAGAACAGCAAAAGTTAAACAGACATGTAGCCTGGCAGCACGACTACTGTATGTAAAACAAGCCGTCTACCGCAGACAAGGAACGAAAGGATATTATATATATAAGGTGACAAAGCAGAAAACAGAACGGGGAAATCGAGTGAGCGCGAGGGAAGGACGTGTTAATAATGTTGAGTGAGTTGTCGATAAAGACCCGGCCCTGCCATGGCGGGACGGGCGGGGGTCCAGCCCAGCATGTGGGAACCGAAGAAGCGCCGCACGGTGGCTGACGGCGCTGTATAGGCCGGGACAGACAGTGCGGTGACAGCCGATGGCACTTTGTGGGCGGCCAAAAGATGGTGGGCTGAATGTCTGTTTGCTAGACAGAGACAGCAGCCCCAGCGTTGGTTGAGAGCTTAGCTCCAAACTCCGGACGGGACACACGAGCCCAGAGGCGCCAGATTCGAGCCAAGGCGCCCTGGAACTGCGACGAAAGCGAAGCGCTGACGGGGGCTCGGAGGGTTTTCGCCCTGGAACTTGCTCTGAAAGCGGTGCGCAGGCACGCCGCGGCGGGGAAGACTGACGCTGCCGCAACGTGCGCTGATGGAGGGGTCCCCCGGGCAGGGACGCTACCAGCTGCTAATAGCCGGTGTCTGCCTGTTCTCGATGCGCCGATTCTTGGGCCAGCGGACGGCTCAACAAAGCTGGGGCGGGTCTCGCCTGGGTCGCAAATCGCAACTCTTGTGCGACGAAGCGTCCGTCACGCCATTTATCCGCAGGGCAGTTGATTCAAAGCAGTAATTATCAGAGAGACGCTGTCTGCTGGCTGTGCGGACAATTCGGTCCGTGGCGGTCCGAGCCCAAAAGGGCCAAATGCCATCTGTTGGAGAGAGAGAGAGACTGAAGCATGATACCAATGAGATTCCACTTCTGCTGCTTAGCGGTAGTATAAAGACGATGAGGATGCCCGTGCTTGTTTATTCGTCTGCCTTCCGGTTTCCGTTCATGGGCAACTGACTGGGCCTATAATAATTCCGAGACGACAATAGATGAGAACATGGGCTGTTTCTGCTGCTTGGCAACCCTTCGCTGCGTGGTAATTGGCCGGTTCCCATCTTGTCTGGGCTCATAACAATCGTGTTTCACTTTTGGGCTCCGGCGATCAGTCGGGCCACGATGGGAGCATTTACCGAGCAATCTCCAGCAAAAAACGAGAGATGCCCGACAATCATTCTAAGGCGTGCGAGCTGCGAGGTAGAGGGGCCGAGAACAGCAATCAAGAGTACGAAGAATGAGCATCACTATGCCCTGCTGCCCCTGCTACAGAGCATAGAAATCCAGACTATGATTTGAGCATTTGCTTCTGTAAAATGGCCATATTAACTCCTTGCTTGCCATTTAATCTCTTGTCAATCCATATTATCTTCGGTATATGAACCAGCAATTGCATTGTTTCACGTTGCCGCACTGAACACATTGCCCGACACAGCACAGGTTCATGTACTGTACTCCAGGCAAGGAAACCCAACGCTCAGTCTGGGGAATAAGCCAGAGCCATATACAGCCCAATGATGAGTTTCGTGCATATCTCCCCACAGATGACAACGTCTGCCAATGTCTACCAGCATCTGCTATTTGTAGGCCTGTAGAACGCTGCATGCTAGTAGCACCGACTGCGCCCTCGCATTCTCCTTAACCCCCGAAGCAAACGCACTCAATCTCTTGCCAGCAAAGCATACTTACGCATTACACTTTTTCCATCCCCCAAAGTCCGGCATGTCCGAGGCCGCGACACGCAAATCAGCGCTCTCGTATTATGTAATAAGGCCTCAACTCTCTGCAAGCCCGTCTCACTCAGGCACTCAGGAGATATTACGTCACGTGATCTCGCCTGCCGTATGGCTTCAGCCCAACGGCTCCACCAAATCTGCCGCTGGAAACTCTGATCCAGCCTATGGCATGCCAGCTCCCGGCCTCTTGACGTGTGGCGCACCAAAAGCAGACTGGATTGTACTCTTGTAGACCCTGGCCTGGTTCCTTCGATATTCTTTCCCTTCATCATCCCTCCTATCCGCCACATTCGACTTCAATTCATCCCCCCGTTTCTCTGTTTTATATTTGTTGTGCCGGTTTTTCGTCGTCGCTGTAATCGAATCTTGTGTCTTCCTCGGTCTGTAATTCTCACATCTGCTCGCAATGAGCGCCTCATCCAGCCTCGCCCGCAGGGCTGTAGTTCGCAACCCCTTGCTTGGCCCATGTAAGTTTGTTCCATGTCTCCTTTACAGGACCGCAGTGTTTGTTGACTCTCCCCGAAGCAAGACAACTATCCAGAGGCGTTTCGCCAGCTCTCATCACCAGACATATTGCTCGACAGACCCAGATTCCCGCCTTGGCCCTGCTGGTCCCATTGCGCCAATTGGGAACCGAGCCTCATCGACCGGATGCGCCGTCTGGACCGCCCCCAGGATTCAATGCCGAGCAGGCTAAGAAGCCGCTGCCAAAGGACCCCTCGAGTGCTGCTAAGAAATCTGATGCCGATGCAAAGACAAAGGATGGATCAGTGACTGCTGCGCAAGCTGGCAAGACCGCCGATGAGGCATCATCGACAGAGCTGGCAGCTAAGAAAGACGAGAACGCTCAGCAAAAGGAGCTCACAAAGAAAAAAGAAGAGGAAGTCAAATTGACGACCTGGCAAAAAGTTAAGAAAGAAGCCCAGCATTACTGGGATGGAAGCAAGCTCCTTGCCACGGAGATTCGTATCAGCTGGAGGCTAGCACTCAAGATGGCCGCCGGCTACGAGCTTACCCGCAGGGAAAATAAGCAGCTTCAGCGCACTGTGAAAGACCTGGGCCGGCTCGTTCCCTTCTCCATCTTCATCATCGTCCCCCTGGGTGAAGCTCTGCTGCCACTGGCCTTGAAGCTCTTCCCCAACATGCTCCCCAGCACGTTTGAGGGCCAAAAATCCAAGGAGGCAAAAGCTACCCTGTTGCGGTCTACGAGGAAGGAGGTCAGCAGCTTTATTCGACAGACACTGAAAGAGACCGGCCTTCCCCTGAGCCAGGCGACAGCTCAGAAGGAAGAGTTTGCCAAGTTCTTCCGCAAGGTCAGATCTACTGGAGAAGCGCCCACTGACCAGGACGTTATCAAGGTGTGCAAGGTCTTCCGCGATGACATGACTCTGGATAACCTGTCACGGCCCCAATTGGTGTCCATGTGCCGCTACATGGGTCTCAACACCTTTGGCACAGACGCCATGCTGCGATACCAGATCCGTCATCGCATGCGTCAAATCAAGCGCGATGATAAGGCTATCGCCTATGAGGGCATTGACAGCCTAACCGTTGCAGAGCTGCAGCTGGCATGCGCTGCCCGCGGTATTCGCACACACAGCGTGTCCCCTGCTAGGATGAGGGCTGATCTGCAGACTTGGCTGGACTTGCGTCTCAAGGAGGGCGTTCCCTCTACGCTGCTGGTCCTAAGCAATGCTTACATGTACGGCCAAGGATCCGGCGAGGGCTCGAGCCAAATTGAGGCCCTTGTTGGTGTGCTCTCCTCCATCCCCGAGGAGCTCTTCCACGAGATTGAGCTGGAAGTCCACAACGCTGAGGGCGCCGCTACCAACAAACAGCGTCTTGAAGTCGTCAAAGAGCAGCAGGATCTCATTGAAGAGGAAGAGATGCAGAACAAGGAGAGCCAGACAACAGGCTTTGCTACTCCCCGTGATGTCGACGACATTGACGAGAAGGAAGAGCGACAACTGTCCGCCGCTGAGAGTGGCTTAGAGACGAAGCCAGCTGGCGAGATGGTTGATGCTGAGCTGGACCAGATCAAAGTCATTGAGTCTGAGAAGCAGAAGGCCGCTGCCAAGGAGCAAAAATAATGACAGATCATGAAACAACAAACATGTCAAGAAAAAAAGAATAAAAAAAAGACCAAAAAAAAATCGTAAAGGAGACAAATACACGGCGTACGCAATAGCGCCGGCAGTCAAACGAATTGTTATTCTTATTTCATATGTACACAATGGGCTTATTACAACATACCCGGATGGATAAGGGGTCATGTTACTAAACTAACTAACAATAAGCTGGATGATGCAAACATGGAAACTTATTTGGGCGGCGGGCGGCATAGACATCTCGACACAACCAGGAAACAACAAATAGACTACACATATCATTATAATTGCTTTACTACTATGTGCTTGATCGTGTTAATTGTTACGTGATGAATACATGACCAAATCCAAATCCAAATTCAAATCAGATAAGGAAAAAAAAAAAGGGTAAAAAAGTCTATAGCTACAGCAAAAGCTAAAATTATTGTGTACATACAATAGAGTGTACAAGGGAAGCATCGATATCGCAACGTGATCAGCAAAAGCGCCGCCAATCGTGAGTGGTGGCCGCGAGGCTGTTGCGTCATCATGGCCCACGCAGGTACCAACTTGGAAGGCAGCATCCAGCAGGCACCAAATCCGGGCAAGAGAAACAGATGCGGGCGCTTCAGCTTTTGCGCAGAGAAGGAAAATGGGATTTTGAAAAGCGAATTCCAAATTCTCCTACTGGATCAATGCTCCTACCAACTTGTTTCACTCGCAAATGAAGGCTTCACTTCGATGCTGATGCTATGCGGATTTCGAAAATCCCATCCCGCGTATGTACCTGAGACGGCTGTGGAACCTGGAGCATGTAGTCTATGTACCTGCTAATTGCGCGCAGCGTTCACACAGCCTCAAGAAGTCGCTGCAGCCAACTGACAGCCCACGCCTTCGCTAGCCTCGGAATCCACGCCACCTATTCTCGACTCTCGCCTTCGACATTTGCTCGCAGCTCTCCCTTACATCATTCAACCAAGCCGCACCTCTTCAGGGTCGAGAGAGCCTTGATCCAATTGTCGCAGCTCACGCTCGGGCATCTCTCTAGACTCACAGCCTCAGCCTCCATTATCCGAGCAAACATCACCACTCAGCCCAGCTCCCGTCAGATGCTCCAACCATGACGAGCCCCCAAGACAACGACCAGGACGACTTCTCCAACGTCACTTGGAGCGAGCATGTACATGATCAAGCAGCGCGCTCTGCAGCTGTCGCCGCTGCCGAGGGTCCCGGGCGCCCCATAGAGGAGATTGGAAACAGCTCGGCGAATGCCATCGGTCGTGAGAAGCTCGAATGCACTGTTGGGTCGCCCATCAAGGAGAATGACGGCACCAAGGATGCCTTTGTCTCCTACCTCGTCACTACTCACGTACGTATACCACATTCATGATTGCGAGCGGCTATCTGCTCTGGCTCTTCTCTCATTCTCTCCCTTCTTACCCCGCCTTGAAGCTGTCGCAAGATGATGCTCTACCAGACGCTGCTGGCTAACACAATGTGCAACATGTCCTTAGTCTACATTCCCATCGTTCCAGAAAGAAGTCACAACGGTGAGGAGGCGCTTCACAGACTTTGCCTTTCTCTTCAAGCAGCTCATGCGAGACTACCCGGCCTGTGCCGTCCCACCAATCCCGGATAAGCAGCGCATGGAGTACGTCCGCGGCGATCGCTTCGGTAACGACTTCACTTCACGGCGCGCCCACTCACTGCAGCGGTTCCTGAACCGCCTATCGCTCCACCCGGTGCTGCGCAGGAGCACCATTCTGCACAGCTTCCTCGAAAGCCCGGACTGGAACGCGACAGTCAAGAGCCGCACGACTCGTGGCAGCATAGCGAGCGACCCTGGCGGTTCCAGCGGCGTTTTCGACAACTTTGCCGATACTTTCATCAACGCTTTCACCAAAGTCCACCAGCCCGATAGGCGATTCCTCGAGGTGAAGGAGAAGAGCGACAAGCTTGATGAAGACCTCGGCCATATCGAAAAGGTAATTGCCCGTGTGGCCCGCCGAGAAGGCGACCTAGAAACCGATCTTCGGGATCTAGCGGAGCAATTCCAGAAACTCATCACCCTTGAACCTGGTATCGAGTCTGCTGTCCACGCTTTTGCCGCCTCTATCGAAGATACGGCACAACACCTTCACCAGTTAAAGGACGTTACAGACCAGGACTATCTCGGATCGCTTCGCGACATGCAGGCCTTCTCTCTTGCTCTCAAGAATCTACTTAAAGCCCGAGAACAGAAGCAGCTTGACTACGAACAGCTGACAGAGTACTTAAACAAGTCCACATCCGAACGTGACTCTCTACGTTCCGGCCACGGCGCACCAAGCGGGCCGGGCGGCTTCATCCGCGCCAAGATAGAGGACGTCCGTGGAGTGGATCACGAACAGGCCCGACGAGAGCGCACCAGGAAGCTGGAACTACGGGTCGAGGAGCTCAGCACTGAGGTCGAAAATGCTCGTGAAACCAGCCATCGGTTCGACGACGAGGTGATCCGCGAGGTTGCTGACTTTGAGCGCATCAAGCGCATCGAGATGAAGGCTCAGCTTGGCGGTCTGGCGGATGCTCATGTCAAGTTTTACGGCGACGTTGCCGAGTTGTGGGAGCAATATGTCATGGAGATGGAAAAGGAAGGCGTTGTTCCTATAGCGTGACAGTGAGCTAAGAGATGCGTGTTTAATGTGATATTGATGACAAACTATCTGGAGCGATCTTTTTTCTCTATTTTTTTTTTTTTTTCAAGTAAAGAGGGAAGGGAAGGAGTGTGGTATAGGATCTGGTATTGAGGTATACGTGGGCGTAACGTTGAAGGGGAGGAAAATATATGCTCCTGGTGGGAAGGAGTTAGAAATAATAATGACACAGATGTCTAATAAATCAACTTCTTATTGCACCTTAGAAGTATCTTATCAAAGGATATATGGCCTGGCTAAAATGGCATATAATAGTTTTGGCAGCGACACAAAGCATAACCAAGCCCCGGGCCTAAACCAGGGGCACATTCGGGACGTAGCGCACGGGAGAGCCAACATCAGCATCAATTACGCTCCTCATCCATCCATCCACGAGTAGTTCATATTATCATATACCTATTACATAGGTATGCGGATAGGTAGGTATCTACACCTTAGAAATACATATCCCTATCCAAGACAAGAAATATTGCCCAAGCATTCCATATAAAGACAGAAACCACCACAGGGGCATTTAGGCAAAACAGAGTAATTAATCGAGGACCGCCAAAAAAAAAAATTAATGGTATAATTGAAAGAAAAATACTCCGTCTAATGAATACCTGATGTTCAAAAAAAATTCTTTTTTGTTTCATTCAAAAAAACACACAACAAGAGGGTAAGAGAAGCGCTTCTCGTCTATATTCAACTCGACAGCCTCTGTTTTTCATGGCCATCGTCATCGTCATCGTCATCGCTCTCCTCACCAACGACATAATGCTCCGGCTCATCATCGGGATTATGTCCCGCCAGCCTCTCGGCTGATCGATCTCTATACTCGTCAAACTCGTCGTCATCGTCACTGCCGCCCGCAAAGGCATCGTAGAGCTCTCCGCCACGAGTCCGGCGCGTCTTCTTGCCTCCATTGGCGCCCTTCTCGGCGCTGTTAAGGCCTTCAGTCTCTTCCTCGTCGAGAAGTTCAAATTCGTAGTTGTTACGGGGGTTGTTGCGAAGGCGGCGGCGGCGCGCAACCCAGAGGTAGACGCCCAGGCCGCAGCAAAATGCGACAATCAAGCCAAGGGCGGCGTAGATCCAGATCTTAGCCTTGGTTCCGAATGTAGGAAGCCAGGAGACCCATGAAGATGGACTAGTCGAACTGGATGCTTGGGCAGATTCAGTACCGGTAGTGACCTCGTGCTCAGTGTCTGATGGCTTTTCATCGGCAGAGGTTTCTTGGGGTTTGGTCGATGATTCTGTAGGCTGTGCCCCAGGTTTCGTTGGGCGCACAGGGTGGTCTGTAGGGTTGGCGGTGACAGCCGATTTGGTTGTGCTTGGCGCTGCGATCGATTTGGTAGAGGCCGCTCCCGAAACGGTGGACTGAATCACATCATGGTCGGCATCATCATCCTCGGACGGCATGGGTAAGATCTTGGCCTTGCTGGCATCAATGCTCTCGCCCCAAAGCTTCAGGTGCCAGTCGATAAATTTGCCCTTTTCGTTGTTCACTTCCGTGTCTCGGACAATAACAGTCCATCTTCCAACACCACTCTCGCCCCTGGAAAAAAAAAATGGATTAGCACCAAACGATTTATCTTGCCAATGTTTGTGAAAGAAACGGGGAAGCTTACCAATGGGCAACGGACATAAATGTCCAGTCATCGTAACCGCCTTTAAAGTTGTCCCCTTTGCGAGAAACAGAAATGTGGCTGATAACGTTGTCAGGGCTGACCAAATCCACGCTCAAATCGCCACGGCGAGTGTGTTCGACGTTCATGGTGACAGTGACATGCTCCAGACGAGCCAAGTTGGCTTCTTTGAGCATATCAGCAGTCACATCAAAGCTCATTGCCAGCCCATCTTTGCCTTCAGGAATGTCCTTTTTGACATGCAGCCAAGGTGAAAAGTACCAGGCCTGAGGCTTCACCTTCTGCCATGTCTTGGACCTCTCAACGAGACCGTATGAGTCGACTTTGCCGTAGCCAAAAGTGTGGCTAAATTGTCTCCCAGCAGAAGTGGTCTGCCACTCGGCGTCTGTCTCGTCGTCCAATTTGATAGCAGTATCCATGGCAAGGTATTGCATGTCTCGCCAAGTCAGGTCTGGGCGAACTTGCATGACCAGGGCAAAGATACCCGCCGCAAGCGGTGCCGCGGCTGATGTGCCTCCATGAGCTCCATAGCAGGCATTTTCCCCAACATCAGTTGTGTGCTGTATATGGTAAGCCACTAAAACCGGGTTGGAAAGAAAAGAAGGGAAAGAAAACTTACTATACCGTCGCCGCCGCCACTACTGTAAGTAACAACGAGCAAGGCGGAGCAGTGTTCCGAGTAATACGGGTGCTGGCCAGCACGATCAACCGCACCGACTGTAATACTGAAGATTGAATTTGTATATCCGTCAAAGTTGCAGTTGTCGCCGCTCGCTGCACCGTTACCGCTGGCGAAAACATAGATGGAACCAAGGCCACCCCGGCCCTCCTGAATACCCTTGAGCATGGCTCGTCGAATCAGAACATCAGGGGCTTCCATGGATCTGCCATCGTCTGGAGGTCCCCAGGAACAGGAGTAGATTTGATTATCCTGAAATTTGTAGATCATGGCCTCAGCTTCATCCGCATCACTAATAGGGCTGCTCAGAATTCGGATGCCTGCAATCTTGGAGTCGTAGGCGACGCCGAGACCGCATACGTCGTTGCGGACTGCAGAAATCTCGCCAGCGCATCTGGTGCCGTGTTTGTCGTCTGACAATACCGGTTTAGGTTCCGGGTCGTTGTCATTGAAATCCCAAGAGCCTTCGGCGAAATAATTGTCCTTTAGGTCTCGGCTGTACATATCCAGACCGTCATCGATCACAGCGACTGTTGCATTCTTTCCAGTAATGCCCTCGAGCCAGAGCCCAGTAACATTGACATCATGGCCAACCTGCACCGTATTGTATAGATGCCACTGCTCTGTAAAAGTTGGATCGGCGATGCCCAGGTCTCTCATGAGGTTTGTTTGAGCGAGGACCGCCGAATCGTCAGGCTTTTGATTTTGAGGAAGGCGGGGAAGCACATTGTCCCTGGGCGGGATAACTCTCTTCTGCAGACGGCTACGAGCTTCTTGCTTGGTTGTCAAGAGGACTCCATCCAGGATGTCGTACCCGCCAACGTCTCGTTTCCTCCTTTTGCGCTCTCGTACCTCATCCTTGACGATATCTCGATCGTGCTTCTCGGCGCGAAATACGTGGTGGTCAGTGAGCTCTCCGAGCTGGCCTTCGTGTGTTAATCCAAGGCGAGCCGCAATATCGCTGGGCTGTGTTGACCGGTCGAGATGCAGCACATAATAGTCGTTCTTGGTGTAATCCCTGGCAATCCTGGTAGCCTGTGACACGGCCACCAGGCCAGCGATTCCTAGCACGGAAGCGACTCTCATGGCGGCGCAAAGAGGGCAAGGCGCTCACGGAGCTGCCGGCGCAAAGAAAGGGATGTGACGCGAGTTGAAAGGGAAAGTGGCTGAAGCTATGAACTCATGGAGTCCTTTTTTTGGGGGGGTGGGTTGTTTATTTGCTAATAGGTCGGGCGGAAGATTTAAACACGATCTGCAAAATGCTTGTCAGTGATTTAAAAAAAAGTCGAGTTGCCAAGTCTAGCTCTTGGGTGACGAATGAATGGCAGTTCAGGAGTCGCAGTCGTCGCAACTCGCCACATTGGAGAAGCGACTCGGAACGGCACTCCCGAAGCACCGCCTTGCAGTAACAGGTGGCCAATCACAAGGAGGACCAAAAGACGCCAAATGTGAGACTCACCCAGATATGCGGACCTGCAATGTAATGCACGTCTCTGTATTCTCCCGGCGGTCAGAAATCACCAGCAACCAAATCAGTAAAGATATAAAGACGTGCAAAAGAAGAGCATGAAGCGACTGGGAAAGTTTGGAGATGCCAGTTGTCGTGGCCGTTCTGTTGAAAACGCATTGAATAGGCACCTAAACTTACCTAGGACGACGCCAACTCTTTCGCGCAAGTACAGGTACAAGCAGCCCCTCAAGCCCCCCGCTGCTATTCCGCTACATTCCATACCAGACCTTCATTCTTTCTCCGTACCACTACCAACTGCGAAGTAGGGGGTCGCACTAGCAGGCCTAGATGCCGCGCCACTAACGCAGCTTTAGCAGGTCGGCCTGGGGTCACTGTCGAAGACGCAGGCAGTGCAAGGGGACCTCGTACATGGATTACGACGATGCGGAGTGGGTTTGGCTATCCTGAAGCCTAGAGCAGCCGTAGCCGATACTTCTGGCATAGGCTCCTGTTTTTTATTGATTTGCGGAGCAATAAACGAGACTGCCTGGACTAATAGTGTAGTATTATGTGCTGCACACGAGAACTATTGCCTGTCAATTAGGAAAGACCCCGTTTCAGTGTCTCAATTGAGAAGTTGAGCTTGAACGGAGCAGTCTATTACTTTTGGGCTTATTAGTGACACGTAGCCGCATCTGATGCTTGCTCTCTAAGCTTTAGCACCAGCATATAGCCATGACGTGCGTCATTCTCCATCCAGAAGCATACAAAAGTGCTGCTAGCATCTCCAAAAGGCTTATTGCCTTGCCTTCACGTCAGCATCAACACTTTGTTAAAGCAAGAATAGCAACAGCGTGAGATCCAAAAACTGTCTGCGGGCTAAATTCAACAAGTAGTACTACATATACAAAATAACCATTATCCTATCCTCTCCCATCACTACACTCCATCGTCAACACTGCGTCGTACCCGTCATGCCTTGTCGTCAACCACCGCAGTGAGCGTCAGTGTTTGCGCAAAAAAATCTCCTCCATAGAGCAGCGTGCTTATGGCAGTAAAATATCCTATTAGTCAAGCTCAATTCAATGGGCGCCTCTTCAGAAGCGACAATAAGCACCACAGCAAACAACATGGGCAACGCTAGCCAAATGTTCTTAGTTGCCATCCCACCAACGACGCACAGACAAAACCCTTTGCTTGCCACAAACCGAAACCAAAATGATCAGCTTTTGCTGTTTTAAAAATTCTCGCTTAAAAAAAAAAAAATTTTTTTTTGATATGATTATATAACTCATAGCAAAGATTGTCAAAGCTCAAGCTACGCTGCAGCCACTTACCTTACCTATATAGTCGCCCTTCTCTCCGTCCACTTCATAAAGTGTTCCAAGGCCAGCCTCCGGCCATGAAGGCCGCAAAATGCCTACCCGGTCTTGGCGCCGCCGAAGAGCTCGAACCGGGCCGGCAGAGAAGATTGCGACATCCGACCCTCCGGAGACACGCCGACGGATTGGGTTCTTCTTAATTTTGAAAACCCCAGTCTCTGGAGCTATGCTGCTCCATGGCGCAGGGCGAGTCGCAGCGCCGAAGCCGGAGGGCAATCCAAGGCCAGAGCAGACCCGCTTTGGAGCCATTCTCTCGACTCATGGGCAGATCTTTAATTGAAAGATGCTATACCCCAGAGTTCAGTCCGATACGGAAGAACACGGAGAGGAAAAGACAAATGATTCACAAGAGAAGACAGTTTTTGTGTGCGTGAAAGAATATGCGTGAAACGAGAATTCAGATTTTCCCTTATGCGGTATCATAAAAAGGCCCTAACTTTTTTTTAAACTAACACAACATGCCTCGTCACTCCAGATCTCCCAGGATCGTTGCCGAGTGTCCAAGATGCAGGTACCAAAAAAAATGACATTTTACCCCAAAATGTTTCCCCCCCACAACACCATTCTTAAACCCACAACGCGCGACTCGCGCTGCTTATTTCTGGTTCTCGGGTCGCAGAGAGCTGTGAAAGAAAGTGAAAATGTTAGCCATGGTGATCTTAAGTGAATGAGATGTAATGTAGTCTTGTGTATGTATGTCACTTACCGAACGGCCTTGCCGGCTCTCCAGATCTCCAGCTCTCGGATCTCCTTCATCTCAGCCTCGTATCTCTCGCGGTAGTCGGGCTGGCTGTTGTACTCGAGGGATCGCTTGGTCTCGGAGCCATCCTTGACGGAGTCGTACAGGCTGTTGAAGACGGGCTTCAGGGCGTCCTTGAACTTGGGGGTCCAGTCAATGGCACCACGTCGGGCGGTGGTGGAGCAGGCCTCGAACATCCAGTCCATGCCGTTGGCACCAATCAGAGGGTACAAGCTCTGAGTGGCCTCCTCGACGGTCTCGTTGAAGGCCTCGCTGGGGCTGTGTCCACGCTCACGGAGAACCTCGTACTGGGCAAGGAACATGCCGTGGATACCACCCATCAGGCAGCCACGCTCACCGTAGAGGTCAGAGTAGACCTCCTTCTCAAAGGTGGTCTTGTACAGGTAGCCGGAGCCGATGGCAACACCAAGGGCAACAGCCTTCTCCTCAGCCTTGCCGCTGACATCCTGGTAGACGGCGAATGAGGAGTTGATACCACGGCCCTCACGGAAGAGGGAGCGGACAGTTCGGCCAGAGCCCTTGGGAGCGCAAAGGATGACGTCAATGTTCTTGGGGACATCAACCTTGGTGAGGTCCTTGAAGACGGGGGAGAAACCGTGAGAGAAGTACAGGGTCTGCGGCAGACAGCCGAGTTAGTCGCAACTTTAACAATGGCACGCCACTAATTGGGAGGCTGCCATGCGAGTGAGTGAGGGGGAGGGGCAGGCTAGCCACATACCTTGCCCTCAGTCAGTTGGGGCTTGATGGAGGGCCAAGTCTCGGACTGGGCGGCATCACTGAGGAGGTTCATGACGATGGTACCACGGGTGATGGCATCGTCGACCTCGAAGAGGTTCTTGCCAGGAACCCAGCCATCCTGGATGGCGTCGTTCCATGACTTGCCGTTCTTTCGGACACCAACAATAACGTTGAGGCCGTTGTCGCGGAGGTTAAGACCCTGGCCGTGACCCTGGGAGCCGTAGCCGATGAGGGCGAGGGTGTCGTTCTTGAAGTACTCCTGCAGGCGATGGTGGTCAGTTTGTGCGCCTCACCTAAATAAATCACCATTGAATGAAATGGAGCAGTAGACATGTGAGAAGAAGAGCTGGGCATCCATGACTCCTCGGGGGCTATCTCATTTTTCAATTACTCACCAGAAGCTTCTCCTGGGGCCAGTCGGCACGCTCTACAATACAGTCAATTGTCAGCTCAGACCTCTCCATCTCATAAAGCTCCCGCGCGCAGAAGCAATGTCGCACTTACCATAGACGTCCTCCTTGACGCCCGCGAAGTCAATGGTCTTGACACCACGGACCTGCTGCTGAGACAGACCAGCCAGAGCCGGGCGAGCAGCAGCGACGGCGCGAGTGGCGCTGCGAGCAACAGTGTATGAGCGCTGGGCCACACGAGGGGCAATCAGCTGTCGGGCAATTGGTGCCCGCAGGGTCTTGGAGAAAGCTTTTGAGGCCATTGTGAGGAGGGATCTGGTGTGTGAGAAGGATGAAGAGGGAAGAAAAAAAAGAAAAGAAAAAAAGAGGAAGTAAGAAAGTTTATTTAGAAGAGAGCAGATGAGCAACAGATCGTCTACCTTTTGAATGGGTGGGTGGGGGAAAAGCCGCAGTGGCAGCAGCCCGATCTCGGTCGTGCCAATTGCGCCAGCTCCAGCAGCTTTGTGTCCAAACGGAGGTGCCCCCTGTCCCACACATGTGAAAAAAAAGAGGCTTGCGCCGTGCTTTGCGCCGTGCTTTGCGCCGTGCTTTGCGCCGTGCTTTGCGCCTAGCTTGCCAAGGGTTTATCAAAAATCGCAGTCAGTGCGATGAGTAACAGCGGCAATGCTAGCCTTGCTTTGCGTTGGAGTTCCGACGGTGGGACCCTTGGTGCGAGCGAGCGAGGCCTCAGCTTACTGTACCAAGACGCATGTCCTGTATTAGTACTAGGTAGTGTGCTGTGTGCAGCACGTCGTAATATTGCGGCAGGATCCTAATACGCAGTAGGTACTATTACGCCCACGGCCAATTGGTCAGCCATTATTGATGGTGCTTTCTGTGCAATGCGTGGGTTGAGAGCGTTGATCTGCTGCTGAGCTTGGAAAACCACGAAGCTGTCCAGAACTCTCCTGGGCTGCTGCCGACTGCACTCTCGCACCGCCCGAGGTGACGCATCCGATGAGCGCTTGCAGCGCCCACTGCTCCGTAAGGCTCCAGCAGCGTGGAGCTCGTGCCCCACCTCAACCGCCGAAATCTGGCTTCTGCTGCCCTGTCCAATGGAACGTTTCTCATTACTTGAAGCCATTGACCTCTATCCATGATGATATATTCTCTACAATCCAAAGGGGAGGCTTCTCTACCTCTGCATCTTCTCCTGTCTTCTTTCGTCAGAGCCGCTCTCTCGAAAATCACCTTGCATATGCCCTTGGCCATCTCCAAAAAGGCTCCACGTCTCATTGTAGTCAGGCTCCGGTCGTGATCCGGAGAATCACCAGCCGCAGTATGCAACTACAGATGCCGGAATACTACATCCTAGCCTCTGGTATATTATATACTATCATGTACTTATTATCACTAAACGTACTACATACTGCTAATATGCTCTCCCTGCCTTTGCCTGCGGGCTACGTAGGCGAATGCATGTACACAGAGCTATCCAAGTAGCCAACCACGTAGACGCTTTTTCTAGGTAGCCACTACCTATTGCTGCATTGCATTGCATGCAATCAATGTCTTGAGCCACGCAACGGTCGTGGAGTGCCGGAATTGCTCAGGTTTCAAATTGCGTCGCTCCGCGTACTAGGACTTTGCATATGCCCTACAGGATATGCTCGGGCTATTTCGGAATGGCATTCAGACAATATTATCGCTTCAGCCAAAGTGGTAAGCTCTTCCGGAGTGTGTCTCCTTTGTATAGTATAAAGCAAATCATCTTTGAGCAACCGAGTCTGCAAGGGAGTGTGAGCATCAGCTTACACATCTATGTACCACACCTCAACTGTTTAGCGGCCGATCGGATGGAGGCCAACTTCAGTTCAGGGCAGGAAGCTAGTAGCGTTAAAACTGGCCATCAGTATCAACATATCGATATGCCCAAGTGCTATTTCTACCTGCACTAAAGGGCGTAACATAGCGTATCGCCATGACTCGTATATAAATCATAGGGTAGGGTAATCCACCACTTCCTGTTAATTCCTCACAACAAAAGATCAATCAGCTGGCTGTTCTACCCAAAATACCAACTCCTACTCAACCTCATATTACGCAATGAACGCCATGTATTTCTATGCTAAGTGCTATGGACTTAATGAAAGGTAGTATATAGATAAGTTGAACCCCATAGCTAGGTCTCGCCAAGAAAGAAAGCATTGGGCACCATGTTCTCCTTGGTTCAAACACCAGCGGAAGCTGAGGCGTGGAAGCGCCATATCTCCAATATAGGAAAAATGGATATCGGACGATATATGTCCTTTATATGGTATGTCGGGTGTTCTCGTTGTCGTCTCGCCCATCCTCTTTTCACGACCTCCCCCCCCTTTCCTCTCAAAAACTTCACGTCTATTTCAGTACCCGGTCATATGTAGTACCCTTAATAGTTCCTCCACTCATGGCCGTTCGTACGTTTCTCTTGAAGCCTTCTCGGTTGCTTCGCAGGTCATCAGCAGCCTCTTTGTTCAACGGATCTGAAGCATTGGGTTCTAAGAACAAGAACTGTAATTTTCATCAAGTCAGCCTCATAGCTCGTACTCGATATCCCACTCTCCCGCTCTATAGGCGGCCAAGAGCAGAAGCGCATGTGCCGGTTCTTACCTGCAGTCCCACGATGACAGCATTCAGATTCAACACTGGCTTCCAGTCCTCCCGCAGAATGTTCAAGCAAACTTTGCCTTCCAGGTCGATATTAGGGTGGTAGATCTTTTCCATGCATCGTACTTTCGGGGGCTCGTGGGGGAAGTTCTGGTTGATGGCGAAGTCGAAGGTGAATCTTGCCCCTCGGTACATGCCCTCGTCCGGCTCGATACTCAGGATAAAGTTGAGGATGTTGTCAGGATCCGGGAAATCCGTTCTCATCGTGGCGCCGAGTGATAGTTCTGATAAATCTGCATTTCGGTTGTAAATGGCTCTCTGTTAGCTACCCTGTCATGTAATAGCAGAGTGAGGTCGGGAGGGTATTTGGGGGGGCTTACCTTTCTGCACTCGCAGCTGCGCCGCCGTCACCTTCTTCCTCTTCCCCCCAGCGGCCTGACCTTCAGCATTCTCAGCTTCTTTTTGCTTTTTTTTCTATAACTATACGTTAGGAATCTCCGTGGCAGAATATAAGCAGGGCGCGTGCCTAGTACCATAGACCATATGTTCAACATCGTGGGCTGTTGGAATGTCGCCGGTGAGACCGATATCCTGAAATGGCTAGCCGCAAGAATAGAAAAGGACGAAAGAAATGAAAATGCTTTTGATGAGCAAGAGGAAAACAGAGCCTCGACCGCCGATTTAGAGGAGGACCAAGTCTTTCCGTTTGTGCGCAAAAGTGATGTTTTGGACAAGAGGAAAAGCAACCGTTCATCGGCGGGGACCGATGTTGCCTTGCTGGAGACGAGATGCTGTCACACAATTGCGATAAGATAAGACCCTACTCCATAATTTTAGATGCGTAGGTAATCTGACGCGGCCGGAGTTTATGCGGCGACAAAACGTGGAGAGCGCATATTACATAGAGAACGAAATGAACACAGTCAGATCATTAATCATTGAATAGATAGATTTCCTTGTTTCCTCTCTAATATCCTTTCTCTCTACTCAGTAGGCGCATCGCAAAAATTTCTTCCAAACTATCTGCAAAACTTTTTTTTTTCGTCTCAGGTCGCCTATTCCATCCCGTGTGAACAAAGAAACATGCTAAAAACATTAATGCCTTAATAACGTTACAAGCCAAGGTATATCTGTATATGAAATAATTTGTCTACTAGGCAACCCGTATATTCCTGTAAAACCACAGCCGCAAACTCTCAATCGGGGTCGCAAACGACCTTTTAATTTATCTTCTAGCGAAGCAGCACATAAGACCCGTCTTACCCAGGAACCAGAGGAACCCGATGAAGCGGACGAGAGACAGCACGGCGGTAGCATACAGAAGGAACTTGAAGAAACTGGCAGTGCGGCTGGAGGCAGATCCCTATAGTAGTTGTTAGTTATCAGAAGCATTATAGGAGAGGTCGTATCAAAGAAACTACTTACCACAAAGCCGACTTGGCTAAAGCTGTCGGTAGTGACACCGATGATCAGAACAATGTTGGTAAACAACCAAGAAACGACAAGACCGGTACGGAAAGACTTGTAACCGTCTTCCACGTCCTTCTTCTCAATCTCTTCCTCCTCCTTGAAGGGAGCCAGGGCTCGTCGCACAGTCTGTTCGAACTGACTGTCGATATCCTCTTGCTCCTTTTCAATTTCTTCGACAACCACTTCGTTCTTCTCGCCCTTCTGGACATTGGCAGACGGAAGAGCTTCAGCCTTATCGGAACCCTTGGTACCCCAAGACACATCGTGCCAGTTGTTGAAAGCGTAGACCATGAGAATGTTGATGTAGGTCGACATGAGCAACAGATAGTGGGGGAAAGAGTGGAACATGTGCCAGGGATCGAGATACAAGAAAGAAGCAATGAAGTAAAGACCGTAAATGGTAATCAGGGCGATAATAATGACACCTGCGGCACTCGCACCGAAGAAGAAACTCTTGACAAAGTCTTCACCGTTGTCAAAGTTGATCTGCTCGTCGAGGGGTGTCTTGAACGCGCTGACGACCAAGAAGACGGAAAGAACCAAAATGTAACCCTGAATCAAAGCAAAGACCATGAAAGAAGCAATATAGGTGAACTTGGAACCCTTCGGTCTGTTACCCAGAGCGAGGATAAACTGCAAGATGACGAATGCAAGATAAATGTATTTCAGAAGCGTGTTGACAATGGGTGTCGCGGTATCTCCAAATGGGAAAGCGTGATGCTCATTGGTGCTGTTAGACGGAATAGAAGGAGTACCGACAAGGTCCATAATGACAGTGGTGGTAAGATAGTAAGAAGCCAGGGAGAACCAAGAGAAGATGACGTTGAGGAAGTTGTAAATAAGCTGGATGTGCAAGAAGAACATGCGGATGATGTTGTGACCACTCTTGTACATTCGACCGAAGTGCATCAGCGAATACAGAGAGGCAGCAAACGAACCGTTGAGCCAACGACGACGCTGACTGATGAATTCGGCAGCACCTTCTGGAACATCAGTCTCACCCTTGGCAGCCTTGATGTAGGTCAAGTGCCATTTCTGGCCAGCTTTGGCGACCAGCTCGAAACAAAGAATACGATCTTCGGCCAAAAACATGTTCTTCTTGAAAATGTTCATGCCGTCGATACCCTTCTTACCAAGAATCTTGGACAGCGTGTGATCACCATGGAAATACTGCTCCAGAGGGCGTCCCATGATAGCTCGGAAACGATAGGCAGAGAAGGCACCGGGCAACACAGAGACGTAGCCGAAAGAACTCTCAAGGGGCTTGTCAAGAATATTTGAAATCTTGTACTCAAAGTTCTGCACGGCGACCAGGGGGTTGAGCAGCTTCTTGCCGCCCTTACCCAACATGGCGTGAATCTCACCACAAGCACCACCAAGATCCTTGTCGTTGTAGAAGCCCTCCCACAAAGCCAGCAGCGAACGAGGGCTGGGCTTGGTACCGGCATCAAGAAGAATACAGACTTCGGGGTTCAAAATTCGGCCAAAGGCGTTGAACAGCCAACGATGGGAGTTGATCTTCTTGGTGTTCTGCTGTTTCAAGCAGAAGATGAACTGAACAGGGGGCAGGTTTTGCGCATTATCAGCAGAAGGCCGGATGAGCTGCTGGTTGGGCGTGACGGAAAGCTGACTGGTGTACTCAAAAATGTGAGCGACGGTTTCCTTGCCGTCGACATCCTTCTTGACGACACCATCCTGGTACACACCAATGGTGGCGAGCACGTCCAGGGTGTTCTTGTCAGCCTTGTCGATACCGTCAAAGACGAAGCAGACGACAATCTTCTGCCAGGCGGGACCTCCCTTGTTCCAGAAAGTCGACTTCTTGAGGTTGACAATGTCTCGGATGTTTTGCATCACACCGTGCAGAGTTCTGGCAAGCAGAACCTTATCTTCGTTGTAGTACGTAATGGCAATAAGAAGCTCCGTGTGACGGTTATACATTCGCGGCCGCAAATCGTAACCGTTCTTCAAGGTGAAGTCATTGGGATCACAAGTGGCGGCCGTGTATCGCATCTTGATAAACTCCTCGTTGCCGCCTTCGACATCGCGGTACTTGGGCTCAACCGCGTTCTTGATGGCACTGGGCACCGGGTAGTCGATACTCAAAACGGAGCCCTGGACAAGCTTGACCTTTCTGGTGTTGTAACGCTTCAGACCGCCACCAGCGGGCTGCTGCTGTCGCTGAACCCAGCTGTCGTCATCGTTATCATGGACAGTTGAGGCAGGGCGGGGGAAATCGTATCCCGGGCCCTGGCCGTACTGGTTGTAGCCATTGTCGCTGCCCAAGCCAGGAGTGCCGATGGGTGATGCTCCAGGGGCATAAGACTCGGTGAGACTGTAAGCTGAGACAGGACGGTCGGGAGGAGTCCCGGCACCAAGGCGATCATGCTCGTAGCCATGCGCGCCGGGCTCGTTCAGCAGATATCGTCCAGCTTCTTCCTCTTGCTCGTGGGGGGGCAAGTGATACTAGAGAAAGAGGAAAGCGTTAGCCAAACCTTGCTTGACCTAATCTCGACGTCGTCCTTGGGCCTTGTTTTGGTGGCTACTCACGCTACTGCCTGAGGGAAGATCCTGTAGCGGGTGTCCCCCGCCTTGGCCACCGCCGGCACCGTTGTATGCCATGATGGTCCTATTTCTAAAATGGTATCAAGACGACGGCTGTGAAAATTGTAATGCTAACGAGCGTCTTCGGTGGATTGTTTGTTGTTCGTAAATCGTGTCTAGTTGGCTCGCGTATGTCCCGACGGGCAACGTACAATGGGGGACGAAAAAAATAGGGGACCCCAAAGAGAGAGAGAGGGACAAGAAAAATCTATTGAGCTCAATGCCAGCTTTGTTTGCGGAAAGCAACCCGACCCCTAACGATACGAGCAATGAGGCACCAGCCTCGAACGATGGGACTGAAGGTTGGGGAAGATGGAAGAGCGAGAGTTGACGACGAAGCCTGGTGGGCTGAAAAGAATAATAAGGGGAGGGAAAGGCTCTCGCGAACGATTCAGGAGATGCCCCAAGTGCTGCGTGCTTCTAGGATCTTGTTTCGGACAGTACGAAATGCATACAGTGCCCGGCCTCTGGAGCGATGGCCCAGAATAGGGGAGACTAGACGCTAAGGGGCCTCGAGGGGGGAGCTGAGCCACCGCACCTGCACTGTACAAGACTTCTCAAACAACAGGCGAGCATATTCGCTGGGCATCCTTTGGGCTAGGCCGCCTTATCAGCCCCGAGTTAGCGTCTGCGATGAGACAGCCGCAGCGAACACTCGCTGTAAGACAGAGAAAACCAGCGCTGGAGCTCGAGGAGAACGGCCGGAGGCAGCAGAGTATCACCTGTCGTCATCACGTTGCCCCTCCCTTTTATGCAGGAGGGTCCAGCAGCTTCTCGCGTTGCATTTGCCTGCACCTCCAGAAACAAGATTTCCTTGCTGCTGGACACCCACATTCCAACTCATGGCTCTCGCCACAAAGCCGCCGGAAATTTCCAGCTGTCGAGGCTGCCCAGATGCTGAAAGAGCTCCCCTATGCTCGCACGAGCCGCAAAAGTGTCAAAATCTCGTATGGCTGTGGGCAAAAAACAAGGCGGTATCCGCTTTTGAAAGCCCGGCCCTGCAATAGCACCAGATGCTGACATCCAATCCCTGGAGCGCGGCTGACTGCGTCCCACTGTCTGCTGGAGAGCGACGTACAGTGGCTGGCACTGTACACTCTCGGCTGGGCTCACTAATAAGCGTGCGCTCCTTATTGCAGCCACAGCAGTTGAAGAAGCTATATTTTGCGTATATTAGCATCATTCCGGCTTCTATATTGCATTGATTCCATCTCAATATCACTCCCTCCGTAACCGATATTCCTCATCCGTGCCCCATGCTTCATGCTCCATGCTCCCTCATTCGCGTGCTCGGGAGCACAGCGATCCGCTAGCCAGCCCGTAGGGCTCTTCTCATCTCATCACGACAAGGCCGTCCTGATCGCTACCAAAAATAGCACAAGCCAACCTAGGCTGAGGCCAATGAGATCTGTGCGTCCGCAGCACTGTGGAGGCGGTGCAGCCACAGTCCGTTTCTGTTAGACTTGCGTTCTACGCGTTAATGGCAAGGCTTTCTGCTGATCTTATTTTTATACCGCGCTTACAGTGCGAGATGCCTGGGCGCCGAAGACGCTAGCTCATGGCTAAGCACAGGCCTGCTGAGGCTTTGCTGTAGGCACATGCTTTGTAAAGTTTGCGTGCCCGTCTTCTAAAATATCCTTTGATCTACTGGAGATGGAGCCAGACTCCGCATCATTGTACAGTAGG